CTTCAGAACAAGAATGTGTCTGCACAGGCTTATTTATGCACAGGTATGGAATTGAGCCAGTGCTCTCTTCCCCAAATACTTCTCAAAGGCAAAGGGACTGCCACTAATAATAATTAGGCTATTTTTTTCTGCAGCCAAAGAATCATCTGATAGATTTAAATTAGCAGCAGGCCCAAATAAAGAAAAAAAAATAGAAGATCTTAAGGATTGTGTCCTTTCCAAATAGAGACTGAATTCAGGACGAGGTGAATAAAATTGTCCAGTGAGTAGAAAGCATAGCTGCAAAAGGAAGGTGACAGCATGGATACTATTCCTATAAGTACCTATAAATCTCTTAATACAGGTAGTCGACTTATAGCCAATCATTTAATGACCACTCAAAATTATAACAGCACTGAAAAAAGCGGCTTATGACCATTTTTCAAACTTACGACCATTGCAGCATCCCCATGGTCACATATCAAAATTCAGATACTTGGCAACTGACTTGTATTTATGACGGTTGCAGTGTCCCAGAGACTGGAGGTTAAAACATACAAAGAATGGTTGCTGGAATTGGGTCTGTCTAGTTTAATGAAAAGAAGGAGTAGGGGAGACATGATAGCAGTCTTCCTATATCTCAGGGGCTGCCCCAAAGAAGAGGGAGTCAAGCTATTCTCCAAAGCACCTGAAGGCAGGACAAGAAGCAACGGATGGAAACTAATCAAGGAGAGAAGCAACTTAGAACTAAGGAGAAATTTCCTGACAGTGAGAACAATTAATCAGTGCAACAGAAGTTGCCTTCAGAAGTTGTGGGAGCTTCATCACTGGAGGCTTTCAAGAAGAGATTGGACAGCCATCTGTCTGAAATGGTGTTGGGTCTCTTGCTTGGGTAGAGGGTTGGACTAGATGACCTACAAGGGTCCTTCCAATTCCGTTCATCTGTTCATCTGATTAATTTAACCACTGTGGCAAGAAAGGTCATAAAATGGAGCAACACTCGCTTAACAAATATCTTACTTAGCAAAATAAATTTTGGGCTCAGTTGTGGACATAAATCGAGGATTACTTACACTGCCCTATCCCATTTCAAATCTATAGCCAATACATGAAAGCGTTGATAGCTATTGAACTACAGGTAGTCCTTGACATATGACTGGTCACTTAGTGATCAAATTTATGATGAATGCCCCCGTTAACTTACAATCTGCTTTCAAAGTGACTATGGACACACACACACACACACACACACACACCATGGTCACTTGATTGCATTTTGGACGTTTGACAACTGGATCAGCTTTATGGCTGTTTGTAACATCCTGTAGTCACATTATTGCAATTTCCAAATTGTTTTGCTGGTTTCCCACAGTTATTTCTAGTGTCTGGCAAAAAGTGCCCATTGCGGAAAGTTCATTTGCTTAATGACTGCAGCAGTTACTTTATGACTGTTAGGGGGAAAAAAATGTAATAAAATCAGTTCCAGTCACAGGGTGACCCACTTAAAGACTGCAATGACTTATGACCATACCCTGTTTCCCCTAAAATAAGACATCCCCTGATAATAAGCCCAATCGGGCTTTTGAGCGCATGGCAATAAGGCCAAGTGCTTATTTCAGGGTTAAAAAAAATATAAGACAGGGTCTTATTTTCGGGGAAACACAGTAGTTCTTGGCTCAATTACAATAATTATTCAAGGAATACAGGTAGTCCTCAATTTACGACCACAAATGAGCACATAATTTATGTTGCTAAGTGAGAAACTTGTTAAGTTAGTTTTGCCTCATTTTATAACCTCCCTTGCTACAGTTGTTAAGGGATTTACTGTAGCTGTTAAGTTAGTTATGAGCCGAGGTGGCACAGTGGTTAGAGTGCTGTACTGCAGCTACTTCAGCTGACTGCGAGTTCAGCAGATCAGCAGATCAAATCTCACCGGCTCAAGGTTGACTCAGCCTTCCATCCTTCCGAGGTGGGTAAAATGAGGACCCAGATTGTTAGGGGGCAATATGCTATTTAGTATACTGTCTTTGTTGTAAAGCCGCCCAGAGTCCTCGGAAAGTGGGCGGCATATGTCAGGGCGTTGATTAATCCCATGTTTGGCTCTGGGAAAAATCACCCTGGTTTAGAGGATGGATCGAGGCTTATTCCTTGTTGCAATATTCTGAAAAAGAAACACGAAGAAAAGTTTCTAATAAAACTCATTTATTTGTTATAAAGAAAATAAAACACCTCACTAACTAAGAAAAGTAATTGCTACATTTTTGAAAGTAAATCTTGCCGGCTATTTCTCAGCCGGACCTTGCTGGCAAGAGAACAAAGGAAAAAATGTGTGAAGCAAGTGAAAGAATGCGGACATGCGTAGTAAAATACTGATAAGGAACTTGGCAAACTACAGTAAGTCTATTAGTCCAAAAATAATGAAGCTCAGCTGGGAAATAAAAAAACACAGTGACAGCATAGAAATACGAAAAATAAATAAATAAATAAATAAATAAATAAATAAATAAATAAATAAATAAATAGTAACACAGTTGTTAAGGTAATCTGGCTTTCCCATTGACATTGCTTGTCAGAATGCCACAAAAGGGGGGTCACATGACCCCAGGACACTGCGACCGTCATAAATATGAACCAACTGCCAAGCATCTGAATGTAAATCACATGACGATTGGGAATGCTGCAACGGTCATAAGTGTGACTAATGGTCACTTTTTTCAGTGGTGTTGTAACTTTGAAGTGTCACTAAATGAGCTGTTGTAAGTGGAGGACTACCTGTACCTTTTCTAAAAGAGAATCCAACCAAGGTACAAAATAATAATTAAAGCTATTAATTCCTGTACATCCCATTTTGTATTATGAGTTTTGATTTTAAAGGAGATGGCTGAGGAATTCTGAGATTTTAAGTCCACATATCTTTCTGTGGCTGAGGCTGAAGAATTCTGAAATGGTGGGAACTAATGCAGTGTTCTTCAGCCTCAGTCACTTAATTAGAGAAATTTTTGAAAAGTTGGAATTCTGCAGCTAAACTGAGACCAACAATAATAGTAGAGTGTGAAAGCTTGGCATTCTGGAAGTTGTAGTCTCAATCTTTTAGGAGGCCATCAGGATGGAGAAGATGGATTTCAATACAGGTAGTCCTCAACTTACAACAGTTCACTTAGTGACCATTCAAAGTTACAGTGGCATTGAAAAAAGTGACTTAGGACCATTTTTCACATTTATGAAAAATGTTGCAGCATCCCCATGGTCATGTGATCAGAATTATAACACTTGGCAACTGGCATGTACTTATGACAGTTTAAGTGTTCCGGGGTCATGTGATCCCCTTTTGTGACCTTCTGATTAGCAAAGGTAATGGAAAAACAAGATTCATTTAACAACTAATTTTACTAATTTCATAATTGCAGTGATTCACTTAAAAAATGTGGCAAGAAAAGGCGTAAAATGGGGCAAAATGCACCTAACAAATTTCTCATTTAACAACATAAATTTTGGGCTCAATTGCAGTCATAAGTGGAGGACTACCTGTATGACCTCATTGGTGACCACCAACTTTCAATTTGAGAATACAGTGGTATCTTCGTACTTAACGGCATTGAAACTTGTCGAATTTCATACTCAACGCATTTTGATGCGAAAATTTTGTCCTAGTACTTACTCATTGTGTGTTCAGTACTCAACGCACAAGCTAGAACTTGTGTCGGCTATCTTGTGACTCACTACATTATTCCTTAAGGGAAAATATTCATAGTTTTTGGTACTCGTACACCTCCTGAACCAATTAATGATGAAGCTTGAGGCACCACTGCATTAACAGAGGGATAGAATCAAGATCACGAGAAGTGTTAATACCACTTTATAAGGCCTTGGTAAGGCCACGCTTGAAATACCACACCCTGTTTTGGTCATCACAATGTAAAAAAGATGTTGAGACTCTAGAAAGAGTGCAGAGAAGAGCAACAAAGAGGATTAGGGGACTGGAGGCTAAAATAGTCAAAGAACGGTTGCTGGAATTGGGTATATCTAGTTTAAGGAAAAGAAGGACTTGGGGTGATATGAATCCAGGACAGGGATGGAAAGAATTGTAGGTAGTTCTCTACATACAACCATAACTGAGTCTGCAATAGTTAAGAGAACCCATTGCTTAATCAATTGGAGCTGAAGGGACCTTGGAAGTCTTCTAGTCTAACACTTTGCTTATGCAGGAGTCCTGCTTTCTGGTGCTTTAGAAAATAAGTTGACTCTCCCCCCCCCCCTCTTATTTGTAGCAGGCCCTCAAATGTTGGAATGCTGCTATCATATCTCCTTTTTAATAAAAATAAGTGGGAGTGACAATATCTTAGGGGCTGCAACAAAGAATAGAATAGAATAACAGAGTTGGAAGGGACCTTGGAGGTCTTCTAGTCCAACCCACTGCTTAGGCAGGAAACCCTACACCACTTCAGATACATGGTTCTCCAACATTTTCTTAAAAACTTCCAGTGTTGGAGCATTCAAAACTTCTGGAGGCAAGTTCTTCCACTGGTTAATTGTTCTGACTGTCAGGAAATTTCTTTTTAGTTCTAGGTTGGTTCTCTCCTTGATGAGTTTCCACCCATTGCTTCTTGTCCTTCTACCCTCAGGTGCTTTGGAGAACAGCTTGACTCCCTCTTCTTTGTGGCAGCCCCTGAGATATTGGAAGACTGCTATCATGTCTCCCCTAATCCCCTAGTCCTTAGAAGAAAGGGGTTCAAGCTATTCTCCAAAACACCTGAAGGCAGGACAAAAAGCAACAGATGGAAAGTAATCAAGGAGAGAAGCAACCTGGAACTAAGGAGAAATAAAACCATTTATACGACTACATTTCCCACAAGTCCTAGCGCGCTGGCTATGATTTCTGGGAATGGTAGGCAAACGACGAGATCCACCGGGCTAGATTGGAAAAAAAAAAAATCAGAGCTCGGAGGCGGGGGCTTCCGGAAGAGACCGGAAGTCGCTGTTGCTAAGGGCCCGGTTTTCGCTTCTCAGAAAGCAGGCTCTTAGCAACCGGGGAAAGGGCGCTGCGAGAAGATGCTGCCCGCCGAGGAAAGGGGCGCCCTGCGCCCCAAGGATTCTCCGGGCCCCGAGCCCTCGATGTACAGGCACAGGCCTGCCTCGGAGCTGACTCAGGTGAACGAAGAGCCGCTCCTGCTTCTGCCGCCTCGCCCTCCGGTTTTAAGTAACCTTGCAGGGCGTGTTTTTGTGTGTGTGTGTGTGTGTTTTTAGCACCTGGCCTGGGGTGACAAAACGATTCCTATCTGAGCATGGGCAGAGTGCCACCTGCAGTGTCTCTTTCCTGTGTCCAGATGCCCCCATAGACCCCGAGATGGTATTTTGGGCGCCCTAGGCACAGGATTCCTGGGCATGTGCAGAGTGCTTATTCAGCCTACCTGCAGCACAAGGGGGAAGTGGGCAGTGGAGGCACCTACCTAGTCCATTTTATTGATGATTTGATTGTATTTAACACATTTCTATCATCGGCCATTTATCTGGGCGATGGAGAGAAACGTTCTTTTTTTAAAAAAAAACATATATATATATATATATATATATATATTTTTAAAGGTGAGAAAGTATTTAAGATACAATGATTTTATAAACAGGTTCTTTCATCGAGGATTTAAACACACCCCTTTATATTCAGAATTTATTTATTTATTTATTTATTTATTGGTTCGATTTTTAATTTTTTTTAATTTGATTTATATGCCGCCCTTCTCCGGAGACTCAGGGCGGCTTACAATGCGTTAAGCAATAGCCTTCATACTTTTGTATATACCCGCTTAGTAGGGCTTTCGGCACCCCCCCCCAGCGGTCTTCTTTTTTATACAAAGTCAGATTATTGCCCCCACAATCCGGGTCCTCATTTTACCTACCTCGAAAGGATGGAAGGCTGAGTCAACCGTGAGCCTGGTGAGATTCGAACTTGCAATAATTGCAGACAGTTGGTGTTATTTTAACAGCACTTTAATCTGCTGCGCCACCAAGGCTCTTGGTGCCTTATCTGGGCGATGGAGAGAAACATTTAAAAAAAATCAACTGATTTATTTATTTTTTAAAAGGTGAGAAAGTATTTAAGATGTAACGATTTTATAAACAGGTTCTTTCATTGAGGATTTAAACACCTTTAAACACCCTTTATATTCAGAAAATGTTGTAAACACTTTTATTTCACAGGGAGAAGAACCACAACGAAGAAAACAGTAATTGCAAAACACCCTAAGCCTAACCCCTAACCCTGTGACAATATCTTTAATATTATTAAACAACATCTGTCTTATCCCAAGGACACGTGGACAAAAAAGACAAATGCAATCTGAACGTCTTAACTGATTGTATGACCAACCATAATAATATTTTCTTTCCCCTGGAAAAATTCCCTTATCTTTAACAGTATGTTTCCAGAGCTGCCTGCAAGTTTACGAAAATACAACCAGCCACCAAAAGTTGGCCCAAGTGCAGGAGAACAAAGCTTTTGTGTTCAGGATTTCCTGTATGTGTGTCAGTGTTTGTGTTTAAAAATGGAGCAAAACATTAGGAATGATCAGATGAGATTGCTTACGTTGCTGCAGGAAAAGAGGAAGGCTTGGTATGTGTTCCATTTTTAAAATTTTCCAGTACTTAACCCACTGGGGAAAATTGTTGAGGTGAGTCAATATTAGCTGAGATGAAGGACTAAATCAAAATATGGAACCTGCGTGGAGAAATATTAACTTCTTTTGATTTAGTGCTGGTGTTCTTACTCAAAAATGGAATCTACACAGCAGGCACAATATTTTTAAAAATACTATGGAGATATCTTGATTGTAGGTTTGCTTGTTGATTCAGTTGACCTTTGGCCATAGAGGAGTCTTCAATTTAAAACTGGTTGCTTAGCAACCATTAAAAATTATACTAGTTAGGTCTCGGTTTTGACGGTCAGGGCCGTTTCTGTGGTCACATGACCAAACTTTAGACACTCAATAATGAGTGCATTTATGATGTTTGCAGCATCCCACGGTCCCAGTTGATCACAGTTTACAATGATTTTGCTGAAAATTAGCATGTACTTTTGTTTTTAGCAAAACTCTGCCCATAACAAATTATTGGTATGCTTGATGACTTTGGCATTCTACAGGAGGTCTTCGACTTACGAATTGAGGCCAAAATTTCTGTCGTTATGTGAGATATTTGTTAAGTGAGTTTTGCCCCATTTTATGATCTTTCTTGCCACAGTTGTTAAATGAATCACTGCAGTTCAAAAACTTAACAAGACGGTTGTTAAGTGAATCTGGCTTCCACATTGATTTAGCCTTTCAAAGGTCGCAAAAGGTGATCACATGATCCCAGGACACTGCAACCGTCATAAGTATGAGTCAGTTGCCAAGCAGCTGAATTTTGATTACGTGATAATTGGGATGTTACAAAGTGTTAAAAACAGTCATAAGTCACTTTTTTCAGTTCTGCTGTAACTTTGAACAGTCACTAAATGAACTGTTGTAAGTAGAGTACTGCCTGTATTAACAACTGCTGCAAAAAAAAATGCTGTAACATTTTACAACCATAACAAAAAAAACAAAAAACCATAATGTGCAAACTCCATTAAAGTCATATGTTGAGGACTACATTCTTAGGCATAGACTATAGCCAGCCTGTAGAAATCTGAGCTTTCACATAAATTAGAATCTTTAGAGATGATGAGGCTAGGAATATACATTTTAGGAAATTAATAACTATTGTACTCCATATGGCCCCTATGGATTGAATTCAAAAAACCTGCTGGAGGTTTTGAGAGTCTGAAAGGTAATTTTCCCCCCTGTCCTGTTTCTCATAAAACTAATCCCTAAACTCAAATTGGAATAACCCCCAGAGAAGCCTTGGTTGCAATTATAAGAAAATCCTAATGAATACCCAGAAACACTGATTTATTAATTCACTTGCATCAGTTTTATGTTCTTCATTCTCAAAGCTTCTGAGGGCGTAAAAGAGAAGCAATAACACCCAGGAGTCTGTTCCACAGTCGACAGCACTTATATTTAGAAAATAATTCCTGATTTACAACTGAGTTATTTCTTGTTGTTACTGAGGGGCTGCCACAAAGAAGAGGGGGTCAACTTATTCTCCAAAGCAGTTGAAAGCAGGACAAAAAACAATGGATGGAACAGTCAAGGAGAGAAGCAACCTGGAATTAAGGAGAAACTTTCTAACAGTGAGAACAGCTTGCCTTCAGAAGTTGTGGGTGCTCCATCACTGGAGATTTTTAAGAAGAGACTGGACAGTCACTTGTCTGAAATGGCATAGGGCAGTGATGGCTAACCTTTTTGCCATTGTGTGCCAGGAGCAGGGGGTCGGCGGGGGATGTCATGTGCGTGTGTGCCCACACCCATAATTCTATGCACCCTGCCCCCACACATATTTATTTATTTATTTGTCAGATTTATATGCCGCTTTTCTCCTGTAGGACTCGGGGCAGCTCACAGCAATAAAAACAACCCGACAATAGATAAAATTAGATAGTGTTAAAACCAATTAAAATCCCCAAGTTAAAATCCACGGCAGATCAGGGAAGTTGCTGAAAGAGCCATGTCTTTAGGTCGGCGCAGAAGGTGTGGAGGTCGGGGGCCGTCCAGAGCCCGGTGGGCAACCCATTCCAGAAGGTCAGTGCGACCGCAGATCACATATGTGCATGACCCCCCGGTCCTGGCACACAATGGCCTGGTAGGCCCGTTTTTCTCTCTCACCAGGCTCTAGAGTTTTCCTAGGAGTCTGGGGAGGCAAAAACAGCCTTCTTCACCCCACCCCCCGGAGACCCTCTTGAGGCCAGAAATGGCCCATTTGCCAACTTCCGGTGGAACCAGAAGGCCCGTTTTTTGCTGTCTCCAGTCTCCAGAGCCTTTCTAGGAGTCTGGGGAGGGAGAAAATGGCCTCTCCCCCTCCCAGAGGCCCTCCGGAGGCCGGAAACGGCCCGTTTGCTAACCTCTGGTGGGATCTGCGTGGCGGAGCTGAGCTCACGTGCCCACCGATATGGCTACGCGTGCCATAGGTTCGCCATCACGGGTATAGGATCTCCTGCTCAAGCAATGAGTTGGAATAAGACCTCCAAGGTCCTTCCAGCTCTGTTCTGATTGATTGTAATTTAAAGCCACTGTTTCTTGACCCTAACTCTACACAATCTACACAAATATAGAAGATCCTAAATATTGAAATCATTGTAACTTTAGCATTTTATATATGAATATCTTGTACCTGGCTTGAGGCCAGTGGTGATGTTACTTTTGTTGTTGTTGTTCCGTAACAATGTAATAATTGTAGGATCCGATCTGGGTTGGTCACTGGAACCAGAGTTTTAGTCTTCTGATATTTTGGACTTGTGCTGGAGCTCATGCTCAGGGAACTTGTCTCTCACCATGTTTCACATTCACTCTTCACTCTTCACTCACCATGTTTCAGATTATGGTGAGAGAGAAGTCCGAAAGCTCGGAAGACTAAACCTCTGATCCCAGCAACCGACCCAGATTAGATCCTGCAACATTATCCTGGGACACGTTGATTCGCCTTCATTCGTAATGTAATAATTGGTTGTTCTTTTTAGGACTGCCTTGTTTGCTTATTGACTGCGACAAAAAAGGTTGTAAAAACAGGTTGGTCACATGAACAAATCATTTTAGAATAGAATAGAATTTTTTATTGGCCAAGTGTGATTGGACACACAAGGAATTTGTCTTGGTGCATACGCTCTCGAAGTACATAAAAGAAAAGATACGTTCATCAAGTATCATAAGATACAACACTTAATGATAGTCATAAGGTACAAATAAGCAATCAGGAAACAATATCAATATAAATCATAAGGATACAAGCAACAAAATTACAGTCATACAGTCATAAGTGGAAGAAGATGGGTGATAGGAACGATGAGATTAATAGTAATGCAGACTTAGTGAATAGTTTGACAGTGTTGTGGGAATTATTTGTTTAGCAGAGTGATGGCATTCAGGGAAAAACCGTTCTTGTGTCTAGTTGTTCTGGTGTGCAGTGCTCTATTGCGTCGTTTTGAGGGTAGGAGTTGAAACAATTTATGTCCAGGAAGCGAGGGGTCTGTAAATATTTTCACAGCCCTCTTTTTTTACTTGTGCAGTATACAGGTCCTCCATGGAAGGCAGGTTGGTAGTAATTGTTTTTTCTGCAGTTCTAATTATCCTCTGAAGTCTGTGTCTGTCTTGTTGGGTTGCAGAGCCAAACCAGACAGTTATTGAGGTGCAGATGACAGACTCAATAATTTTATAACCATCATGACATGCAACTGTCATAAGATTCTCTTACGGTCACTAACTGTATCATCAGAACTCAGCAATAGGAAATAAGAGCAACTGTGTAGTTTGGACTGAATTTTAAAAAAGCCTTATTAATTTCAAACACAAGTTATTTTCTGTCACTGTTATCAGTAATTAGTTAGACATAATAGCAAGAAACTCGTCTGCTAAACTTATTGTCATTATACGGGTAGTCCTTGACTTACAACAGTTCATTCAGTGACCATTCAAAGTTACAACCGCACTGAAAAAAGTGACTTATGACTGTTTTTCGCACTTAACGATCGTTGAAGCCTCCCCATGGTCACATGATCAAAATTAAAATGCTCGGCAACTGATTCATATTTATGACAGTTGCAGGGTTCTGGGGCCACCGTTTGTGATCTTCTAACGGGCAAAGACATGGAAGAAGCCAGATTCACTTAACAATCTTGTTACTAATTTAACAATTGTAGTGATTTACTTAACAACTGTGGCAAGAAAGGTCTTAAAATGGGTCAAAATTCATTTAACAAATGTTTCACTTAGCAACAGAAATTTTGGGCTCAATTGTGGTCATAAGTCGAAGACTATCTGTATTGTCAATTTAATTGGCATGCTGAAGATTTTTAACATTGAACACATATGCATTGTAATTTTCAATATGAAGGTTGCTTTATGCCAGTTCTCAAGAAGTTATTTAACTGTACTATTTATTGACGTGAAATCCGCTCTTATTGTAGGGTCACCAAATCAAATATTTCTACATCTGTTTCTAATTATTTCTCCTCCTATCCCTACTCAGGACGTTTCCCATGTTCTAACCAAAGTCTTCAAGAGCTTATATACTTCAGAGGTGATAGCAGCAGACATGGTGGATAATATGATCAAATCCCGTGGAGGAAAAAATCCCCATCATGAATACTTTGTGGAAGAATTGAGAAAGGTAAACTTTCCATTTATCTCTGTTCAGGAAAACATATAAGAATTAGGTGATTTAAACTTGCAAAGTTCTGCTTAATAACCATTCAGAATTGAATCATTTTGGAACAGTAGGAGATAGATGGAGAAGCAGGCCGGCAGACATTTTAGTTTACTTTATTGTCATTGCACCTCGTACAACGAAATTAAGTGCCATCTTCAGTGTACATTATAACTATTAAAATAAAACAAAAACACATATCCTTCACATTCTATATACAATTGAATTGAAAACTTGATATTGCATTAGTGTTGCACTCTACAGTAGAATTCAATATAGTTACTGCCCTGGGGTAGAAACTGTTTTTTCAGCCTATTTGTCCTTGTTTTTATTATCCTGTACCATCTGCCAGATGGTAAAAGTTCAAAAAAAGGGTGAGATCCAGGATGAGATGGATCTTTAAGAATGTTTTGAACTTTTCTTAAGGCAGCGGGAGCTATAAAGCTCTTCCAAAGAGAGGAGAGAGCAACCAATGATCCTCTGGGCAATGACGTTGGCCCTCTGGAGTGCTGTCGTATCTGCCAATATATCCAAAGACAGATAAACACACACAAGCATAACATTAATAAACATAAACATATGTTTATTAATTATGTACAAAATTAGAATAAATGTAATTGACTACATCAGAATCAGATCATCCTCTTCACGACCTGTTTTCCTGGTTAACTTCTGGAAGGAGACTTCGTGGTATCTGAAGCGGAATATCATGGGTGTCAAACTCGCGGCGTCACGTTGCCGTCACGTGATGTTTTGCAACATTTTCCCCCCTTTGCGGAGCTGGTGTGGCCGTAGCCGGCGCATGATACACCTGGCCTGCGGGCGGCCAGTTTGACACCCCCGATCTAGATTCAGTCACAGTTTTGTTTCATATAGTGGTATCAATCTTGTGAATTCTTAAGTTTCCTCTTTCCGCTATGTATACAAAATGGATAGCAATTGATATATGTATGTATGTGTATATCTGTGTATGTATCTGTGTTTGTGTAGGTATACATATTTATATATATAGCATGTGTATATGCATATTATATATGTAGTAGATATATACTTTTCTTTTGAGAGCAGGCAACATAATTTCATTTTTAATGTGTGCCACACAGTAGAAAAATGACAATAAATAGAATAGATTAGAATAGAATTTTTAATTGGCCAAGTGTGATTGGACAATCACACAGGAATTTGTCTTGATGCATATGCTCTTAGTGTACATAAAATAAAAGATATGTTCATCAAGAATCATAAGATAACATGTTATCTTATGTTATCTTAATCTTTATCAGAAGTCAATGGCCCATTTCTATCTTTAGCAGAATTCCTCTTTTTTGCATATAATATAAAAGATTTGTATTTTGATGTCAAATAAATTGAATCTATATTTAAATGTTAACCATGACAATAATAGCTCCGTGAAGAGTATAATCACCGGCAAATGGAGGCACAAATGTTGGAAAAACATATCATCCAAGCAAGGGCCCGGGCCATGGCAGAAGAGGAAAGGATCTTGAGTTTGTATCAGCTAGAAATTCCAGAAACCTACCGCCGAGCTGCAATGCCATCAGGTGAAGGAATGAACATTTCCTATGTTCCCTTTTACAGGTAATCCTCGACCCGCGATCACATTGGAGCCCAACATTTCTGTTGCTAAGTGAGACAGTTGTTAAGTGGGTTTTTCCCCTCCCCCCATTTTATGACCTTTCTTGCCACAGTTGAATAGCTGCAGTTGTTAAATTAGTAATATGGTTGTTAAGTGAATCTGACTTCCCAATTGACTTCGCTTGTCAGAAGGTCACAAAAAAGGATCATATGACTCCAGGGACACTGCAGCCATCATAAATACATGCCAGTTGCCAAGCATCAGAATTTTGATCATGTAACCGCAGGGATGCTGCAAAGGTTGTAAGTGTGAAAAATGATCACTTTTTTTAGTGCTGTTATAACTTTAAATGGTCCCTAAACAAATGGTTGTAAATTGAGGATTGCTTCTATTCTAATATAACTTATACCATGGAAAAGTGTCCTTTGGTTTTCTAGAAATTAGTAAGGATTTGTTTTGACCTTGTTGGTATGCGAAGGATTGATGGCAAGGAACTTCATCTTCTTCTTGTGCCATATCTGTCATTGGACGTTGGCGATCATGTTAGCGATCCTATTTTTATCAACAGCCGCATGAAAAAGAGCTGTTGAGTTTTGTCCAAAGCAGTCCCTTCGATTTTAAAGCCATGATGTTCTTCTTCTGCCTGGACCTTGTTTACCTTCAATCTTTCCCTGGAGGAGTAAGTGAAGTATGCCATATTTTTCCAGGTGTGACATCAAATGTCCAAAATATTCTAACTTTCACTTTTTGATGGTTTTGATGATTTTCCTTGGCTTACCCAGGTGGCTTATCACCTCCTCATTTCTGATTTTCTCAACCCAGTTTATACATAACAGCCGCCTATAAATCCACATTTCAAATGCACACAAATCCTATTTGGTTGGTTTACTGAAAAATTAGAAAAATTAAAATTAAGATGAAGAGACAAAAGGAAAGTCTTTTTATTTGTCTGCTCCCATTTTTCAGCCCAGGATAATTCCTGTGAAAAATAAGTGCCTCCAAAGCTATTCTTTTTTTTTCTTTTCTTTTTTTGGTGGGTGTGGAAATTGATTACAAGTAGTCCTTGACTTGCAACTATTTGTTTAGCGACTGTTGAAAGTTGGAACGATACTAAAAAACCTGATGGCTGTTGCCGCATCCCCATGGCCAGATGATCAAAATTTGGGTGCTTGGCAACCAGCATTTGTTTACAATTGTTGCAGCATCCCTGGATTGTGTGATCATCCTTTGCGACCTTCCCAGCTGGCTTGCAACAAAATCAATGGCAGACCACATGATTCATTTAACAACTGCAGTGATTCATGGCAAAAAAAAGATTGAAAAACAGGGCAGATGTTTTATGTAACATCTGTCTTATTCAGCAACGGAAATTCTGATCCCAATTATGCTTGTAAGTCAAAGATTAGCTGTCCTGGCCTGTTTCCCTTCCAAAATGTTCTATTCCCCTATATAAAGAAATAATGGGAACGATTTATTTTTAAAAACTTACCTCTCTTAAATGTGCCTTTGCCTAGTGAAGTCTACGTTCAGATGGTGTGTGGATGGCGCCCTTCTTAAAAAACACCATTTAATCTGTCCTGATGATTACATCACAGATCCGGTACTACTAACCCATGCTCCTAAAGGTAACTAGAAAGACGAAGGTGACTTTTTCCAGGACGCAATGTATAGTCATACCTGAAAGTATATGAGATTGTCATTTTAAAAAAAATACATGTATGAACGATGAACGTTCTGTTTCTAGATTTCTTTCTGAACTTAACTTTTCTCTAAATGCAGATTTCTCAGAACCGGGCTATTTGAAAGAAACTGATTGTAAACACTACGTTCCTCCTGACTCAGAGGTTCTCCAATTCAAGGAAAATTCACGTATCAAAAAGCTATGGGCAAGTCTTCCAGATGTGTCTTTGTCCAGTTTAACTCTGGACTCTTCAGATGCTGATTTTTCAGACAGATCTGTGGCATGGCTCTATAAGGTACAGCCTAGTTTTGTTTTGCTACTGCTTTGACATTGTTTTCTGATCCATCCCCACAGGGAATAAACAGATAAAACAGATAAAACAGGGACAGCCCGTTTCCTGTTTTATATATTTTAATATATTTTATTTTTTAAATGCTAACTGCTCGATGTAGAATTTGTAGGGACATTTCCCTCCCAAAACAGAGGCCATATTGTCCTTGCTTAAATGTGTCTTGGGAAACATAAGGAGCCTGGATAGCTCTGCAGACTAAGCACTGTGATTTAACACCAGCTGTCTGCAATTAAAGTAAGTTCGAATCTCGCCAGGCTCAAGGTTGACTCAGCCTTCCATCCTTTCTAAGGTAGGTAAATTGAGGACCCAGTTTGTGGGGGCAATAAGCTGACTTTGTATAAAATATACAAAAGTATTAAGGCTATTGCTTAACGCACTGTAAGCCGCCCTGAGTCTCCGGAGAAAGGCAGCATATAAATCAATTTTTTTTTTAAAAAGTGCCTGCTTCAACTGCAGAAACGATGTTGGCAGTTTTTGGTGCTCTCTGAGCTTGGCTATACATGTATAAACGTTTCATTACCCTACTAGGTGACAGCACTGATGATGCTACCTCGTTGGGTAATGAAATGTCTGCAAGCAAACAGCCAAGTTTTTTTTTTAAGTTTTTTATTTTTTAGACAAACAAACATTTAATACATCGATTATCTCTTCCCTGGGACATCTCGGTGTTATCTTCCATAATTCTTTCTTCTTCTGTATAGTTATTACTTCTTCGATTTTGATCCTTATCCAATCCATAGTATCAATTCGTCACTAATATAATATTCTACTCATCACATATTTATACATACTTATATAGTTAATCATTTATATCTCTTCTCCAACCAATAATAGAAATAATTCCAAATTTTAAAATACTCTGAGTCTTCTCTATCCTTAACCATCAAAGTTAATCTATTCATTTCAGCACAGTCTAGGATTTTTTTTATTACTTCTTCTTCCAAAGGTATTTTCTCTGCTTTTCAATTTTGTGCATAAACAATCCTTGCAGCTGTTATTACATGTATTATCAAATAAGCATTTTCCTTACTCGTTTTTTCTGGTAGGATACCCAATAGGAATAGCTCTGATTTAAATTCACTACGTTGATGTATCATTTCCTCCAACCATGTCTTAATTTTACTCCAATAGTTTTTGGCTTCCAAACATGTCCACCACATATGATAATATGATCCTGGAAGTTGATGACACTTCCAACATTTGGCTGATTTATCTTTAAACATTTTTGCTAATTTCTCAGGTGGCATGTGCCATCTATAAAACATTTTATATTGATTTTCCTTATATGCAGTGGATATTGTTAATTTATAGTTCCTTTCCCATAGTTGTTGCCATTTTTCCAAATCAATTGAATATCCAAAATTTCTTCCCCAAGCTATCATTGTTGCAAACAGCCAAGTTTAGGGGGCACAGAGGACTCTTCAATTTCAACCCTGAGCTACAAATATTCTCTTCCGTTAGAAAAGATTTTGCATAGAAGAAGGTCTGTTTGTTTGTTTGTTTATTAATTTTATATGCTGCCCATCTTCCTGACAGGGTGATTCTGGGAGGCTTACAGTTCATAAAAAGATAAATAGGAAAGGAATTAAAAATTAAAATCTAAGGATATTAAAACTATAGGCAGTTCTCAATTTACAACAGTTCATTTAGTAACCATTCAAAGTTACAACAAAAACTGACTATTTTATGACTATTTTTCACACTTGCGACTGTTGCAACATCCCCATGGTTGTGTGATCAAAATTCAATTGTCTGGCAATTGACTCATATTTATGACGGTCGCAGTCTCCCGGGGTCATGTGATCCGCTCTTGTGACCTTCTTGTGACAAGCAAAGTCAATGAGAGAAGCCAGATTCACCTAACAGTTGTGTTACTAATTTAGCAACTGCAGTGATTCACTTAACCACTGTGGCAAGAAAAGTCGTAAAATGGGGCAAAACTCACATGTCGGAACAGCTCTCAGTCTGCTAGTAGATGTTTGTGGAGATTCTCAGTCATCCAGGTCAAAGATTCTTTTTTTTTTTTCCTCTTCAAAAGGACACTGGAGTGTTTTTTCTTTAAGGAGGAAGAAGAAAAAAAAAACATTTTGCTCCTCATCCAAGAAGGATAAGTTCTGATAGGAACTTCAGGTGCAGAAAAACATACATATATGTTTCCCAGTAAGAGAAATGGAGATAGGTAGTCCTCCACTTGCGACTTCAATTGAGCCCAAAATTTCTGTTGCTAAGTGAGACATTTATTAAGTGAATTTTGCCCCTTTTTAATGACCTTTCTTGCTACAGTTGTTAAGCGAATCATTGCAGTTTTTAAGTTAGTAACAAGATGGTTAAGTGAATCTGGCTTCTCCTATTGACTTTGCTTGTTAGGAGATCGCAAAAGGTTGACCCTAGGACTCTGCAACTCAGTGGTGGGTTGCTACCAGTTTGCCCCAATTCAGGTGAACTGGTAGCAGCGGCGGTAGGAGGCTTCGCCCACCCGCCCGGACGTCATCAAATACGCTCTGCACATGCGCAGAAGTGGTGTGTGTGCGAGCGAAGTAGTAGCAAAGGTAAATGAAACCCACCCCTGTCTGTCATAAATATAAATCAGTTGCCAAGCATTTGAATTTTGACCACGTGACCATGGGGATGCTGCAAATTTTTTCAGCCCCCTTGTAACTTCAAATGGTCACTAAATGAACTATTAAGTCAAAAAAGATCAATACCGGATACTGAAACTTATTATCAAGAAAGATGTTGGGGTCCACTTTGCTGGACCAAACAGGAACTGGACAAGCTCTCTGTTGGGAGGTTTTAAATAAGATTCTTGCCCTAAGCAAAATACAGTGGCTCCTTCCGTTCTAGGGTTTTGAAAATCTCTAAATTTGTGGGATCAGTTTTTGGTGATACAGGTTGAATCTTATATAAAAGTCTATCTGAAAGCATGTTTCTTGTTTCATCTTTGATAGAAGAAAGCTAAAGCCTTGGGCAAACCCGTCTGGATGGATGAAATGTCCAGAGCTGACCGGCAGAAAGACCGTCTATATCTTCAGAGAATGAAAGAGCGCCACAATTTCCTGAAAAATCCTCGCTTTTTCCCACCTAATTCACTCCATGGAGGCAAGTCCTTGATTCTGCCTCAAAAGAAGGCGGAGCGGATAATAGGAGGAAGAAGAAAGTTTGTGACGGAAAGGTAGCTCTTTTTAAAACACTTACCCAACTGGCCCTCTTAGCTGCAGCAGTGGTATTTAACATTTATGTGCTTCTCCCTCTCCCAAACATTCCAAGACATTCTATACCTGAATGCAAAAAATCTTTATGTTGCTCAGGGAATACAGCCTGCCTGTTGCAAAAAAGGGAAGAGGAAATTTTACACAAGGTTGTTGCTTTTGATAGCAAGGTAGGGCACATCCTGCCTTCAAAGACCAGCTGATATAAACTCACTGTGAAGCACAACTGTGGGAGCATCGCCAGTTGGCACATCTTCTGCTTTGAGAAAACGAAATCGACCCCAGATGCTGAACATGGAGGAGTCGCCTAGCCTTTCAGGGCTCAGATTCAAAAAATGTCAGAATCACAATATTCTTCAGCCAGGGTGCCACTGAAATATTGACATCACCGCCTCCTCTTTCAGGAGGGCATGGGGTGGTTTATGTCTGCACCAAAAGATAATTTCTTTCATTTTGGCTAAAACAAAAGGCCATGCCTACCTTTGGAGATGCAGGGACTCAGTGGCTAAGACGCTGAGCTTGTCGATCGAAAGGTCGCCAGTTCAGCGGCTTGAATCCCTAGTGCCGCATAACAGGGTGAGCTCCCATTACTTGTCCCAGCTTCTGCCAACCCAGCAGTTAGAAAGCACGTAAAATTTGCAAGTAGAAAAACGGGGATCATCTTTGGTGGGAAGGTCACAGTATTCTGTGCATCTTTGGAGTTTAGTAATGTCGGCCACACGACCACGGAGACGTCTTCGGACAGCTTTGGGTCTTCAGTTTTGAAACGGATATGAGCACCGCCCCCTAGAGTCAGGAATGACTAGCACATATGTGCGAGGGGAACCTTTACCTTTACCTTTGGAGCAGCATGATGGCGCAGAGTTGGGAAGAAACTTAGTGGCCCTAAGGCTGAAATATATGTTTGAGAGTGCAGTGTTTCTGAACCTCCATAATTTCACAATGTCCTTCCTGGCTGGGGAAATTCTGGGAGTTGAAGCCCACACATCTTAAAAGTTGTTAAGATTGAGAAGCACTGTGAGAGATTTCAATATAATGAAGTTCACTTTACAGATGGTCCTCAGTTTACAAACACAATGGAGCCCCAAATTTCTGTTGTAAGCAAAACAGTTCTTCAGTGAATTTTGCGCCATTTTACAAGCTTTCTTGCCACAGCTGTTGAATCACTGCAGCTGTTAAGTTAATAATTTAACAGTTATTTTTATTTTTATTTACATGGTCTTTTTATATCCTTGTAAACTGCCCTGTAAACAAACAAACTCGCTTCTTGAGTGAATCTGGCTTCCCCTATTGACTTTGCTTGTCAGAAGGTCGCAAAAAGGGATCACATGACCCCGGGACCCTGCAAACCGTCATAAATACGAACCAGTTGCCAAGTGTCTGAATTTTGATCATGTGACCACAGGGCTGCCGCAGCAGTCGTAAGTGTGAAAAACGGTCCTAAGTCACTTTTTTCAGTGCCGTTGTAACTTTGAATGGCCACTAAACCAACTGTCGTAAGCCGAGGACTGCCTGTACTGAAGTCAGGAAGCCTAACCCTTTTCTCCTGTCACATTAAATACCTACAGTCATTTTTCTGGAGAAACTGTGGGGCCAGAGGCAAGCTCTGAGGAGAATGCAGAGACGTACCGTAACCCCCATTCAAGCCAAGCAGACCTGGCTGACATGCAGCCCGTCCTGATAATTCTCTTGACCATCTTTTTTTTTCTTTTTCTTTTTAATTTCAGCGATTCCCAGTCAGTACCGATCTTCCTATCAAACCCTCCTGCAGTGGTGTTTACAGAATATGAAGTTGGCCAGGTTTATGAGGTAAAAGTCACTCAGGAGAATTTCTGACATCCGCTGGTCTATTAATTTGCTTTTTTCTTCCCAACTGGATCGGAGTAAAGGGATACTTTTAATTGAATAGAGGGAGTCCTCGATTTATGACTGGTCACTTAACGATCAGTTCAAGTTTCAGTGGACCCCCTATAAAGGTGCTTAACATTCCAAAGTTCAAACAGCCATCCTCCCCCATTTATCCTCCATAAATGACTGCATTTATGGTTATTTGCTGCGTCCTGTGGTCATATGATTGTGTTTTTGCTGAAAACGGGCATTTATTTCTGGTTTCCAGCAAAAGCAGGGGTGAAATCCAGCAGGTTCTGACTGGTTCTGGAGAACTGGTAGCAGAAATTTTGAGTAGTTTGGAGAACCAGCAAATACCACCTCTGGCTGGCCCCAGAGTGGGGAGGGAATGGGGATTTTGCAGTATCCTTCCCCTGCCACGCCTGCCAAGCCACACCCATCAAGCCACACCATGCCCACCATGCCACGCCCACAGAACCGGTAGTAAAAAAATTTGGATTTCACCACTGGGCAAAAGCCACCCCATAATGAACAACGGCTTCAGTTAATGTCCGTGGCTCTTGTTTAAAGACAGCCACAAGAAAAGTTGTAAAATTGGGTTTGTCACATAACCTGACTAGGTGGCTCAGTGGCTAAGACACTGAGCTTGGCAATCAGAAAGGTCGGCAGTTCAGCGGTTCAAGTCTCCGTGAGCAGGGGGTTGGACTAGATGACCTCCAAGGTCCCTTCCAACTCTGTTACTGTTACATGGTGACTGCTTTATGTCTATGACAATTTAAAACTGCAATTCTCAGGCTCATTTACAGCCTTAAGTCAAGGACTACCTATAAATCAAACCTATGAACTCTTCTCTCCTTCAAGGATAGATCCATCACTGGAGGTTTTTAAGAAGAGACTGGACTGTCACTTGTTGGAAATGGTATAGGTTCTCGTGCTTGAGCAGGGGGATGGACTAGAAGACCTCCAAGGTCCCTTCCAGCTCTATTCTGATTCTGATTCTAATATCACAGTCAATCTTTTCACAATCAAGGGCCCTCATATGTTTTATAAATTTGTAGGCAATGAAAAATGGGTGCAATGATAACAGTGCCAAAAATGTTCTGACTGTTTTGGGCAGGAGAATAGTTGTAGGCTTTTTAAGGATAAAAATTGGCTGTGCTTGGCTTTCAGACCCTTGACATATCGATTCCCACTTATTTTTGCCTTCCCTTCATCCCCCAATTTTTTGGTGCTGAATATTGTCGTTATGCTTTGGGGGCTACTCTTTGGATTACAAACTGTCTGGGGGAGCTGCATTGGCTCTGTCCTTCCTTTCTTTGTAGATGACAATAGAGTTACAGAACATGACCTCCACATCCCAAAGTGTCAGAATTATTCCTCCAGCTACATCTGCCTTCTCAGTTGTGATGGGTGAGTTCTTGCCAGATGCTATGTCAGTTTCTAATCAGATGTTTTTTTTGGCAAAAATTGGTTTCCATGGATTGCTTCCAAAAGATGGAAATGGCCTCAAAAGAATGCTACAGCAGATGGCAGCAGCTGACTGTTTTTGAAAAATAGCTAAGCAGAGTCAGATCTGATGAATATATTTTATTTATTAATTTGTATTATTATTATTATTGTTGCAAATAATTCAAAGCAGCGAATATAGCTAGCACATCTTCCCTTTACTTTCCCAAGCCAGTAACCCTGTGAATTGGGTTGTGGGGGAGAAGGAGAGTAAGAGGGAGAGAAACTGGCCTAAGATCACTGATTAAGCTTTCATGCTTAAGGCTGGACTAGAACTCATAGCCTTCCACTTTCAAGTCTGGTGTCTTAACCAACTAGATCAAAATGGTTGGGAAAACACTCAAAGAATCTCAAGATGACAGAATAGAGCAGGGATTCCCAACCGAGGGTGCTCGCACCCTCTGTGGGGTGCAAGACAATATTCCAGGGCGTGCAAAAACGTGGGTTTAGAAGTTTCAAAATTACAGTGTATATGCATAATTATATGCACATAATTATTTTTTTAAGGGGTGCGAGAATAGATCAGAGGTGCGGGGTATAGAAAAGGTTGGGAACCCCTGGAATAGAGTATAGATAGCCTTTGAGTTACGGCCATAAAGGAGCTCGCATATTATGAACATAAATTGTGATAGTCATAAGCGGGGTTGGTCATGTGACTGGTTTCTTCTACCATGGGGCTTTGTTATCACTTTTACCAGTTGCTCCTTAACGGCTCACTTCCTCCAAGGCCAGTTCTAAAATCCTTTACACCATGGGAGAGAACTGGTGTGCCTTACACGGTGGGATTCCCTTCCCTTTCCTACCAGTTTGCAAATGTAAGCGTGCATGCACCTCTGTGTATGCGCATGGCCTCCCATGCATGTACATTGCTTGCCCATTACGTCTGGGCAGGTGGGCGGAGCCTCCTGCAGTCGCCACTACCGGTTCGCCCGAACCGGATAGAACCGGCTGAATCCCAACAGTGCTTTCACATCTACCAGGTTCACACACGCTCCTAAGCCATTTTTAAGCACATGGCTTATTAAATAAACCATAATAGGCTGGTTTCAGTCACCTGGCTAACTTAGATCAGATTATTTTATCATAATATGATTGCAAAATCTGCAGGGCGCTATATTAATGGTGTCAGACCATGCTGGCCTTCATAAAAGCCACAAAGACCTGGCTTTTTCAGCCCCTCTTGAGTGTGTGGAGCTGGGTTGATTGATATTAATTCTCTTTCATACGATGCTATGAAATAGGGTTACAAGTCATGATTTTGTGAATCCGCTTTTTATGGTTATGTTGTTCTCCAACATGGTAACTGACTTTTATCGTGTTTCTGTTTTTACTATGTTTCTTACAAATAATTACACAATTAGATACATATACAGGCAGTCCTCAACTTACAACCACAATTGAGACCAGAATTTCCATTGCTAAGCAAGACAGTTGTTAAGTGAGTTTTGCCCCATTTTATTACCTTTTTATGCCACAGTTGCTAAGTGAATCATGCTTTTATTAAGCAAATCTGGATTCCCTCATTGACTTTGTTCATTGGAACCAGCTGGGAAGCTTACAAACTCTAGTCACATGACTCCAGGAGATGCAACCATCATAAATAACCCGCCAGTTGCCAAGTGCTGGAATTTTGACCATGTGACAATGGGGATGGCTGCAATGGTCATAAGTATGAAAAATAGTTTGCAAGTCACTTTTCCCAGTGCCGTTGTAATTTTGAACTGTTGCTAAATGAATGGTTGTAAGTCGAGGGCTATCTGTATACTATTATAAAGAGTTCCCACCAGTGGTGGGATTCAAATAATTTAACAACCGGTTCTCTGCCCTAATGATCAGCTGGATGGGTGTGGCCATGGTGGGTGTGGCCAGAGGGTGTGACAGGTAGAACTTGGCCTCCTGCACCCCCCTGGGAGAAAAAAATGGGCTGTGGGGGGATGTGCCCCCCCCGCACCCTGTTTTGGGCCTAGTAGGCCTCTATACACCGCCCTGGGAGTGAAAATGGGCCCAGGAAGCCTTCCTGAAGCCTTCTGGGAGCGAAAACGGGCCATGGGGGGTATTGCGCCACCTCCCTACACCCCGTTTTGGGTCTAGGAGGCCTCACTGCATTTTCCTGGGGGACAAAATGGGGTATGTAGGGAGTCCTGGAAGGGGCGGGGCAGAGTGAGGCCAGCCAGCAATTTAACTACCAGTTTGCCCGAACCGGCTGAATCCCACCACTGGTTCCCACCATTGTGGTGTTATGTGACAAGCACAAGCGACCCATGCAGTCAGAATTTTCTAACGAAAGTCCTTCCTTTCCAGGGAAGTTTCCAGGTGAAGGTGGACTCGTTGCTCCTGGGATGAGCTGTTTCTACATCATCCAGTTTATTCCTGAATATCTTGCAGAGTATGATGATTATCTACTGGTGGAATCACAGGCAGCCTATCCGCTCCTGGTCCCTCTGCAAGGCAGAAGGCCACCTCCCATCTTAACACGTGAGCTGATTATGTGACAATCACCCAAGGGAGAGTTTTTCTTTTAGTGCTTTGCTTTTCCACTTAATAAGGCTTCATTAGCAAAATGAAATGTCAGTGCAAGTAGTCTTCAACTATCAATTGAGTCCAACATTTCCGTTGCTAAATGAGGCAGTTGTTCAGTGAGCTTTGCACCATTTTACGGCCTTTCTTCCCACCGTTGTTAAGTGAATCTCTGCACCTGCTAAGTGAGTAACTGGCTTCCCCATTAACTTTGCTTGTCAGAAGGTAGCAAAAGGGGATCCCATGACCCCGGGACACTGCCACTGTCATAAATACGAGTCAGTTGCCAGGTGTCATGATCTTATGACCATGGGGATGCTGCAAGGGTCGTAAGTCTGAAAAACGGTCATGAGTCACTTTTTTTCAGTCCCATCGTAACTTTGAATGGTCATTATGATTGTAAGTCAAGGACTACCTGTAATGATGTCATGAAAACCTTCAATGAATGAGATTAGGCCAAAGGCCCAGCATCTATGACCAGCTATCTTTAGATATCTGTGCCTGCTTCATCTTTAAGTATGGCAGCTTCTGCCTAGTCTCACTGCTGGAGACTTGAGAATAGTCATAAAGGAGAATATTTGTAGCTCAGGGTTGACATGAGGGGTCCTTGTTGCTCTAGTTTGGGGAAATGAAACTTCTGCAAGAAAACAAGCAAGTTCAGAGAGCACCAAGGACTCCTCACTTGAGAACACAAATCTGCAGGGCCTTGTCTCCCGCAAGTCATTTCCTCCTTACCCTTCCTAGTCTCCTGTGTACTGTGGAAGCCACTCTTCCAGATTCATTCACCATTTTTCAACTTTAAATAATCAAAATGTGATTCTCGCCCATTTTCGTTTGCTACTTTTTCATCTGTCCTTCTTTCAGTGCCACAGATCCTGGATTGTGGAGCCTGCTTGGTGGGCGGAGTAAAATTTGTAGAGTTTGAGTGCAAAAACGAAGGGCTCAGTGTTGGAAAGTTTTGCATCATGCCGAAGGAAATGTGGCCACCGCCTAACTTTCGGGTAAGTGTTGCAGAGCCCGATGCTCTTTCTTTACCGCACCAGTCCTATTGAAAAAGGGCCCTTGTGGCTCAGCAGACTGATAGCATTGTGATTAACACCAGCTGTCTGCAATTACTATAAGTTAGAATCTCACCAGGCTCAAGGTTGACTCAGCCTTCCATCCTTTCTAAGGTAGGTGAAATGAGGACCCAGATTGTGGGGGCAATAAGCTGACTTTGTATAAATATACAAAAGTATGAAGGCTATTGCTTAATGCATTGTAAGCCACCCTGAGTCTCCGGAGAAGGGCGGCATATAAATCAAATTAAAAAAGAAAAAAAAAAGAAGTAGAACCGAAAGGGGACGATTTCTGGCCACATATGTTTGTATTCTGGGTTTCTGAGGGACCAGAAAGGATGTAGATAGTCCTTGACTTTAAGAAATCTCTTTTTGAATATCCACCACTTCTTCCGCTTTGTCCACTGCGATAGCCAGGTGAATTCATCCCTTGGTTGGTGGATTCCCCTGATTCATTAGCTTCCTGTTCCAGTAAAAAAAGGAAAGGGAAAAAAACCCCCACCCACTTGAAGTTTCAGATCCTGGAATGTAGATGGTGAAAGTGCAAAACTTTTGCCACTTTCACTTTGTTAAAAAAAACTGTGCAAGGCGGGACAGCTCCATCTTTTCTCTCCACTTCTCTGTGAATTTACCTGTTCACCATGTGCAGAGAAGAGCAATAAAGATAGAATAGAGTAGAATAGAATATAGTAGAGTTGAATAGAATAGAGTAGAATAGAATAGAATAGAATAGAATAGAATAGAATAGAATAGAATAGAATAGAATATGGAATAGAATGGAATGGAATGGAATAGAATAGAATAGAATAGAATAGAATAGAATAGAATAGAATAGAATATGGAATAGAATGGAATAGAAAATGGAATGGAATAGAATAGAAAATGGAATAGAATGGAATGGAATGGAATAGAATAGAATAGAATAGAATAGAATAGAATAGAATAGAATAGAATAGAATAGAATAGAATAGCAGAGTTGATGATGTTACTGGTGGCTAAATTGTAGGATGGACATTTGAGGAAGCTAGCTATGGTCTAGCCTATCAAGGAGAAGGATTTGGGGTGGGGCCATGATAGCAGGGTTCCAATATCTAAGGGGCTGTCCCAGAGAAGAGGGGGCCAATCTATTCTCCAAAGCACCAGAGGGTAGGGCAAGAAGCAATGGATGGAACCTAATGACGGAAAGAAGCAACCTAGAAACAAGGAGCAATTTCCTGACAGTGAGAACAATTAAGCAGTGGACCAGCAGTTAATATAAGTGCTCCATCACTGGAGGATTTTAAGAAGAGATTGGACAGCCATTTGAGGGGGATATTATAAGGGATATTATAATCTCCTGCCTTGAGCAGGGGGTGGGGGGTTGGATTAGAAGACTTCCAAGGTCTCTTCCAGCTCTATGATCTTCTATGTTCTTATTTAAAAAATGAGGGCTGTGAAAAGCAGGAACTAGGAGGGGAGATTGTGTGTCAATGCATAGGAGCAAATTGGTGAGTAGGAGTTTGCCTAAAATAAAATAAATTGCATCACTGCCTCAGCTGGCACAGGTCCGAAAAGCCAATTTTTGGGGGGAGGAATAGCAAAAACAGCCACGGTGGCACAGTGGTTAGAGTGCAGTACTGCAGGCTACTTCTGCTGCCTGCCGGTTGCCTGCAATTTGGCAGATCGAATCTCACCAGGCTCAAGGTTGACTCAGCCTTCCATCCTTCCGAGGTGGGTAGAACGAGGACCCAGATTGTTGGGGGCCATAGGCTGATTCTGTAAAACTGCTTAGAGAGGGCTGTAAAAACACTGTGAAGCGGTACATAAGTCTAAGTGCTATTGCTAACAGACGAGTGGAAGCTGCCTGGGTTGAATAGTAGGAAGAATTCACCCATTTGGAAAATAGGGTTCTCTCCTTCTCCTGGGGCAAACTGGTCATGCGAATCAGCTCTTAATCGGATTCATTTTTTCCCCTCTTGATTTGAAGTCTGTCGCCACTCTGGGTTACGTGGAACAATATCCATTTGGAATTTGTCCGGCTGTCTTCGAACTTGCTCCGGGTCAGTCTATCCCAATTGAGGTCAGTTCCTGGCAATATCGCTCATGCTTCCAGCCTACTTGCAAACTTAATAATGCCATTTTCATTTTATTTTCATTTCGGTCATTCTCTAAGCCGGATGTAGCCGATGCTCCCTTCATTTGACTAGGGAATTTATATTAGGATCAGCTGCTCTCAAAGTCCCAGGAGGATTTTATGTAGAACTGTTATCAGGTAGTTATTTTTTTGTTTAGTTATTTGTATCCTGCCTTTATTATTTTCACCAATAGATCAAGGCAGTGAACATGTCCAACACATCATCTTCCTCCTATTTTACCTCACAACAACAACCTTGTAAGGTGGGCTGAGAGAGAATGACTGGCCCACAGTCATCTAGCCAGTTTTCATGTCTAAGGCAGGACTAGAATTCAGAGTCTTCTTGTGATTGGCCCAAAGTCACTCAACTTTCAAGGCTAAAGTGCAACTAGACCAAATTTTATAGTGAGTTATAGTTATAGCGAGTATGCTTTGTTCACAGTTTGTTCTCACACTGAAAGATAAGAAAAGTTTCACAGCGTCACGATTTTCTCAGATTTTTCAAGTACAAGTAGTCCTTGACTTACAACAGTTCATTTAGTGACTGTTCAAAGTTACAATGGCACTGAAAAAAAGTTACTTATGATCATTTTTCACACTTACAAACTTTGTAGCATCCCATGATCATGTAATCAACATGCTTGGCAACCGACTCATACTTATGACCATTGCTGTGTTTCCAAGGTCATGTGATCCCCTTTTGCAACCTTTTGACAAGCAAAAACAACTGGGAAGCCAGATTCACTTAACAACCATGTTACTAACTTAGCAACTGCGGTGATTCAGTTAACAACTGTGGTAAGAAAGTAGTAAAATGGGGCTAAACTCACTTAACATCTCTCTCATGTAGCAACAGAAATTTGGGGTTCAATTGTGGTCGTAAATCAAGGACTACCTGTATGATATTTTGATTTACAGATGATAAGCAAATTTGATGAATAAAATAAAAAAGAGAAGAAAATAGAAAAATTTCCCCCTTCTTTTTTCCATGCTAGAAGTAGTTTTACTACACTTATTTCTGACTTTTCTTTGATATTAGAAGCTTACCATTAGGAAGAAAATAGCTTAACGCTTCTTGACTAAATGAGGAGGAGGAGGAGGAGGAGGAGGAAGAAATACAGGCAGTTGTCAATTAAAAACCATTCATTTAGCGACCATTCAATGTCATTACAGCATTGAACAAAGAGACTTAATGATCAGTCCTCAAAGTTGTGGCAGTTGTTGTGATCATACGGTTGCAATTTTGGTGCTTGGTTAACAGGCTTGCAGTTACAACAATCACAGGGTCCCATTTATCATGTGATCTGTAGGGTCTGTTTGGGCAGGGGGTTGGACTAGATGACCTACAAGATCCCTTCCAACTCTGTTAATCTGTTAACTTCTGATCGCCAATTTCAACCTTCGTTGCTAGCTTCTGACAAGCAGAGTCAATGGTAAAGCTAGCAGGAGGTCACAAATGGCGATCACGTGATGTCAGATTTAACGACCAAGCAGGTTTCACTGAACCGTAAGGGGAAGCGCTGGAACTGCTATTGTGAGTTGGGGTGGTCACATGACCTTGTACTTTACAACAATAACCAGTTTTCCTGGTCTCAATTACCGTAGTTAACAGAAGACTATCTGTATATATATAAAAAAAATCTCCTTGATAGCCGATTCTAAAGCATTAGATTGATAATCTGGAAATGTAAGTTCTGGCATTACATTTTGAAAGGAGAAATGGTACAGGTAGTCCTCGATTTACAACCACTTAATGACCGTGCAGAATTATAACAGCACTGAAAAAAGTGACTTATGACCATTTTTTTTTATAAAATAATTTTTATTGAGTATTTTACATTTTAAAACCAAACACACAATACCAAAAGAAATCAAGAAATAAAAACAAAAAACAAAAACACACATACACCAGACGTTAAAATACAATACTAACAACAGATATATACAATATGCATCAACTTTTATCTTTACTCTTAGCTTTTATCCTCCTGCTCCTTCTCTTTATTTTTAAATATTCATAATTAGCTGTTTTGTTAGCAGGATCCTTATTTACATTTATATCCAGTATGTTAATATTTAATTTCTCTTTATATTCTTATTTCTTAATTTGATTTCTGTTTTCCAGCCATGTATAAAACCTATTCCACACTTTATAATAATCCAAGTCTTCTCTTTCTTTGATCTCCATCGTTAATTTATCCATTTCGGCGCATTCGAGGATTTTCTTTATTATTGTTTCTTCCGATGGTGTATTGGTCGACTTCCACATTTGCGCTAGAGTAATTCTAGCTGCCATTAGAATATGCAATATAATATAATAGAGACTTTTTTCAATTTTTCTATCAATCATTCCTAGGAGGAACATCTCTGGTTTAAAATCTATCTTTTGGAGTGTAAGACTTATGACCATTTTTCAGACTTATGACCGTTGCAGCATCCCCATGGTCACATAATTTACATTCGCATGCTTGATAATTGACTCACATTTATGACAGTTGCAGTGGGTCCCGGGGTCATGTGATCCCTTTTGCGACCTTCTGACCAGCAAAATCAATGGGGGAAGCCAGATTCATTTAACAACAGTATTACTAATTTAACAACTGCAGTGATTCACTTAACAAATGTGTCAAGAAAAGTCATAAAATGGGGCAAAACTCACCGAACCAATTTCTTACTTAGCAACATAAATTTTGGACTCAATTATGGTCATAAGTTGAGGATTACCTGTAGTAAGGACAGTTGCAGCAAAACATATTTATTTTTTTAAAAAACGTTTATAAAATAAGAATTAGATCAGTAACTGGGATTCTCAGAGAATTGCTAGACTACATCCTGGAGAAAATTCACGATGACATTTGCCATTTTTAGTTTCTTACGTCTTTAAAAAAAAAAATTCTTAAAATTGCTGGTGTTTTGATGATGCAGAAATGTTTATTTTCAGGTAGTGTTTATGCCCATTTCTGCTGAAATCCTAACAGTGACATACATCACCGTTTGTGACAACTGCCATATCAACGAGATAACCGTGACAGGTTTGCCACTAACATCTCTTTGTTTGTTTTTCCGTTAAATGTAAAATGCCTGAGGTTTGGGCTAGAGATTGGGCATCACTAATAGCAATAGCATTTAGATTTATATACCACTTCACAGTGCTTTACAACCTTCTCTAAGCAGTTTACAGAGTCAGGCTTCCCCCCCACCCCCAACAATCTGGGTCCTCATTTTACTGACCTCAGAAAGATGGAAGGCTGAATCAACCTTGAGCTGGTCAGGGTCGAACTGCTGGCAGTCGGCAGAGTTAGCTTGCAATACTGCATTCTAACCACCACGTCACCACAGCTTGAATAAGATCCTTTAACTGGCAGCATCATGTTTGCAGCTGGAGTTCTCAAGGTGCAAATTCACAAAACTGCAAGCCAAGCTGAGTAGATTCTTAGAGATTTCATTCTTTAACCGTAGCATTAGAGAGCCAGGATAATGTACGAGTAGTCTTTGAGTTATGACCATAAATGAAACCAGAGTTTCCTTTGCTAAGCAAGGCAATTATTAAGAGAATTGTGCTTGATTTTATAACCTTTTTTGCCATATTAAGCAAATCTACTGCAGTTGTTAAGTGAATTTGGGTCAATTATGAGCTGCGGTGGCGCATTAGTTAAGAGTGCAGTACTGCAGGCTATTTCTGCTGATCACCAGCTGCCAGCAGTTTGGCAGATTGAATCTCACCAGGCTCAAGGCTGACTCTGCCTTCCATCCTTCCAAGGTTGGTAAAATGAGGACCCAGATTGTTGGGGTAATAGGCTGGCTCTGTAAACCGCTTAGGGAGGGCTGTAAAAGCTCTGTGAAGCGGTATATAAGTCTAAGTGCTATTGCTATTATCAGGCGATAGGGAATTCTAGTCTTAGGCATGAAAGCCAGCTGGATGACTTTAGTCCCACTCTCTCAGCCCAATCCACCTCACAAGGTTGATGTTGGGGGAAAATAGGAAGAGGAAGGAGAATTAGGTATGTTTGCCACCATGAGTTATTTATAACTTGATATGGGTGAATGTTAAGGAAAGCTTCCTAATGGTAATTGCAACCTGAAACTGAGATCAGTGACCTGGTGAGGGGATGAGATTTTCCTGGTGCAGGGGTCGGCAACTTTAAACACTCAAAGACCCACAAAGGTCCTAACCAGAAACCTCCCATTCAATTCTGGAACCAACTGGAAGTCCAGTTCCCCCACCATAAAGTCTCCTCCTAGTGCGGTGTCCTTTTTTCCTCTGCCGGCAGGAAGTCCAGTTCCCCCACCATAGAGTCTGCTCCTAGCGCGGCATCCTTTTTCCTCTATTTGTCCTAACCGAAAGCCCTATCAATTGTGGAGCCGACTGGCGACAGGAAGCTGCAGCAGAGGGATGAAAAAGCCACATGTGGCTCCAGAGCTGCAGGTTGCTGACCCCTGTCCTGATGGGATGTACTTAAGCAGAAATGAGCGCACCAGTGGTGGGTTCCTCCCAGTTCTTCCCGGTTCCGCCAAGCCGGTAGCTGTGACGATATGATGTCACCGAACCGGTTCTACGCACACCCCCCATTATTCTTACCTTTTATTTGGCCCCACCCCCAATCTATTGCTGCGTCCTGAGTCTCAGCTGATGGCTAGAGGGAAAAAACCTGTTTAAACTCTTGCCGCGGGGCTTCAAAGGGCCGTCCTACACCTGATCAGTGTTAAAAGGAAACAAATGAGTAGACTGGTGCCTGCAAAAATACATGAGTAGATCGGTGCCTGCAAAAATAAATGGGTAGATCAGTACAGCTCTGCAAGCAGTTAAAAGCCTGGTAGACCAGTATCTGCTGAATCCTAAATAATTGTCACATGACCATCAAGCCACACCCACAAAATAAACCACGCCCACAGAACCGGTAGTAAAAAAATTTAGAACCCACCCCTGGAGCGCACCCTCTGTGGGAATAATTTAATCAGAAGTCCTGCAGTGAGGAACTCCCCCACTGATGGTTAGACATGGTGCCTTCTTGTGGCACCTTTCAACTCCAAGATGTTATGATAGAGTGCATGGTGAGCTAATCATCTCATCCCTATATGTTGGTTGCAAGATTTTTTTAAAAAAAGACTCTTGTATTCTGTTCTTTCCCAGGACGTGGAGAGCTGATAGCATTGGAACTTTTGTCCGTTTCTGGTGGAGAGAGCAATCCTCTGCCCGGCGAGCTTATAGACATGACCTCGCAGCATCTTATACGCTTCAAGCCACTGAATCCACATTCTACGGCAGAGAAAACACTGATTCTGAGAAATATAACGTATGTATGATGCTTACATTGTAGTGCAGGAATGGGGGAGATTTGGGCAGGTCTGCAGGTGGGGAACAGGTCCAGTTGCATTTCCCCCCCATGAGTGAGATTTAAATCATGACTCATTTTCATTTAATGACCCCATAATTCCTTGTGGGGTGGAGTCTGGGCAACTGATTAGAGTTGAGTGTTTACTGGCCGGATGCCCTTCCTGTCGCCAATATGGAATTATATTCAGCAGATATATTCTCATCGTGGCCAGAGAGAGAAATATTTGCCTCTACCTAGGATCGAACTCAGGGCCTCCTGATTGTGAGGCGAGAGCTCCACCTCTAAGCCACTGCGCCACTCAGATTTCAATCATGACTATCTTCCAATAAATCACACTGACCCACACTGAGAACCAGTTTGATGTAGTGGATAAGGCATTAGGCTAGAAAGCAAGAGACTGTGAATTCTAGTTCTGCCTTAGGCATGAAAGCCCACTGGGTGACTTTGGGCCAATCGCCAGGAGACTCTGAGTTCCAGTTTTAGTTCTGCCTTAGGCACGAAAGCTGGTGGGTGACTTTGGATCAATCACCAGGAGACTGTGAGTTCTAATCTCATCTTAGACACAAGAGCCGACTAGGTGACTTTGGGGCAGTCATTCTCTATCAACTAACTCACTTTGCAGCCATATTGTTGTGGGGAAATAAGAGGAGAAAAGAGTATTTGCCATCTTGAGTTCTTTATAAAAATAAAAAAGGTAGGATTAAAATAATCTAAACAAAATGTTCTGAGTCACTGTGAAGAACTTAGTTCATAATCCCCATCAAAAATGGAGCTTGAAATATTTGCCTATCTTGTCACAAAGGTGCTTTTCCCAAAAGATATTTGGACTTGCTTTGTTTTTCCTTGAAGAAATTTCTCATCCAAGAAGCTTCTTCAGTTTTGACACTAGGCCAGGGGTGTCAAACTCGATTTCATTGAGGGCCTCATCAGGGTTGTATTTCACCTTGGGGGGCTGGGGTGGGTGTGGCCAGCTCGAAGTCACTCATGTCCGAGGCGCCTGTGGCAGCCGGAGCGCTTTGCCAGCGAAAACGGGCTCCCAAGCTCTGTTTCGGCTGCAATGACCTGCCACCCTCTGCCAGTGAAAGCAGAGCTCGGGATGGCCACCTCAGATCTAGCCCCTGGGCCTTGAGTTTGGCACCCCTGCTCTAGGTGGTTTATAACAGTAAAAACAGAAATGAAAAGAAGTGTAAATATAGCAGTAGCAAAATTGTGAAACAATAAACAGTGAAATAATAATAACAAGGAAAAATGAGATTAAAAGATGGGCAGAGGGAAGCAGGGAATGCAAAGGAGGGAGGTGGCTTTTGATACCAATCTGATGTCCACCTCCAGTGTGGTGCTCTCCCATTGGGTCCCCAGGCCAGACCTGGCAGAACCAGGTCTTGTGGAAGGATAGAAGGGTGGTGGCAGATCTCATCCTGAAGGGTAAAATAATAGCAGAACTTGCTTTCCAGTTTCTCAAACTCTTTTTCTTGAAGGCTTAAATAGGTGAAAGGGTTTAATTATCTGGATTTAGACATCCCTATATGACAACTGCATGGATGGAGTTCGTCCACTTCGATGTCCGATTGGATCTGGTTTTCACTCCATTTAATCTCTTGAGAATTAATTGACTGGATATATTGGTTTCTTTTTGATATTCTCATAAGGGAGTCACTTTTCTATTGACCTAGGTCATAGTGTTGTGTGAACAGGGCCAATGTGGAGCTCCTTGAATATCCCAGGCCAAATTTCTCCATTACAGTTGATCAGTTTTGCTTTTCAGAGAGGAGAGGAGAACGGTCCATAATCAAAGAACACAGAAAGCACAAAGAAACCCTGATTGTGGCCTATCAGGGTGAGGTTAAGTGCAGACTCTGTGGCTTGATTTCCATAGAAAACAAAAAACTTCCTGTCTACTCTCTGCTAGATCAAGTATGGTCCAGCCGATTAAGCTTGACAATGTCCAGATTTCCATGGGACAAACAGATAGAGGAACAAAAGAGTCCATGGGAACCGTCCCATAATGATTTAACTGATGGCACTATCTGGACATGCAATGACTGCTTTTAAGACTCCAGTCTTGTACGTTGATTGATTAGGGTGTGTTGGGAAGGCAATTGCTAGCAGTTGTCACTGATTTCTTGATTTATTTTAATGATGAATTGCATTGCAACCCACTGTAGTTGCAAGGCTCTACGTGGTTGTCAGGAATAAAGTCAATGAAAAACAAAAATAAAATATGCACACTAAAATGAAAATCAGTTATATAATTGCACATTGCTATGAAAAAAAAATCAGAAGCCAGTGTTTTCGTATTTGTGTGATTGAATTACCCTGAAGGATATACAAGCCATGTGCATGAGGGCGAGTACAGGTAGTCCTCGACTTACGACCACAATTGAGCCCCAAATTTCTGTTGCTAAGTGAGACAGTGAATTAAGTGAATTTTTCCCCATTTTATGACCTTTCTGGCCACAATTGTTAAGTGAATCACTGCAGTTAAGTTAGTAATGTGGTTGTTAAATGAGTCTGGCCTTCCCATTGACTTTGCTTGGCAGAAGCTCACAAAAGGTGACCACATGACCCCAACACACTGCAACCGTCATAAATATGAGTCAGTTGCCAAGCGCCTGAATTCTGATCTACAACGATAATGAGTGTGAGAAATGGTCATAAGGAGGGGCGGGCTGCTGCCGGTTCGGACCGGTTTGCCTGAACCGTTTTTTCCAATTCTGTGAGGTTCGGAGAACCGGCAAATCGGACCACTGGATAGCCCTGCCCCCCGCCCGTTTTTTGAGCTGTTTTCAGGCCCTTTTTCCAGCCAAAATCAGCCCGAAAAACAGCCTGAATACCCCAGAATAGGTAGGGTTTTTTGGCCCATTTTCAGGCCATTTTTCTGGCCAAAATTGGCCTGAAAATGGCCCGAAATATATCCCGAAATATAGCCAAAAAATGGCCCAAAAAAGCTGGCTGCGATAGGAATTTGGAGTCCACCACTGGTCATAAGCCACTTTTTTCAGTGCTTTTGTAACTTCAAATGGTCACTAAAGGAACTGTTGTAAGTCAAGGACTCTTTGTAAATGTGACTAACTTAGCACTCTTGTCATCAGAATTTCTCCTCTCCTAGTCTCCCTGAGTCCCTTGCCCAGGCAGGCTTTTCTCAAAGAAAAATAAGATGCCAGGTGGTATTTAAATTGTAGGGCAATCTGATTAGTTAATAACTGTCCTCTCAGCCAGTGTAAGATGTGTAGATTTCACATTCCAGAATTCTCCAGCCAGCATGCTGTTCTAAAGCCTCAGACCAAGGTATTTCCTGGCCTTACTGCTTGCATTCTGGAACCTGAGACCTTCTATAATCAGAACATGAGCATATTGTTGTCACTGTTCCTCTCTTTCCAACGTGGGTGAATCATAGCTTGGTGATGGATCTAACAGATTTTTGAGCCATATCTCAGTGGCATAGCTTGTGGAAGGCCACTGAATCAACACTTGGCAAAGCCAGCCAAAGGGGATAGGTAAAAGGGGAGAATCAAGCCTTATGTCTCACCTGCTTTGCTGTGAGACATTTGCATCAAGTTAGGTGACCAACTTGGAGCCCTGGAATGCAACTTTCTGGATTCGTTTGGAGGAGCAGATGCTGCTCACACAACCACTATCCTGGTCCCACATCCCCATAGTTACAGGACACATGTGGATAGTTAAATGTCAAACACATGGTCCAAAGTAGCTTAAAGGTAAAGGTTCCCCTTGCACATATGTGCTAGTTGTTCCCGACTCTAGGGGGCGGTGCTCATCTCCGTTTCAAAGCCGAAGAGCCAGCGCTGTCCAGAGATATCTCTGTGGTCCTCTGGCTGGCATGACTCAACGCCAAAGGCGCACGGAACGCTGTTCCCTTCCCACCAAAGGTGGTCCCTATTTTTCTACTTGCATTTTTTACCTGCTTTCGAACTGCTGGGTTGGCAGAAGCTGGGACAAGTAACGGGAGCTCACCCCCATTACGCAGCACTAGGGATTCGAACCGCTGAACTGCCAACCTTTCGATCGACAAGCTCAGCGTTTTAGCCACTGAGCCATTGCGTTCCTTAGATAGATGATAGAGAGATACAGATAGAGAGGTAGAGAGATAAGTTGATTGATAGAGAGAGAGGGGGGGACAGAAAGATAGAGCTAGATGATAGAGAGATATAAATAGAAGAGATTTTATACATATCTTTCATTCGGAGAGGTTTATAATTTTGAATGAAGCAGATCCTCTTTCCTATTTATAACTGTGATGGTTGGGAAATTCAGTCTCACTGGGGCTAGCTGTTCCCTCCCCCCCCCTTTTATCCTCTTTGGATGCATCAGTGACTACCAAGTCTACAAAGAAAGCAGTCAGCTCAGAGAGCACCAGGGATCCCTCATTTCATCCCTGAGCTACAAATATTCTCCTTTATCGACATTTAAACTTAAGAGTTTTCTTCCATTTCTTACCTTGCAGGTTTGCAGGAAAAAGGACAGCTGTCAATGGATTTCTTTCTTATTGTCTTTATACAGCCACGTAGAACTTCCTTTCTTCTGGCAGATAGTGAAGCCCAACCTGCAGTCACTAACACTGGAAGGAAAAATGGACATTTCAAATATAAAGTACAACCTGGATACAGAGACCGCTTTCTCTGTCATTCCTAATTCTGGGACTCTGCAGCCCCATTCCGATCATCCATTCACCCTCTGTTTCTCTCCACAGCAGGTATGTTTCCAGGGGTGGGTGCTACTTACTTTTACTACCAGTTCGCATCGTGCCCGCGCATCCACAGATCACGTCCGGGTCAGTGGGCAGAGCCTCCCACCGGTTTTACTACAGGTTCTTGTGAACCGGTCTGAACCGGGGGCAACCCACCACTGTATGGTTCCCTACCAGGCCTTTTTAAAAGACCCCGGCCTGCATTGACTTTTTGCAATAAGGAAATAAATATTTTTGCAAAATTATGTAATTCAAAATAAACTTGAATTTACCCAATTTTTCGGAGTATAAGATGCACTTCCCCCCCCCAAAAAGAGTGTGGAAATGTTGGTGCGTCTTATCCACTGAATACAGCCATTTTTGGCCTCCCAAAGCCCCACCCTGCTCATCCCATTTTTGCGAAAAATGGGCCTGTTTTTGCGAAAAACGGGGCACACAGAGGGTTTGGGAGGCCTGCAGAGTGCTCCTGGGGACTGGGGAGGGCAAAAATGGGGGGTTTTTTTATTACTTACTTCTTCAAAATCTTGTTGCATCTTATACACTGGTGCGTCTTACAGTCCAAAAAATACGGTAAATGCTAAATATATGTACATATAGAGATGAACCCACCCATCATTCTTTTCCAAACAGTTTCCACCTCCTCTTTCCTTATGCTTGCTTTTTATTCATTTTGTTGGAAAGTTCAATTCGTTAATTTGTTGATAACTTTTACAGAAAGAACTCTCGCAAGAGTCAGGTCCTTCCCATAACACTTCCCGTTAAACCTGTCGTGGCTGTTCATTTGCAAAGCTTCACACTCCCCAGATCCAGCACTTTATTGACCTATTTTGAAGAAGTGGGGAGGGAGGGGGTGAAGTAGCTGCAGAATCTAGAGGTCCATTGTCCTTCGCAGCCAGAACGGACCGCAGGGGTGGACAAAGGGAGCAGATAAAGGAGGATAGAGCAGAAACAATCGGAGCCATAAGGTTTTATGGGGCAGAGCACGTCCGCCAATATTGTGAGGCAGAATAATTAAAGGAAATACACTTCCACTTCCACAGCTGTTTGGATTGCCTTAGTTGTGGGAAGTCATAGATATTACCCAGGGGTAGGCTGCTGGGAGTTCACGGTGATTCGGGAGAACCTCTAGCTAAGATTCTGTGCAGTTTGAAGAACCCCCCAAATTCCACTCCTGGCTGGCCCTGCCCACTCCACCCTGCCCTTCCCAGGAGTCCCCACGTGGCCCGTTTTGGATGCAGGTAAGTGCAGGGTGCATGTGGAGGCTCAGGGAGGGCGAAAAACGGGCCTACCAGAGAGTCTCCGGAGCCTGGGGAGGCTGTTTTTGCCCTCCTGGAGGCTCGAGGAAAGCCTCCTGAGCCTGGAGAGGGCAAAAACGCCTCCCCCCCGCCGCCATGGTGCAGGAGGCTGACTAGGCCACACCCACCATGGCCACACCCACTCAGCAACCAGGCAGAGAACCCCTTGCTAAAATTTTTGAAGTGCACCCCTGAAATTAGCAAGACAGGTGGACGAGTGCTCAGAATTAAGGGGTGCTGTGTGGATTTACCCCCAGTCTTAAATCCCAACTTCAGAGATAAACTTCAATCGTGATAAACATTTACTGCTCTATCTCTGTGATGAGTACCCTTAAAAAGTAAGAAATATGTATATTTTTGAAAGTTCTTTGTATATAAACTAACCACTATTTTTTCCTCTCTCATAGCTGGAGAATTATCACAGTGTGCTTCAAATAGTGCTGGAGGATATCCCAGCATCACATTGGTAAGTTTTCATGATGCTCTTCTGATCTGGATAGCTACCTATTTTGATATTCTTGGCCAATTAGACTACAGGTAGTCCTCAATTTATGACTGCAGTTGAGCCTGGAATTATGGTTGCAACTCCTGCTGGTTGTCCCAAAGGTGCTTTTTCAAGAGGCAACTGGGCTTTCCGGCTTTTCTCTGAAGATGTTTCGCTTCTCATTCAAAGAAGCTTCTTCAGCTCTGACTGGATGGTGGGGAACGGAAGGATTTGAAGAGGAATATAAATCTTCCCATTAACCACCATCCAGTCAGAGCTGAAGAAGCTTCTTGGATGAGAAGCAAAATGTCTTCAGAGAAAAACCCGGAAAGTCCAGTTGCCTCTTGAGAAAGCACCTTTGAGACAGCCATGACCTGGATGACTGAGAATCTCCATGGACAACTCGTGCTGGTTGTTAGTAACTGTGATTGCCTTTTTATTGTGGCTGTTAAATGAGCCTATTTTCTACAATGGTTTTACTGGAAACTGGAAGTAAACCCCGGTTTCCGGCAAAAAAACGTAAATCACAGCCATGTGATTGCTGGACACTGCAAACAGTCCCTCTCTCTCTCTCAGCCCAACCTACCTCACAGGGTTGTTGTTGTGAGGAAAACAGGAGGAAGAAGGTGTGTTGCATATGTTTGCCGCCTTGAGTCATTTGTATAGTAATAAAAGTGGGGTAAAAATCAAAGGAACAAATGTGTTTGTCCTCAGCTTTTGAACTAGTATCAAAAGTGATTTTTACTTTTGAAAAATTAAAAGCCACTTTTTGATACAACTATGATCTGGATGACTGAGAATCTTCATAGACCTTTGAATCTATGGTTACAATGGAAAAAGTGAGCAGCGCAATTCTCCGTAGGCAATTGTTATCTGGAAAGAGCTCCTTTTATACATCTGCTCAGGGGTGAAATGCTCCTGGTTCGGACCGGATGGCCCGATCCGGTAGCGATAGAGGCGGGTGGTTTGGAGAACCGGTAGCAAAAATCCCTCCCCCCCCCATGCCCAGCTGAGCTGCCTGATCATCAGAGGCTTTTTTTCTTTTAAGTGCCTCTGACGATCCAAGCTGAGTTGCCTGATTGGCAGAGGGTTTTTTAAAAAGCCTCTGATGATCAGGCAACTCAGCTGGGATCGTCAAAGGCTTTTGAAAGCATTTTTTTACAACCTCTTCGCCGAAGAGGTTGTAGAAAAAATGGTTTTAAAAGTTAAAAAAAAAAAAAAAAGTTGGCCACGCCTACCCAGTCACATTACTACCACCACCCCGCAAGCCAGGCCCACAGAACCGGTAGTAACAAATTTTAGATTTCACCACTGCATCTGCTGCAATATATTTACATATGTCGCTTTGTTTATTTTTGTTTGGGTACATAAACATAGCTTTGTGTTTCTATGAAGGTTTTCTTATTTTCCTCCTCCTTTCAAGTTTAGTACATTATAGCAATAAAAATAAACCGAAAAAGAGTGGCCACACATGCAAATACAACTGAGATATGAGAAAGATATTAAAACATATGGTTATTATAAAGAGCCAACAACACTAGATCAGATATTATTAGTGGCAGATGAAAAATTAATAAAGAAAACATATAGTTTTTTACTAAGCCTAAAAATGGGAGATGAACAGGTAAAAGAAACGATGATAGTATGGGCTAAAAACTCCCATATACTATAGAATTAGACAAATGGCAAAAACTTTGGGATAGGAATTATAAATTGACAATGGCAACTATTTATAAGGAAAACCTGTACAAAATAGGTTTTATAGGTGGCATCTACCAATGGCAAGGTTAGCAAAGATGTTCCAAAACATGTCCGCCAAATGTTGGAAATGCAATCAGACACCGGGCACATATTATCACACGTGGTGGACATATGCAAAGTCAAAAAAGTTTTGGACGAAAATGCACACATAGTTAGAAAAAATGTTAAAGCAACACATAGATTATAAGGCAGAAATATTTTTGTTAGGTATAGTACCAGAAAAGTATGATAAAGGGTATATATACTTAATATTGCATGTCTTGGCAGCAGCAAGAATTGTATTTGTACAGCACTGGAAAAATGAGGAAATACCTACAGGGGAGAGAGTAATTAAAAAAATAGTAGATTATGCAGAAATGAATAGGCTGACATTAAAGATAAAGGATAAAGAAGACACAGAATTTTTTTAAAACATGGAATTTGTTTTATCAATGGCTTAATAATAGACATAGAGATTAGAAATTGGATAAATATTATTATGTGTAAGCAAATTGACCCAGACAATACACTCTTCACAAAGCACTTATGCATATAAAGAAACATGTATAAATAATTTTTTTAAAAAAAACCTCCCGAAAAAGATCATATTTGGGCTGTATCATTTTAACATTTGCTAGTATATCAGTGAAGCAACTGTGCAAGCATAGTTTCTGTTAAAGGAAAAATTACCCTGGTGGATGTTCCTTTTGGGATATCTTTCCAAGAGCCATTTTAAGCCTATTCTTTATGCAGTCTTCAGAATTCAGAGTGCTACGAAAGTGGAGAACGGAGAAAGGAAGACGTGATTGTCATAGAAATTGACACCAAAGGCTCCACGGAAGCATATCAAATCATGCTGGAACCTACTGCTATAATCATTCCAGGAGAAAACTACATTAGTGTGAATATTAGGAGAACATTTAAGGTAAAAAAATGTCTGCATCCACGTTGAGTTTAGGGATTGACCGTGAAACTTCATCTGTAAAAGAATGGTACCTCTGTATAATAAGGACAATCAGTCCTCAACTTACGACCACAATGGAGCCCCAAATTTCTGTTGCTAAGTGGGACACTTGTTGAGTGGATTTTGCCCCGTTGTGTGACCTTTCTGCCACTTTTGTTAAGTAAATCCCTGCAGTTGTTAATTTAGGAACAAGGTTGTTAAGTGAATCTGGCTTCCCCATTGACTTCGCTTGGAAGAAGGTCTCAAAAAGTGATCACATGACCCCTGGACACCGCAATCATCGTAAGTATGAGTCATTTGCCAAGCGTGTGGATTTTTATCACATGACCACGGGGATGCCGCAATGGTCTTGTGTGAAAAATGGTATTAAGCCACTTTTCTCAGTGCCGTTGTAACTTTGAACGGTCACTTAACAAATGTCTCAATTAACAACATAAATTTTGAGCTCAATTGTGATCGTAAGTCAAGGACTACCTATACTCCATATTTAATGGAGTGGAGTGTAGGCCACAATAGCTTATGCAAAATGTTTATTTGTTGTGGTTGCAGCAGAGTGGACATGGCTGTCTTGTGGGAAAGTATGTTTTACCTACAGGTAGTTCCCAACTTAAAACCATTGATTTAGTGACAGTTTGAAGTAACTTATTCTTTGCCTCTTGTACTTATAACCACCACAACATCCACATGGTTACGTGATCAAAATTTGGGTGCTTGGCAACTGGTATGTATTTATGATTATTGCAATGTCTTGGGGTCACGTGGTCCCCCTTCCCAGCTGGCTTCCAAAAAGCAGACTGAAAGGGGGAAGCTGGATTCGCTTAATGACTGCATGCTTCACTTAACAACTGCAGAGATTCATTTAACAACCATGGCAAACAAGTTGATAAAATTGGGCACAACTCATTTAGCAACCGCCTTGCTTAGTTAGCCATGGAAACTCTGGTCCTAATGGTGATCGTAACTCAAGTACTATCTATGTTTTAATTAAATGAAAATGAAGACTTTTATCCTGTATGAGGGGATTAACTGCTCCTTCATTTCTGGAATTGTAGATGCTTAATAATAGCAACTCTGCCGTCACATTTAGATGGGGGAAAATCTTTGACTGCGATATAGTGGAAGTTGAACCTTCTACCGGAAAGTTAGGTAAAATATCTTTTTATTGTTGGCTGTAATAAAGAGAATATTGTTGCATCTCTTTCTGGATCAGGACACATTAAATACGGTCACTCATGCCCTCGTCACTTCCCGCATGGACTACTGCAATGCTCTCTACATGGGGCTCCCCTTGAGGAGCACCCGGAGGCTCCAGCTGGTCCAGAATGCGGCTGCGCGGGTGGTTATGGGAGTGACGTGGTGCTCCCATGTGACTCCGCTCCTGCGAGAGCTGCACTGGCTCCCGGTGGTCTTCTGGGTGCGCTTCAAGGTTTTGGTTACCACCTTTAGAGCGCTCCATGGCCTAGGACCGGGGTATCTACGAGACCGCCTTCTGCCACCAGTAGCCTCTCACCAACCAGTACGCTCCCATAGAGAGGGGCTTCTTAGAGTGCCGTCGGTCAAACAGTGTCGACTGGCGGCCCCCAGGGGGAGAGCCTTCTCTGTGGGAGCACCTGCCATCTGGAACGAGCTCCCCCCGGAGATACAGAGGATTACAGCTTTCCGCCATGCCCTCAAAACATTCCTATTTCAGCAGGCCGGCCTGGCCTAACCTCTTTTTAAACTGTTTTTAAATTTTTTAAATTTTAAATTTGTCTTATAAATTTGGGGTATTTTAAATTTTGTTTTTCTGGGCCAAATTATTTAATCGTATTTTAATCGTTTTTTTAACATTTGTATTATATGTATTTTATCTTTTGGCTGTTCACCGCCCTGAGTCCTTTGGGAGTAGGGCGGTATATAAATTTAATTTATTATTATTATTATTATTATTATTATTATTATTATTAATATTAATATTAATATTAATATTAAAATAAGGAAACTTGGTAAGACCACACTTGGAATTTGGGTCGCCCCGATATAAAAAAGATGTGGGAACTCTAGAAAGAGTTCAGAGAAGAGCAAAAAAGATGATTAGAGGCCTGGAAGTTAAACCACATGATGGATAATTAAGGGAACTGGGAATGTCTAATGGTAGCAGTCTGACCACAACACAGTCTTCCAATATTTGAGGGGCTGTTATAGAGAAGAGGGGGGTCCATCTATTCTCCAAAGCAACTGAAGGCAGGAGAAAAAGCAATGGATGGAACCTATTCAAGGAGAGAACCAACCTAGAACGAAGGAGAAATTTCCTGACAGTGAGAACAATTAATCAGTAGAACGGATTGCTTCCAGGAGTTGTGGATGCTCCATCACAAGGTTTTCAAGAAGAGATTGGACAACCCAAATGATACAGGGTTTCCTCCTGATTTTAGTTTGGGTATAATTGTTGACTTTAAAAAAAATGGTATCATCCCCCTCCCCCCCGCCAGATAAGCATTTAAGAGACTTGTCTTTTCTAGGTGCAGGCGGAAGTCATATTTTTGAGTTTGTGATCACAGGAGGGAAACCAGGCCATTCCTGCCACAAGCTAGAATGTGAAATCACTCACTCACAGGAGTCTGTCTTTTTGTACATCGAGGCTGACTTTAAGGTAGGTGTTGTTCTCCGCCAGCAGCCTGCAGGGCTGGCAGTGAAGTCAGACAGTGAGGAGGCTGGGGAGGACAATGGGCGGGTCCTGGAGTCAGGGGAGGGCCCGGATGGGGGCTCTGTTTCGGAGCAGAGATGGAGCCAGGGCCATTTGGGAGTGATGTGCAGACTCCGGAGCCTCCAGAGGCGGATAGCAGAGAGGCAGAGGAACAGGAAGAGCCTGTTCCTAGTGCACACATCTGAAGAGCTGCCAGAAGGCAAGAGCAGCTAAAGCAAAAAGGATGACTTGGGAGTAAGGCTAGGAGATGACAAGGCCCTCCCAGAAGGCTTAAAAGAGCAGCAAAGGCTCTTGGGATCTTTGTAGGAAAGCAACGTTGCTACATTTTATTTCTTGTCTTGCTACCGAGTCTCTTGCTTCTGAACTTTTGCCAAGAAAAGTCTTTGGCAGAGTGCCAAAGAAGACAAAGGCTGGTGATAAGGCCGAAGGACTATTTATGAAGAATTTGTTTTGGACTTAATTTGGACTAAGCTGAGAATGAAGTAATGAAGAATGAAATAATTCTCAACTGTTCTAATAAAATATGTTTGTTTAGGACTGATTGTGCCTGCTAATAACTACTTGGGCCTAGGTCACAACAATAGGAATGTCTTCACCAGGTTTTGCCTTTTTCAGGTGAATTTTCACAACATTTTCCCTATGATTAACCTTGACTAGCAATTCTGAGAGTTGTCATTCTGCTTTATCGGACCAGGAGGAATGGATTATGTATAAAGATACCAGATTTAAATATATGAAATGTCTTATAATTTTGCTGATATTGAGCAGAGAGTAGCAATTCCCACTGTAAGGGAAAAAAATGAGGGAACAGAATTGAGAGTGACTGTCATTCCTGCATTCTTCAATCTTGTTGACATCTGGCTATTTCAGGAGGCTTCAGGGATTGAGTATTTCTGGTCCTGATGGATGTTTGGTTTCATGTTAGTGGATAATGTTTAGGAACAGATTGTCCTGGAGAAAATCTGTTCACTGTATCTGTTTACAAGTGTGGATAAACATATGAACTAAGGCAGAACACCAATAAATAGCCTGAACTTGCAAAGATGAACTCATGAAAACTAAGGCTCAGAACGAAGTAAGACTTGCAACAAATATCAAAAACAATAAAAAAGTTTCTTTCAACATATAAATAGCAAGAAAAAAGTCAAGGAAATGATCAGTCCACAAAAGAGAGAAGATGGCAAGGAAGTAACAGGCAGTAGAGAGAAAGCAGAGCTGCTTAACTCGTTCTTTGCATCGGTCTTCACGCAAAAAGAAATCATAGCCCAACCTACCAAAAACCTATTTACAGTTGTAAAAGACAGACTAGAAATAAAAAAAAATTAAAGTAAGCAAAGAAATGATAAGAGAACACCTGTCTGACCTTGATGAATATAAATCACCGGGACCTCATGGATTACATCCCAGAGTTCTGAAGGAGCTGGCAGATATCATCTCAGAACCCTTGTACCAGAGGTGGGTTTCAGCAGGTTCTGACCAGTTCTGGAGAACCGGTAGTGGAAATTTTGAGTAGTTCGGAGAACCGGTAGTAAAAATTCTGACTGGCCCTGCCCCCATCTATTCTCTGCCTCCCAAGTCCCAGCTGATTGGGATGAAATGGGGATTTTGCAGTAACCTTCCCCTGGAGTGGGGTGGGAATAGAGATTTTACAGTATCTTTCCCCTGCTATGCCCACCAAGCCATGCCCACCAAGCCACATCCACAGAACCGGTAGTAAAAAAATTTGAAACCCACCACTGCATTGTACCATATCTTTCAAAGATCCTGAGAAACCGGGAAACTACCTGAAGACTGGAAAAAGACAACAACTTGATAGCACATAATCCGTTTTAAGATATTTGCACTAGAATTTCATTTTTAAAGTTTGTGTTTATTTTTATCTTTATTTGCTCTTTATGTACATAGCTTTGTTGTTGTTAGTTGCGAAGTCGTGTCCGACTCATCGTGACCCTGTGGACAACTTTCCTCCAGGCCTTCCTGTCCTCTACCATCCCCCGGAGACATTTTAAGCTCAATATATCTTAGAACCTTTTAGATCAAAGCAGAATTCAGAAACCATGTGCCCATTCACAATTATTGCAGAGTAGAGTGTGTTTTCTTAAACCTGAACCTCTCTGCAGTCCTGGCTAAGAATGGTCTGCTTCTCTGGCCAGCCTCCAAGTCCCATGGCATGCCAAGAAATGGAGGGTAGGGTAAATCTCAGGGGCAGAGTTGTCCTCAAGTTTTGTTCCCAAAAAGTAAAGATGACAGGGACGCACATTAAAAAACAGTCAGAGCTTTGATTGTGGCAACCATCTTGATTTCCCCCCCTACCCTGCAGAAAAGCTCTGAAAGTGATTGTATCCTTCGCATGAGGAAAGAAAGAAATGTCAAAAATAATAATAAAAGAAGTTTCTTTCAACATGTAATTGACGTAATTTTTCCTAGGGGCCTCTTCTTTCCTTTGACGTGACATCCATCGATATGGGTCTGATTAAACTGGGAGAAAAAGTGACGTGTGCTTTGGAAATAGAAAACTTAAGTCAGCTGCCAGGAAAATGGAAAATTCAGGAAAGACCTACCTGCATAACAGAAAGAGGCGAGGAGGTAATGTTGCTTCTCATCTCATTTCCCTAATTCTGTCATCTGTTTCACTGACCAATTGGTTGTCAGGTCACAGCCAAGAGATTCCACCTTAACTTTGCCTTCTTCATTTCGATACCCTGTGGCTGGACATGGGTTTAAATTGAAAAGCTCTCTAATGCAGAACACAAGTCGAGCTATCCTCATCCTGAGACAGGCAGTCCTTGACATACAACAGTTCATTTAGTGACCATTCGAAGTTACAACTGAAAAAAAGTGACATATGACTGTTTTTCACACTTATGACCTTTGCGATATCCCCATGATCACGTGATCCGTGACGTGATCCGTGGTCAAACTTGTGATCCAAGCTCAGATGATTGCTGTGTCCCTGGAGTCATGTGATCATCTTTTGCGACCTTCTTGACAGGCAAAGTCAGATTCACTTAACCGTGTTACCAACTTAACAAATTGCAATGATTCACTTAACAACTGTGGCAAGAAAGGATATAAAATGGGGCAAAACTCACTTAACAAATGTCTCACTTAGCAATAGAAATTTTGGACTTAGTTGTGGTCATAAGTCGAGGATTACCTGTACTCTGGATTGTTTGAACAACGTATCCCATTGTTTCCCACCCGGCCTCGAGGGTTCTGGATTAAATGAGCATTCAATTTTCTTTCTGCAGGTTTCTGCATTCAAAATTCAGCCTTCTAGTGGGGAATTGTGTCCTCTTGGCAAATGCCGTGTCTCGGTATTGTTTACATCATATACATGTCATCATCTCCAAACTGCATTAGAGATGGACGTGGAAAACGGAGTTGGAAGGTAAAGATGGGAAAAGGAAGAGAAGTCATTCCAATTTCTGGGAATCAAATTTTCCCTGCAAATACAGTTGATCAAAATCTTTGAGCCACTCTAGAAAAAGAAAGGTAGAAGTTAGCTGCCACGTTGAAAGTGGGCCAATAAAATAAGTGATCCATTTATTATATATATATTGTATTCTTATGATTGTATCAGATATGGGAATTGCGTTATACATGTATTTTATATTTTTTATAGGCCACCAGAATCCCAAATGACTCTTAAGTGGTTTATAACTCCCAAAAAATAACTTATTAATATAAAATAGAAAACAGTAAAAGAACAGAAACAAAATTATTTATTTTATTCCCAGCTTGCTTGCTAGAATTTTAACATAGGGCATTTTGTTTGACATTCATTGCTGAGCTGCTGTGATATCACAAAATGTTTAGGAATATTCTCTCCACTGAATGAAATAAATGGTCAACAGCAAAAGTCAGCCAATCGGTTCACTTGATCTATCAGCCTTTTGGGCAACAGGAGTCCCATAAATAACTCAACTATGAGTTGCCTTGAAGGATGAGACGGGGAATGAATGAAAAAAAAGGCTGAAGAGACAAAAAACAGAGGAAAGAATTGAAAAAGAAAGCAGGCAAAATGCTAAATTGGTAAACTGGATTTTGGAGAAATGTAGATAAAAGACAGGGGGGAAAGTGCAGCGATAGCAACAAAAGAATGAAAGGAGGGTTATATATACAGGTAGTTCTCCACTTAAGACCACAGTTGAGCCCAAACTTTATGTTGTAAACTGAGAATTTGTTAAGTGAGTTTTGCCCATTTTACGACATTTCTTGGTTGTTAAGCGAATCACTGCAGCAGATAAGTTAAGTAACCTGGTTGTTAAGTGAATCAGCTTCCCCATTGACTTTGCTCATCAGAAGGTTGCAAAAAGTGATCACATGACCCCGGGGCGCTGCAAAGGTCATAAGTATGAGCCATTTCTGAATTTTGATCACATGATCATGGGGATGCTGCAGAGGTTGTAACTGTGAAAAACGGTCCTAAGTCACTATTTTCAGTGCCCTTGTAACTTTGAATGGTCACTAAATAAACTGCTGTAGGTCCAGGACTACCTGTATATTCAGGCTGGGCAGAATGTAACCCTTCCCGAAAGCCTTCGGTTTGTCCTGAGTCAGAGTTTCTCAACCTTGGCCCCTTGAAGATGTGAGAACTCCAACTCCCAGAATTCCCCAGCCAACCATGCAGAAGTTCACACATCTTCAGGTGGCCAGGATTCAGAAACATTGGTCCTGTTGCTTATCAACAGAGGCTTGTAAACCAGCATTGATGGTGACTGAGCACCTCCCTCTCTTTCCAGCCACATCCCTGTATCTGTGGAGGTGCAGGTGCCCCAGGTGTGTCTGCTGCCGAGTCACTTACACTTCGAACTTTCCATTGGGATCCCCGCCGAAGCAACAGCCCACCTCTTCAACCAGACGTTGCTCCCCACGCCCTTTAAATGGGGAGAGGTAAGCGGGTGGGTCGTGGCGTTCACAACCAATCTAAAGAATCCCATCTTTGTCCTCCTGTTAAATGATCTGACACTCTGATTGCCTCAACAGCTGCTTGGAGGCCAGGCATCTTCGTGTGTGCTGAGCATCTCTCCAGACACGGGTGTTTTGGGCCCAAATGAGAAGAAGGAGTTGCGTGTGGTGATGACGTATAATAGGAAGGTTAGTTTGCTTGGAAATCCTTGCCTCTCAACACGCAGAGGTGTATCATGGTTGCTTGTTTCAATCATTGCCAGCCAACCCACTTCTCTTTCACTCTGTTTTGATGTGCTGCACCCGTCTCTGTTTCTAAACTCCTTTTTGTATTTTTTTTTTTTACAAATAAATTTTATTAATTTTCTATTAATTACACTTCTTATGGCTTAATAAACATCGTGTTGTCTGGGTTTGCTTAACAATACAGATTCCATTTTTAATCTCCACCCCTTTTTTCTAACTATTGGTAGGATAAGTTCCATGTTTGATAATTCCATGTCTCTATCTTCTTTCTGTTTGATTTTCAATGTAAGTCTATCCATTTCTGCACAATCTAATATCTTCTTAATTATCTCTTCAACTTGCGGTGTTTCTTCATTTTTCCAATATTGTGTGAAGATAATCCTCGCTGCTGTTAAGACATGTAATACTAATTACATTCTTTCTGTATGTTATTGTTCTGTTTATAGGTAGTCCTCAACTTGAACCCAGTATTTACGTTGCTAAGTGAGGAATCTTTTAAATGAATTTTGCCCCATTTTACTATTTTCCTTTCCCCCTTTGTTAAGCGAACCCCTACAGTTAAGTTAGGAACATGGTTGTTAAGTGAATCTGGTTTCCCCATTGACTTTGCTTGTAAGAAGGTCGCAAAAGGGGATCACAGGACCCAGGGACACTGCAGTGGTCATAAGTATGAACCAGTTGCCAAGCATCCGAATATAAATCATGTGGCCAAGAGGATGTCATAAGTGTGAAAAATGATCATAAGTCACTTTTTTCAGTGCCGTTGTAACTTTGACCAGTCACTAAACAAACTGTTGTAAGTTGAGGACTACCTGTACATCCTTAAATATTAACATTAAAATTAGCAAAAATTAGCTACAATACGAACCAGTATGCCATGGGATGGAAGTGAGGTATTTTTAATCCACTAACCACTCCACTATAGAACGCCCCCTTTGGGACCCTTGGACAATAGGCAGAACCAGGTTTTGAGACCCTCCCAGAAGGCCAAGAGATTGGGGACAAAATGTTACTTTGAAGGGCATGATGTTCCAGAAGGTGGAAGTTACAGCAGAGAAGGCTATTCTCAATCCCACCAGGCATAATTCTTTGACAGACAGAGTCCGCAGCTTGCTGCTTTTGCTGGCGCAAGGGGGGCAGACCCATTCCATTGGGGTGAGACGGTTCCTCAGCTCAGCCCAGTTCCTTGATGCTTCCGAGTTAACAGAATAACAGAGTTGGAAAGGACCTTGGAGGTCTTCTAGTCCAACCCCCTGCCCAGGCAGGAAACCCTACACCACTTCAGACAAATGGTTATCCAACCTCTTCTTAAAAACTTCCAATGTTGGAGTATTTACAACTTTTGGAGGCAAGTCGTTCCACTGATTAATTGTTCTAACTGTCAAGAAATTTCTCCTTAGTTCTAAGTTGCTTCTCTCCTTGATTAGTTTCTATCCGTTGCTTCTTGTCCTGCCTCCAGGTGCTTTGGAGAGTAGCTTGAGTCCCTCTTCTTTGGGGCAGCCCCTGAGATACTGGAAGACTGTTATCATGTCTCCCCTAGTCCTTCTTTTCATTAAACTATACATACCCAGTTCCTGCAACCATTTTTCATATGTTTTAGCCTCCAGTCCCCTAATCCTCTTTTCCATGTGATGTTCTTAGAAAGTTAAAATGGCAAAAACTTACAGTCCAAGGCCTTGTTTGGAAGGTTGCATCTCTCCCCAGGAAAAAGAACAAGTGAGTGGAAATGAGAAGCAGTAAACTTGGGAAGATGAAGGAGGTTGCCAAGGAGTGCTGAATATTATCAGCCTGCCTTCTGAGAAATGGGCATTTTTTTAGCTGTTGCAATGTATTTTCAAATGTAGAGAGATGAGTAGCTTGTGGGGCTTGTGCAAAAACTGGGTGACATGCACTTCATATTTTTTTTTAATTTGATTTATCTGCCGCCCTTCTCCGGAGACTCAGGGCGGCTTACAATGCGTTAAGCAATAGCCTTCATACTTTTGTATATTTATACAAAGTCATCTTATTGCCCCCACAATCTGGGTCCTCAATTTACCCACCTTAGAAAGGATGGAAGGCTGAGTTGACCTTGAGCCTGGGGAGAATTGAACTCACAGTAATTGCAGGCAGCTGGATGTTAAATGCTGCCTTAGGAGGCATTAGCCTCCTACGCCACTCAGGCTCCTTCATATTCTTCATGAGGAGGGCCAAGGGTTCTCTAGTTAAGCTGTTGAGCTAATTCAGCAGGTTTATCCTGATCTTTCAATAGTGCTGTGTTGAATGTTGTTTCTGCTGAAACCAAATGTTCTTCTTCTTCTTAGGATAAGCTGAAGGACCTTATCTTGTGCTGTAGCATTGAAGATATGTCAGAACCACTCTTTCTGTCTATTTCTGGTGAAGTAAAAGGGCTGTGTGTCACTTACTTGATTCCCTTTGACAGGTAAAGAAAGGAGATATAGGTATAATGAAAAATGAGTAATGTAATTTATATGAATGATGTTTTTTCCTTTCTGCTTTAATTCCACTTCATTCATTCATTTATTGATTCATTCATTCAAAATCACACGTGAAATGTCAATACCACTTTATAAATTGTTAGTAAGACCACACCTGGAATACTGCGTCTAGTTTTGGTCACCACATTACAAAAAAGTTGTTGAGACTTTGGAAAAAGTGCAGAGAAGAGCAACTAAGATGATTAAGGGCCTGGAGACTAAAAGTTGCAGGATTTGGGAATGGCCAGTCTAGAGAAAAGAAGACTAGGGGTTACATGATAGCAGTTTTTCAGTATTTGAGGGGCTGCCACAAAGAGGAGGGGGTCTATTTATTTTCCAAAGCCCCAGAGGGCAGAACAAGAAGCAACGGATAGAAATTAATCAAGGAGAGAAGCAACATGGAATTAAGGAGAAACTTCCTAACAGTGAGGACAATTAACCAGTGGAATGGCTTGCCTTCAGAAATTGTGGGTGCTCCATTAGTGGAGGTTTTTAAGAAGAGACTGGACAGCCACTTGTCTGAGATGTGTAGGGTCTCCTGCTTGAGCAGGGGGTTGGTCTAGAAGACCTCCAAGGTCCTTTCCAGGTCTTTCTATTCTGATGCTTGCTAGGAACCATTTTGAATTTGATTTTTGCTTCCTGTTGACATCACTAGAATGGGAGACCAAATGTGTTATATGGTCTGATCCTGCAGGATGCTTTTTTATGTTCTTGATATGGTCACACTTTATTTATTTATTTTATTTTATTTTATTAAATTTATTTTACTTAGAAATAAATTTATAAAGTAAAATAAATAAATTCTTACTAGGAAGTTTACTTTCTATAAACTTCCACATTCTTTGGAGATCATATCATCTGCAACATAAAACAATACCTTATTCCATTTTTGTGAACGTAGTACAGCTGGTCCTTGGCTTATAATCGTAATTGAGCCCAGAATTACGGTTGTAAGTCATCCTGATCATTAAATGGGTTACCACATTGACCACACCTGATTTTACAACCTTTTTAATGCTGATTCATAAATGTATCACTGCGGTCATAAAGCAAATGTGGCAGTCGTTAAGCAGATCCATTGTCCACAGTTATCAAGGACAAGCAACCACGCAAGTAGAGTTCAAGGTAACTACTTAAAAAACAAAGCAGTCCCTATCGATTTTACTCTGCTAGTCGTTGCCAACTGTAGGAGACAGAGCTTATCACTGTTTCAAGCATGGGTGAAATGTAAAATTTGTTACTACCAGTTCTGTGGGCATGGCTTGGTGGTGGGGGTAATGTGACTGGGTGGGCGTGGCCAACTTTTTTCTAAAAAAACTTTTCAAAGCATTTTTTCTGCAAATGCAAAAAATCCTTTGAAAAGCCTCTGCTGATCAGGCAACACAGCTGGGATCGTCAGAGCCTTTTCAAAGCATTTTTAAAACCACCTCTTCATTGGAAGAGGTTGCAGAAAAAAATGCTTTGAAAAGCCTCTGATGATCCCAGCTGAGCCGCGCGATCATCAGAGGCTTTTTTTTATTCTTAAAAGCATTTTTTTGGCGGAAGAAGTTGTAGAAAAAATGCTTTTAAAAGTAAAAAAAAAAAAAGCCTCTGATGATCGTGCAGCTCAGCTGAGCATGGTGGAGGGGGGGGGGGCGCAGGGATTTTTGCTACCAGTTCTCCAAACCACCCGTCGCCATCACTACCAGATCGGGCGATCCGGTCCGAACCGGGAGCATTTCACCCCTGGTTTCAAGGCCATTGAGCCAGTGCTGTCCAGAGACATTTCCGAAGTCATGTGGCCAGCATGACATCATAGGGTGCTGTTAACTTCCCACCGAAGTGGTACCTATTTATTTACTCGCAGTTGCATGCTTTTGAACCGCTAGGTTGGCAGTGCTGGGGCAAGGACGGGAACTTACCCCATTGCATGGCACTCGAGTCTCATGTCTTTCCAGCCGACAAGCCAAGTGTCTTAACCACTGAGCCCACCACTCTGCCCAACTACTTTTCTATATTCTACTATAATATAGGAATCTCCCAGACTGCTTGCTTTCCCTTGGGAATAGATAGATAATGTTCCATGGAGCTTGGCTGTGGTCGGTCTTAGATCTCTTGTAGTTGTGCAATGATTCCAGGCTAATTCCCTGTTTGAGCTCTCCTCTCTGCAACAAATGGATGCTTTGTGCCAGAAGCAGGAACTAATTACTGCTTTCTGCAAAAAGTCATAAATCATGGCCACGTTAGCATAGGACATTGCAAAGGGTCATAAATGCAGCCTGGTTGCCAAGTTATCCAAATACGATCAAGTGACCGGGGGGGGGGGTTACTGGTCATCAGAACTTCTAATCTGGGTCGCAAGTAGCCTGGGGAAGTCCATTGTAACTTTGAACAGTCCCTAAGCAACCAGTTGTAAGTCGAGGACTACCTGTAAAGAAATCTTTCATTGCCCTTTACGGCCTGGTATCTTAATCGTCCCTTTCTGGGCACTCATCTCCAAAAGGAAAGGCGGCTTGCTTAACCTCTGTTCTTCTTGTTCTGCAGTGATGAGGAACAAAACGTAGCGGATTCAGAAGACTTAAAACTCAACTTTGGCTCTGAGGTGGCTTTGAAGAGCGTGATAAAGCGTCAGCTGATCATTACCAATCATTCCGAATCAATTGCTCTCTTCACCATAGAAGTTGATTATTTCAGCAGCCCTCCGCGGCCGCCTGAGGATCAAGAAGGGTACGTTTTGTTTCCTTCCGTTTAACCTTGGGCGGGAAGGCAAAACTCAAGTTAACTCTTGTTTAGTAGAATTCTCATGGGCCCAAATATTTCCATGGCTGCATAGTTACAAATATTCAATTGCTCAATAATTCTAAGCACCTCCCAGGACAGGGGGGGTCAAACTGGATTGCTTTGAGGGCTGAATCAGCATTGTAGTTCTCCTCCATAAGCCAGCTGGGAGTTGGGGGGGGGAAGACAGGACGGCCTCCTGCAGTGTCCTACCGGCCAAAACGGGGTGCAGGGTGGTTCCGCGCACTGCCCCCTGTGCCCTGTTTTGGGCAGCAGAGTGCTGCAGGAGGCCATCCAGGCCAAAAACGGGGTGTGTGCAGCCCCCCCTCAGTCTGTTTTGGCCATCAGAGGCACTGTGGGCCGGTCCTTTGCTATTTTCAAGCCGGCCCCATGGACCAGATTTAAGCACCCCATGAGTCAGATCCTGCTTGTGGGCCTTGAGTTTGACACCCCTGTTTTAGGGTATCCAGAAACAGGGATGGGACAACTCACCGCAGGACAATTTAACAATTCAACTTAATTATTTAAATAAATAAATATTTTACTTTTTTGCCATTCACATTTCATTCTGTCCTTCCTTTTGCATCCTTTCTTTAGTGATTCTTTCCCCCTATTTCTTTGATATTAGTGTAACACTTGTCCTGTGGTAAACTGTCCCACAGTGAGTTGGCTGTGGGAAATTATCATAGACCCTCCAGAGATGGGCTTTGAAAAGGTTGACTGTCCTTTCTCTCTCTCTAATGAATTCTTCCCCAGGCAAGATGGAATCTCAAATAAATGCCCCCATTCAGCTAATCCCACCAATGTTTCTGCAGCAAGGTCCACATTCTTCCTTCCTAATAATTTTTCCAACTGCTGGCTCAGTGGGATGTTACCAAATGGGACACAGGATACTGTAGGTGAAGAAAGGTGTATTACTCAGTTTTTAGACCTAGAATAACTTTATTGTCAGTTTGAATGTACATCAGTTGGCATGCATTAAAATGAAATTATGTTGCACACAGCTCTCAAAGGGTTTTCACCTCTAACGTAAACATAAACATGACAAGATAGGTAGATAGACAGACAGACAGATAGATACAAAGTTATGCAGGTACCTTCATATATTATATGACACGGAGAAACAATATAGTCTGCTTCGGATGTGTGCATGTACCTGACGAGAGAAATGAATCTTGCTGAGTTTTCTAGATGGATGGCACAGGGAACAAAGCTGTTACAGAATCTGGCAATCCTGCTAGAAATACTTCGAAACCTCCTCCCAGAGGGGAGCAACAGAAACAGAGACTGTGAAGTGGGTGTGTGGGGTCTCTAATAATTCTCTGAGCTCTAAGCACATAGTGCTTGTAAGCAGTATCCTGAATAAATAACTTATTCAGTTATTCCTGAATAACAAGAAGCGAGCTTCCTATACTCTTCTCCACTGTCCTTACCACTCTCTTTATGGACTTTCTATCTGAGGCTTTGCTGTTCCCAGAGTGATCTATCTCTCTCATCTATCCTTGTCCGTCCGTCCACCCATTATCTATCTATCTATCTATCTATCTATCTATCTATCTATCTATCATCTTCTATTGAACCAATGTTTACACTGTTTACTTAAGGGAAATGGCTTCCTGCTGTGCTTGGTGATGATGGGGATTGTAGTGCCAGTACCCTGAAAAGGACATTGTGTCCCTTACCTAACAGATCAGTATTGCCAGGAGAAGAAAGCAGCTGTTGTCACATCTGCAGTGTTTTTAAGTACATTTTTGAAGCATGCATCATGCCTGCAGATAACCAAGGCATCTTTATGAGTTCTCAGATACTCGATTTCCTCTATCCAGGGACATGATGGTGGAGAAAACCAGACGGGTAACAAGACGATTTGCAAAGAGGAAGCAGTCAGGTAAGAAGAAAAAAAATGTGTTTTCGTAGACAGGAAGTTTGTGAGGCTGAAGATTTATTTGGATGGGAAAATGCAGCTGGACAAGAGACTCCGGCCAGTCCCTTTCAGACAACAGGAAGTCCGGCAGCTGTACTGTCACAGAAAGGGCATGCCGTTTGTGTTTTTCTCCCTTTCTAGCCTTCCGAGCGGCCATGCTGTCCCACGGGAAAGGAGCGGCTTTCCATGTGCATCCGTCGGAGGGGACCCTGAACGCTTTCCAGGAACTAACTGTAGAAATCACCGCCTACAACAATATGTGGGGACATTATAAGGATGTTCTCGTCTGTAAGGTAGGCGGCCTGTCTGAGCCAGCGGAGGGAACGTTGACCTAACATCAGAGCAATTGGTGGCAAATCCACAACACGTGTTTCGAAGGTGACATGCCACAATGTTTTGAGTGACACGCTAGCGTTCACCAACATCTGGTAAGAACCATTCCTCCAAAGCACGCCCTTCTTTAGCTTCCAGATCAGCCTGGTATAATAAAGGAGAATATTTTCAAATTTCAAATTCAGAATAGAGCTGGAAGAAACCTTGGAGGTCTTCTAGTCCAACCCCCTGCTCAAGCAGAAAACCTTATACCATTTCAGACAAGTGGCTGTCCAGTTTCTTCTTAAATGCCTCCAATGATGGAACATCCACTACTTCTGGAGGCAAACTGTTCCACTTGTTAATTGTCCTCACTGTTAGGAAGTTTCTCATTAATTCCAAGTTGCTTCTTTCCTTGATGAGTTTCCATCTGTTGTTCCTTGTCTGGCCTTCTGGTGCTTTGGAAAATAAGTTGACCCTCTCTTCTTTGTGGCAGCCCCTCAAATACTGGAAGACTGCTATCATGTCACCCCTAGTCCTTCTTTTCTCTAGACTGGCCATACTCAGTCCCTGCAACTTTTAGTCTCCAGGCCCTTAATCATCTTAGTTGCTCTTCTTTACACTTTTTCCAAAGTCTCAACATCTTTTTCGTAGTGTGGTGATCAAAATTGGATGCAGTATTCCAGATGTGGTTTTACTAAGGTTTTATAATGTGGCACTTTGTAGTACTGCTTTAAAACAACCTTAAAAAAATTGTAGTTCAAGGTTGAAATGAGTTGGATACCAAAATTACTCTTTTTTTTGTGCAGTTGGGTGAATTAGAGCCGAAGCTGATCCCCATAGAAATGTCTGTGAAAGGCTGCCCCATCTTCCTGCAGATGACTGGACCAAGCCATCCGATAGCAATACCCATCATCAGGTAGATGCCTGAAACTTTTAACAAGACTACCGGGAACTCCCAATTACAAGGCAGCGGGGATTTCAGAGACCTGTAGCTAGACCAGAATGAACTTGTATTTTTCCCTTTGGGATACAATCCTGTCCTGGCCACAGCTCTCCTGGGCCACGGAGCCCCCTTTTCTTCCTCTTCCATGTTGAAGGACTGACCCAGTCCTTCAACATGAAGGACTGACCCAGCAACAGATCTCCCCAAAGGCTGCAGCCTAGATCTTTTTCAAGAGATGGGGATGAAGCTGTTTGATTTTGACTCTCCCAGAGCTCCTGCCTGAAAAACTAGTGCTTGTTTTTATCCAGCTCTGTCTTGTGTTTTGGTTCCCACATTTGGTCTAGTGGTCCTATTCAGTCTAGAAAGCAGGGGACTGTGAATTCTAGTCCTGCCTTAGACATGAAAACCGGCTGGGTGACTTTGGGCCAGTCATCAGGAAATGGAGAGTTCTAGTCTGACCTTAGGCATGACAGCTGGCAGGATGACTTTGGACCAATCACCAGGAGATTGTGAATTCTAGTTCTTCCTCAGGCATGATAGCCAGTTGGGTGAGTATGGGCCAATCACACTCTCAGCCCAAGCTACTCACTAGGTTGTTGTGGGGAAAATAAGAGGAGGAAGGTGTGTTGGACATGTTTACAGCCTTGAGTTATTTGTAAAAATAATAAAGGCAAAATGCAAACAAATAAATAAACATCATTCCTCTGGTACAAATAGTTTTGCATTCCTCCAGAAAGTTCCTGTCAGCTTCTGGCTGGATTAATTAGCAGGAGGGATCCCGGGAAATATACGTTCCCCATCCCATTTTCCTACATCATTGTTCTTACTAGTTAAATAATTAGCATTCCCTTAGTAATCATTGTTATTTCAGGTAGTTCTCAACTTACAGCCATTCTTTTAGTGACCTTTTCAACATTGCAATGGTGCTGAAAAAATGGCTCGTGATCAGTCCTCACACTAATGACCATTGCAACATCCCTGTGGTCACGTTTGTCAGGTCACAAGTTTCAGTCATGTGGTGTCTTGCCTAACAAGCGAAGTATCTCACTTAACGACCATGGCAGAAATAGTTGTTAAGTCAGGTGCAGGTATGTGACGCCTCACTTAATGACAGTACCACTTAACAAATGAGTTTTCTGGTCTCAATTGTGGTCATAAATTGAGAACAATCTGTTTAATAGGTCTCTGAAGAGAGTCAACAGTGAAACGAAGTGCTGAAATGTCTTTTTGTTGTGTTGATGGAACACATTTACTTCCTTTCCCCCTTTCTTTCCTAGGAAACACCAAAAATACAGATACAGATTGTACATAATGTCTTCTTTTCTTCCAAGGTTTGGAGCCCATATCTCTGGAGGGGACACCGTCTCACGGTACATCCGTCTCAATAACCCCACTCCCTTTGGTAAGTGTTTGTTGTCAGGGTTCCGATGGATGCCCTAAATAAGTTATGAGCCTCGAGACAAGTTTCAAAAGAAATCCAGTTATTTATTAGGAGCAACATGTCGACAGTACCTAAGTGAAGTCAGCTCTGGCCCACATAATTTAAGGCCCAACTATGACCCTGTTTCCCCCCTCCTCCCAGGGTGTGTCATAAATCACATTCTCCAATGGAGCACTTTTGCAGGCTGTAGAAATCACGCCTTTCTGACTTGTTCCCATAACCTGGGATACAGCCTTGAGAAAGGTATGCGTGGAATGTGCTTCTGGTTGTGGCTGCCGTGCTGCTCCGTCACTTTCCCCCCCTTCTGCCTATGGCAACTCGAGAGCAGGCCAGGAATGTTTTACAAGTTGACATTTGTACTGGCCAGTGTCGTTTTTCCCAAGAACAGGCAAGACAACCCCCCCCCCCCCCCCCGGCCGAAAATGAAAAGTCAAGATCTTTCCAAGTTTGGAAAGCACCTAAGAATATGTCTCCTCTTGACTCCTCCTTGCCCCCAAATATCCATGGATTCTGAGATTTTCTCCAAGCAACATTCAAAATATCTCCCAATCTTGAGGATGAGAATTTTTGAACAAACTGCGAGATTTTAGCCCAACTGGCTGGGGGATTCTGGGAGATGAAGTCCACAAGTTGAGCTTAAAAGTTGCCACGTTTGAGAAACGCTGTTTCAGGCCATGATCTCCTGAGGCTGCAGTCAACCTCAGACTCAGTTGCAAATCTTTAGCCACCCTGATTTTGATTTCACCTTTTCCCCCACTTCTTCAATTCAGACATTCGAATGGACTGGGAAAGTTACAACCAAGATAAAGACGATGACAAACTGATTGATCTCTTGGTGTTTTATGGTGCACCATTTCCAATCAAGGATGCCGATGGCAATGAGATCAATGTCCTGTGGGAATCAGACACCTCCTCTAAGAATATATCTTTCACTTCTGACTCTACCTGGTCGCCAACCAGGGAGAACCCGGTAAGTATGCGGACTGTTTAAAAAGTGTCATTTTCCTCCTTTTAAAGGATTATTCCAAAATAAAGTTTTTTTAGAATACATGGCATTTCTACAATACTATTACAGTCAGCAAGACATCTACAATTCTCTGCGATTCTACTTACGGTATAGTAAGGGTAGGGAGAAAAATGATTTGGCCTTTTAGCCCAGGTACACAAAGGGTAGATTTTTGCTATTTTTAGCAGCTGGGACAAATAAAGCAGCATTTCTTCTGATAATTGTGCAGGGCACTTGGAATGTCTGAAAACAGAAATTTTGGAACCACTGCAAGTCGTGGGATTGCCTTTATTTAAATAAAGACTCTAGACTGAGACTCTAGAAAGAGCGCAGAGAAGAGCAACAAAGATGATTAGGGGACCGGAGGCTAAACATATAAAGAACGGCTGCAGGAACTGGGTATGTCCAGTTGAATGAAAAGAAGAACCCAGAAGTGACATGATAGCAGTCTTCCAGTATCTCAGGGGCTGCCCATAGAAGAGGGAGTCAAGCTATTCTCCAAAGCACCTGAGGGCAGGACAAGAAGCAATGGGTGGAAACTAATCAAGGGGAGAAGCAACTCAGAACTAAGGAGGAATTTCCTGACAGTGAGAACAATTAATCAGTGGAACAACTGGCCTCCAGAAGTTGTGAATGCTCCAACACTGGGAAGTTTTTAAGAAGAGATTGGACAACCATTTGTCTGAAATTGCATAGGGCCGTGATGGCAAACCTATGGCACGTGTGCCCGAAGTGGACTAGAAGACCTCCAAGGTCCCTTCCAACTCAGTTGTTCTGTTCGGTTCTGTTCCGTTCCGTCCCGTCCCGCCCAGTCCTGTCCCATCCCATCCCATCATAAATCAGATGACTTCCCTTCCAAGTGGGGGGCAGAACTTCCTGTGCCATATTTCCTTCATCCTCAGTTGGCTTTGCTTTCAGAGTTGCCATCATTCATAAGCAGCCGATAAAGAACAAAACACTGGAGTGTTTCTCCTCTTGCTGTTTTTCTTGTCTATATCAGGTTCTTTTCTGTCAAATCACATGACTGTCAGAAGAGCCATTCGTACCCTACAGAACCTCTAGCGCAGTGTTTCTCATCCTTAACAAATTTAAGATGGGTGCATGTCAACTCCCAGAATTCCCCAATCAGCATGTTGGCTAGGGGATTCTGGGAATTGATGTCCACCCATCTTAAAAGTTGTCAAAGCTGAAAATCACTGCTCCACTCTTTCACTATAACAGAAAGTTTTAATCCTTACCAAGTAAAATTGCAGCAGTCAAAGAGATTAGCATGACTTGCTTTTTGTCCCTTAACAGACACTATATGGACATTGCTTGTTCCATTCTGGCCAGTGGAGTGTGGGGAATCACTATGCAGCTGTATCAGTAGACAGAGGATTTAAGGGTGAGCAAGTGTAAGAGGGTTGGTCCCTAACAGGAGTGGGTTCTACTTACCTTTATTACCAGTTTGCAGAGGGGCTGCGCGCGCGCACTTGATTTGTGCTCTTCTGTGTATGCACAGAAGAGTTTTGATGACATCAGGGTCGGTGGGCGGAGCCTCCTGCCAATTTTACTACCAATTCTATAGAACCGGTGCAAACCGGGGGCAACCCACCACTGGTCCTTACACATAATCTACTAAGAAAAGTCTTCGGAGACTGTTTTATAGTAGCTTTCAGTTAGGAATAGGAGGAATAGGAATGTGGTTTCTCTATTTGACGTACCATAAAAAGTTGAAAAACTGTTTCCACGTTCAAAGCTGAGTTTTGCTTCCTTCTGCTCCCACTGTGATTGTGATGTTCAAAATGCAAAATTTGATCCACTTAAATTACATCTATACCGTTTCCAGCAGAGAGTCCAAACAATTATGCTGAACCACCTTTTTAAAATATAGTGCACGCTTAATATTTATGTAACGAAACTTTGCCCCTGTTTCTATTGAATCAAGTACCAGTCTTGGCAGGATTTTTTTTTACTTCTTCCCCACTTTCACTGCAGAATTTGGAGACACTCTTTGAGGATGATGAAGGAAGTTCTGATGACTCCCTCTGGGAACCACTGACGCTCAAGCCAATAGTCTCGGTGGTCCTTCGACCTCATGAGGGCGTTCCCTCGGATTATCCTTTCTGCATCACTCCCAAACAGATTGTAAGTTGCAGCTCCCTTAGCCCAGGCTGGCATGGAATGGGAGGTACGCAGGGGTGAAATCCAGCAGGTTCTGACAGGATCTGGAGAACCGGTAGTGGAAATTTTGAGTAGTTCGGAGAACCGGCAAATGCCACCTCTGGCTGGCCCCAGAGTGGGATGGGAATGGAGATTTTGCAATATCCTTCCCCCAGGAGTGGGGAGGGAATGGGGATTTTGCAGTATCCTTCCCCTGCCACACCCACCAAGCCACATCTATCAAGCCACACCCACAGAACTGGTAGTAAAAAAAATTGGATTTCACCACTGGAGGTACGTAATGGGAGAACTCGCCACAGCCAACTTGCCCTGATGAGATGATGTGATGAGTTTGGAAAATTCTACAATTAATCTAATTGTTTAAATAATTTAAAAAATATTTTTAATTTTTGCCACCACATTTCATTCTGCCTCTCCTTATGGCATCCTTTCTTAAATGATTCTATTCCACCATTTCTTTGATATTAGTATAACTCTTGTCCCTCAGAGAGCTGTCTGGTGGATGAATGGCTGTGGGAGTTGTCCTGGACCCCTCTAGCAGGGGTGGGTTCTAAATTTTTTTACTACCGGTTCTGTGGGCGTGGCTTATTTTGTGGGTGTGGCATGGAGGTCATGTGACTAGGTGGGCGTGGCTAGCTGGTCAGAGTCATTTCTGGAAGGTCCTCGCACTTACGACCCGACTCATTTGTTTGCTTTTAACACTGATCAGCTGTAGGGCGGCCCTTTGAAGCCCCGCGGCAAGAGTTTAAACAGTTTTTTTCCCTCTAGTCATCAGCTGGGACTCAGGAGGCAGCAACAGATTGGGGGTGGGACCAAATAAAAGGTAAGAATAACGTGGGGGGTGGGAGGGGTGGGGAGAACCGGTTCGGTGACGTCAAATCGTCACCGCTACCAGCTCGGCCAAACCAGACCGAACCGGGAGGAACCCACCACTGCCCTCTAGGTAGGAAATGGTGTGGAGGGAAACTGAGAATGTCAACATCTTAGGAAGAAAAAGGGGTTCTTTTCACTCTGTTATGTCCACCGTCCTATTTTTGCTGTCTCCAGAGAGTTCCACGGAGTGGTGTGACACTCCGTTTCCTGACAGTTTCCCAGATTTCAGTAAAAAAAAAATCAGAAGTCTGGTAGTACATTTTCCGACTATTTTTTTTTTTTTTAAATCCGTAGACTAACCCAACTATCTGTCTACCAAACTTGGGTAGGGTAATACTTTCTCCACCATGGCAGGTTTTTTTTAAAAAAAAATATTTATACATTTTTCTTTTAACATACACAAGTACCATATTTTTCAGAGTATAAGACACACTTCCCCCCATCCCCAAAAGAGGGTGGAAATGTTGGTGTGTCTTATACACTGAATACAGCCATTTTTGGCCACCTGAAGCTCCGCCCTGCTCGTTCCATTTTTCGCAAAAACAGGGTGCGCAGAGGGTTTGAGAGGCCTGTAGAGTGCTCCTTGGGGGCTGGGGAAGGCAAAATCCTTTTTTTACTTACTTACCTCTTCGAAATCTTGGTGCGTCTTATCCACTGGTGCGTCTTATAGTCTGAAAAATATGGGTATTTAGTAAACAGTGTATTCTCTGGGTCATTTTACATATACATAATAATAGTAGTAATAATATTCTTTACTTGTATATAATAGTATTCTTCCGACTTCTAATTTCTACTTTATTATCTAACCATTGATAAAACAAATCCCAAGTTTAAAAATATTCTGTGTTTTTTTAGTCCTTTATCTTTAATGTTAACCTATCCATTTCCGCACAATCTAATACTTTTTTAAATATATTTTCATCTGTAGGAGTATCCTTATTTTTCCAGTGTTGTGCAAATACAATTCTTGCTGCATGTAATTATTAAATATACATTCCCTTTATCATATTTTTCTGGCAATATACCTAACAAAAATATTTCTGGTTTTAAATCTATGTGTTGCTTTGTCATTTTCTCTAATAATGTATGTATTTTCATCCAAGAGTTTTGCACCCTGGCAGTTTTAAGCTGGGTGGATTTCAAGTCCCAGAATTCCCTATCCAAGAAGGGAAAGTTAGGTTGACTGGGGAATTCTGGGAGATTCACTAGATCAGAGTTTCTCAACCTTGGCAGTTTGAAGACGTGTGGACTTCAACTCCCACAATTCCCCAGCCAGCGTTGCTGGCTGGGGAATTCTGGGAGTTGAAGTCCACACGTCTTCAAACTGCCAAGGTTGAGAAACTCTGCACTAGATGGTCAAAAATAATGAAAGTTTTATGTATCTCTGTTATCTTTTGATGCTTGTGCAAAATTTGCAGGCTAGGGCAGCGTGCTTGCTGGGGGATTTTGGGAGTTGAAGTCGACTCATCTTAAAATTTTGCTAAAGTTGAGAATACTGATCTAGTGGTTGGCTGTATTCCTTCAATCCAGCTGTCCGTTTCTTTTGATGCATCCTTTGAATAGACCCGACTGTTGTTTCCAGGTTATCCCTGCAGGTGGCGCTGCTGCTATTCACATCTCCTTCACTCCTCTGATGCTCCCGGAAATCATCCATAAATTCGAATGTGAAGGTTTTGCACTCGGCTTCATAAGTCTGGACAATGAGGTACTTAAAGCAAGGTTAATTTGCGTTCTTCAGGGAGTTCTTATTTTTCCCCCCCTTTCCCTTTTGCTCTCCAGGGAATCAGGCTTTTCTGCAGAATGAATTAGCCTTGATGCTGAGCCTTAAATATCAGGCAGTCTTATTGTGTGGGTGTGATGTACAAGATATCTGAATCCCCCTTGGATGAGTTTCCCTCTCTGTCCCACAGCCAAATACATTCACCAGGGCTTCTCAACCATTTACGAAACATTTTCAGGGAAGGGGGAGAGTTTTTATTCCATTTTTTCCCTCCAACTCAGTTACATGTGCCTCTATCAGGATCCAATCTAGAAGCTGGGGAAGTCACTTCTCGCCATCTGCACGTCATTTTGTCAATCAAATGGTAATAACAGACATGGGTTTTACTCCAGTACTCCAAAGGGGGCTGCCAAAGAAGTGGCAGCTGTGTTGGCCAATCTGCTGACATTTTGATACAGCCCTTAAAGTTCTCCCCTTTATTGATGGGGTTCACTCCAAATTTAGGTTGAACAATTGCTTGCTAACTAAACTCCACCACTCACTCAGCCTTTTACTTACAGTCAGTTGCCAGGATTTATTTATTTAAGAACCAAATGTATATGGCTGCCCATCTCACAAGAAGGGAGATCTTCTTGTTATGGACCCCAAAGAATTCCAACTGGCCGGGTCCAAGAAGAGGGTCTTCTCTCCTGTTGACCCCACTTGGTGGAATATTCTGCCCCCGATGATGATGAAGGATTCCACCAGTCTGGTCTTCTGTAAAGGTGTAAAAGCTTTGCTTGGGGCTTACAGAAGAACAGCATACAAACATGGGGCTGATTACATTCTGAAAACCTTCCCCTCACCTTCTAGTTAACTTTTAGTATTAATTTACAATCCATCCTTGCTTTGTCTATGGAGATTCTCCATAGTCATCCAGGTCATTGGTTGTCCCAAAAGTGCTTTTTCAAAAGGCAACTGCTTCTTCAGTCGCTTTTTGGATTGTTTCCGGGAGGCAGGGTGAGTACCAAAAACCATGAGTAGAGAACGCATTTTTCCCATAAGGAGTAAGGTAGTGAGTCACAAGGCCACTGACACCAAAAGGTTCCATCTAGTTTGTGAGTTGAGTACCAAACAAATGAAGAGTACTGGGACAGAATTTTCACGTCAAAACACATTGGGTTCAGGTAGTCCTCAATTTATGACCACAACTGAGCCCAACATTTTTGTTCTGAAGTGAGACATTTGTTACGTGAATTTGAGTCCATTTATGACATCCCTTGCCACAGTTGTTAAGTGAATCCCTGCAGTTGTTAAAGTTAATAACACAGTTGTTAAGTGAATCTGGCTTCCCCATTGACACTGCTGATCAGAAGGTCACAAAAGGGGATCACAAAAACCTGGGACATTACAACCGTCATAAGTATGAATCATTTGCCAAGTGTTCGAATTTTTATCATGCGACTCTAGGAATGCTGCAGTGATTGTAAGTGTTAAAAAATGGTCATAAGTCATTTTTTTCAATTCCGTTGTAACTTCGAGTGGTCACTAAATGAACTGTTGTAGGTCACCTATATATGAGACTAGAGATGATTATGCAATATGGCAACTTAACTCTGAATGATAAAACTCTGCCTTTCAAATGAGCTGGATGAATTTGGGGGGGGGAGGGGGAAATCAAGGAAAACTCCCCTTTTCCATAACTACAGTATATACAGGTAGCCCTCAAGTTACAACAGTTTATTTAGTGACTGTTACAAAGTTACAATGGCTCTGAAAAAGTGATGTGGCCATTTTTCACACTTACGACCATTGCCACATCTCCATGGCCACCTGATCAAAATTAGACGCTTGGCAATTGACTCAAAATTATGACAGTTGCAGGGTCATGCGATCCTATTTTGCGACCTTTGGACAAGCAAAGTCAATGGGGAAGCCAGATTCACTTAACAACCGTGTTACTAACTAAACAACTGCAATTCACTTAACAACTGTGGCAATGGAGGTCATAAAACGGGACAAAATTCACTTAAGAACAGTCTCGCTTAGCACTGGAACCTTTGGGCTTACCGTATTTTTCAGAGTATAAGATGTAGCTTTTTCCCCAAAAAAAGAGGGTGAAAATCTGGGTGCGTCTTATACTCTGAATGTAGTGCTGCCTGGCTTCTCAAACGGGAGGTTTCAGGGGCTGAAAAAAGCATCAGAAAGGAAGCTTCAGAAAAGAAGTCTCCAAACAGAGCTTCAGAGGATTTTTTTCTGAAGCGCTGTTATAGAGGCTTTCAGAGGCAGGAAAAAAAGTTTTGAAGTTTCAGAGGCAGGAAAAAAAAAAGCAAGGCACAGAGCTCACAACCAAGAAACCTGTTGCTAAAATTCACCTCTGGGAACAGCTGATTGGGGGTATTCCAGGAGGCTGATCCACCCGCCAATCAGCTTTTTTCTTATTTTCTTCCCCAAAAACTAAAGTGTGTCTTATGCTCTGAAAAATACGGTAATTGTGGTCATAAATCAAGGAGAACAGTAGAATAATAATATTTATATGTTGAGGTTATTGAAGTAAATTGTATGCTGAAAGTGAAACTATTGCCATTCCCAAACTAGTTTCATCCCTTTTGACTTTTTCTCTCCCTCAGGTTATCCGGAATGTCCCTGGGAAAGTAACTCGTGAAGATGGACACTCACTTGCCCCTCTCAGGCTCGATTTGCAAGCATTTGTCAAACCTGCTTTGTAAGCCAATACTGGGTGTGAATGGGGCATATTCCAAAATACAACTGTGTGTCTTATTTATTTTATTTATCTATTTGATTTTTATCCTGTCTTTGTTACTTTATAAGCACAGGCAGTCCTTGACTTACAACAGTTCATTTAGTGACTATTCAAAGTTAACAACGTCACTGAAAATAATGACTTATTATCGTTTTTCACGCTTATGACGGTTATAGCATCCCCATGGTCACGTGATCAAAATTCAGGCACTAGGCAACTGACTCGTATTTATATCGGTTGCAATGTCCTGGGGTCATGCTTTGTGACTTCCTGAAAATCAAAGTCAAAGGGGAAACCAGATTCACTTAACAACCGTGTTACTAATGTGAGAACTGCGGTGACTCACTTAATAAATGTTTCACTTAGCAGCATAAATTTTGGGCTCAATTATAAGGGCTACCTGTAACTCAAAATGGCGAGCATACGTAAGTGTCAGGCCTGTCCCAGCCTGGATCTTCAGGAAAGAAAGACCCTCGACTCCATCTGTAGTGAAAAGTGGTTACAATGTAGCAAAGCCAGATCAGAATATTCCCGTGTGAACCTAGTTATTTTCACTTCTCCTGAGCCCTTCCCCCTTGGTCATCCTGTTAATGTCCAATGGTATTCAAACTAGGCATTTTCGTAACAATCCCAAAGTTCGGTGCCTCTTTGGTGGGCTTTCACATTGCTTTTCTCACCACCTTGTGTCCTTGGATATGCCAGGCTCTGTTCCAGGCTGGCACCTCTGGTTCCTCTCATCCTGTCATCCCCACTCCCTATATTCCCTTACTCCTCCTCCCCCCTTTTATGGCAGGATGCCATCGAAGGGAAGCAGGGCTGAAGCAATGTGATGGCAGACTTGACACAAAATTCTACCTCTTCCTGTCTCCTTCACAACAACCCTGTGAGGTATGTTGGTTGAAAGAGAGGTCCTGGACCAAAGTCACCTTGTCAACACTGGGACTAGGACTCATGGTCTCTTGATGATTGGCCCAGAATCCCCCAGCTGTCTAAAGCAGAACTAGAACTCATGTCTTCTGGTTTCTAGACTAGCCCCTTAACCAGTACACCAAACTACCTCTTGTGTCTTTGGCCAGTGATGACATGTGAGTAAATTTGGGCTCTTATTTGGCACTGTTGAGACCTCAGCTGTACAGGTAGTCCTTGACTTAATGACCACAATTTAGCCCAATATTTCTGTTGCTAAGCGAAACATTTGTTAAGTGTGTTTTGCTCCATTTTATGACCTCTCTTGCCACAGTTGTTAAGTGAATCACTGGAGTTGTTAAGCTAGCAACAGGGTTGTTAAGTGAATCTGGCTTCTCCCATTGACTTTGCTTCTCAGAAGGTCGCAAAAGGGGATCACGTGACCCTGGAACACTGCAACCGTCATAAATACAAGTCAGTTGCCAAGTGTCTGAATTTTGATCATGTGACCATTGAGATACTGCAATAGTCACGAGTGTGAAAAGTGATCATAAATCATTTTTTTCAATGCTGTTGTAACTTTGAATGGTCACTAAACAAACTGTTTTAAGTAGAGGACTGCTCGTATACCCTTATGATTCTGGGCATCCCATTTTCACAATGTCATAGAAAAATTAGGGTGGGTACAGAGGAGGGAAACAAGGATGACACAGGGAAAGAGAGGACTTGCCCCATGAGGAACAGTTAAATTTGTCAGGTTTGGGGACCCCTGACCTAGAGCACTGATCATCCAGACATTGGTGTATGATTTCCATCTTTATTTTCATTTTTTCCATCATTTTCTGGAATTTGGAAAACCGTTCTTCAGCGTTTTAAATTTTCCTGCTATATTTGTTTTCATTTTCCGGTAAGTCACAATATTCTGCTTTCTTGCTGCAGGTTGACAGTTGAAACGGATCATGAGAAAGGGCTGGTGTTCCATGCAGCGGCCAGCAGTTTAATCCCCGTTAACAAGGATGTAAGTTATGGTTTTTCTGCTTCTGAAATCGCCAAAATCAGAGGTGGGTTTCAGCAGGTTCTGACCAGTTCTGGAGAACCGGAAGCGGAAATTTTGAGTAATTCGGAGAACGCGGAAATATCACCTCTGGATGGCCACACCCCCATCTATTCTCAGCCTCCCAAGTCCCAGCTGATCGGGAGGGAATGGAGATTTTACAGTATCCTTCCCCTGCTACGCCCACCAAGCAATACCACGCCCACCAAGCCACACCCACAGAACCAGTAGTAAAAAAATTTGAATCCCACCACTGGTCAAAATGCTTGCATTTTGCGGAGGGAAAAAAGTATGTAATTTTCATAATGTATTTGTTATTTGGAAAAAATCATTTTGGAAGAAGCAAACCCAGCTTGGTCCAAGAATAATTAGATGGGAGATAGGGAGAACTGTATAAGCGAACACGAGGCCACTACTTTATATGGAACAACCCTGATTTTGTTCCTAAAATCAGTTGATTGTTCACAACACATTAGCCATAAAATAATAACTGAAGATGTAAGTGATGTTGGGAAAAACTGTTGAGTTTGCTTTCTGGAATTCTTTCCAGCCCCCTTACCAGCAGTAGCCAGAAAAGGTTTCTGTACAGATAGTTTTTGACTTACAACCGTTCTTTTAATGACTGTTCAAAGTTGGCAAGGAAGATTTTAAAATGGGACAAACTCACTTAACAACTGCCTTGGACCCCAGCCCAGTTATCCTCCAAATGGTTCCCATTGTGATGCCATCTCAGATTCAAATTACTTCAGAAATTCCAATAACTTTTACAATAAAATATTTTTTTTACAATTTTTAATGTTTGTCTGCTCATTCTGATACTGCAGAAGGTTTTCTACCATAGGAACTGTCTGCCTATATCCAAGTAAGAGTTAGTCCTTGACTTATGACTACAATTGATCCCAACATTTCTGTTGCTAAGCAAGACACTTGTTAAGTGAGTTTTTCCCCCTTTACGAACTTTCCTGCCACAGTTGTTAAGTGAATCACTGCAATTGTTAAATTAGTAACATGGTTGTGAAGTGAATCTGGCTTCTCCCATTGACTTTGCTTGTTCAGAAGGTTGCAAAAGGAGGATCACATGACCCTGGAACACTGCAACCGTCATAAATATGAGCCAGTTGCCAGAATTTTGATGATGTAACAATGGGGGATGCTGCAAGTCATGTGAAAAATGTCTTGTAATTTTTTTTCAGTGCCGCTGTAATTTCTAAACAATCACTAAACAAATGGTTGTAAGTTGAGGATTACCTGTAGATGCCAAATTGCAGTAGCAATAGTGCTTAGACTTATATACCGCTTCACAGCCCTCTAAGGCTGTTTACAGAGTCAGCCTCTTGCCCCCAACTATCTGGGTCCTCATTTTTCCGACCTCGGAAGGTGGATGGAAGGCGAGTCAACCTTGAGCCTGGTGAGATTTGAACTGCCAAATTGCAGGCAGCCAGCAATCAGCAGAAGTAGCCTGCAGTACTGCACTCTAACCACTGCGCCACCTCGTCTCTTCATTTGGGGTATTGGAAGTCCTAGAAGGGGGCCAGGCGAAGGAAGGGTGTCTGTCCTAGAAATTGCATGTCTGAAACGCAATGATGTAACCGGATTCTGTATATTTTATCCTTCAGGTGCTGACGTACTCAGCCACCACTCTGAATGTGAAACTCACCAACAACACGGAGACCCCTCTGGCCTTCAACCTTATTTTATCAACTCCCTTCTCCATATCCAGTGTGGACCCTGCAAAGAGCCTGAAAACATCTCAGAGTGAAAGAGAGGAAGGAGGAGCACACCTGTTGCTCTACACGTTAGAAAATATGCTGGTACAGTCTTGTTCAAGGGGCGTTGGGCCGCTCAGGATCACAGTGGGTTAGATCCAGGTGGATTTAAACATGAACCAGCCGTGTGCGGCAGCAGCCAAAAAAGCTAGCACAGTCCTTGGTTGTATAAACAGAGGCATAGAATGAAAATCAATATCAGTACCGCTTAGTAAGGCCACACGTGGAATACTGCATCCAGTTTTGTTCACCATATTATAAAAAAGATGTTGAGACTTTGGGAAGAGCGCAGAGAAGAGCAACTAGTTTGATTAAAGACCTGGAGACTAAAACATACGAAGAACGGTTGCAGGATTTGAGTATGGCCAGTCTAGAGAAAAGAAGGATTAGGGGTCATATAATAGCAGTGTTCCAGTATTTGAGAGGCTGCCACAAAGATGAGGGGGGTCAACTTATTTTTCAAAGCACCTGAAGGCAGGACAAGAAGCAATGGATGGAAACTAGGAGAGAAGCAACCTAGAACTAAGGAGAAATTTCCTGAGAGCTAGAACAATTAACCAGTGGAACTACTTGCCTCCAGAAGTTGTGGGTGCTCCATCACTGGAGGCTTGTATGAAGAGACTGGACAGCCATTCATGTGGGGTGGTATAAGGTTTCCTGCATGGAAAGTTAGACTGGAACACCTCCAAGGTACCTTGCAGCTCTGTTCTGATTAATTTAAATAAATCAATAAATCAAAATGAGTTTAAATTTAGAAGGAATTGATTGCTGAGAGAGAGATTTCCAGTGCTCCTCAAACGTCTGATGTGACTAGAGAAAGCCTCTTGTTGCTCTGGTCTGTTTTTCTCTCCCAGTGGCCTCCTTGTAGCTTGAATGAAAACGTTAAATCATCTCACTGTTTTCATAGACCAATCAATTCTAATCAAAGGATTTGCCTGGAAAACATCTTTCTGCATAAGTAACATAGTCCGTTTGCACGGTACAGTTGTTGAAATTGGCTAAATCAGCAATACAGGCAGTCCTCAACTTACAATTCATTTAGTGACCGTTCAAAGTTACAACAGCACTGAAAAAGTGACTTATGACTGTTTTTCCCACAACCATTGCGGCATCCCCATGGGCACGCGATCAAAATTCAGACACTTGGCAACTAGTTCATATTTATGACAACTGCAGTGTCCTGGGGTGTTATGTGATTCCCCTTTTGTGACTTTCTGACAAGCAAAGTTGATGGGGAAGCCAGATTCACTTAACAACCGTGTTACTAGCTTAACAGTTAGTGATTCACTTAACCACTGTGGCAAGAAAGATGGTAAAATGGAGCAAAATTCACTTAACAAATGTCTCATTTAGCAATAAAAAAATGTTGGCCTCAATTGTGGTCGTGAGTTGAGGACTGCCTATAATCCAGTTGCCTGTTTCTTCAACTCTTGGCCACCCTGACGACTTACCTCTGTGCTTTGCCCTTTCTATCTGGTTCTTCATAGGTGAAAGTGTCATTTCTCACAACCCTTGAGTTACTCACCTACCAACATCTCCCAGAGGACCTTCAGCCAACAGGGCTTCAAGTGATCCAGGAGGACAGCGGGGAGAAAATCCTGGAGTTTAAACAAGATCTTATCGTCGAGTACAGCAACAAAGCTACACAGGTAAGCGGAAGCGGGAAAAATAGGGGCTGCCATTTTTATTTGCCCAAGTTCACGCAGCAGGACATACAGTGCTCCCTTGGGGTGAATCCCATCATTGTTTTACTTTCTTGCACATCTTCAGCGCCATGGTGGCCCAGTGGTTAGAATTGTGTATTGCAGGCTGACTCTGCCCACCGCCAGCAGTTCGAATCTCACCAGGCTCAAGGTTGACTTAGTGTTCCAACCTTCCGAGGTCGGTTAAATGAGGACCCAGATTGTTAGGGGCAAGACGCTGACTCTGTAAACTGCTTAGAGAAGGCTGCAAAGCACTGTAAAGTGGTATATAAATCTAAGTACTATTGCTATTCTACCATGCATGGGAATTTTGGAAGGCTTGAATGGGAACATAGTCTCTATCAGAATGGACTATTAAACCATTTTTAGCTGCAGGTCCTCCACGGCCTTTCGTAATACATTTTTCTTGGTATATCCAGAGCTGAGCCTTTGCTCAGCACCAAGCAGCTGATTCTGAATTTTCTCCCTTCTTTTTTTTAATTTTTAAATCAAAATGTCATCGGTTTAATTACGTTTCTTGCCTCTATCCAGAAAACTGTTGGTATTGAAGGTAATAAATGTTCAATATTAAATTGTAGTTATAGAATACTGTTTACTGGACTATGAGAGAAAGAGATATCTATTTTCCGGAGGCCATTGTACATAGTTGGACTGGGTTTTGCCAAGCATTTGGGTGGGGTGGGTTTTGCCAAAAATGTATTTTTGGAAAATACTTCCTGCGTCTTACTTTGGTTTCTGATATTCATCTAGTTTGCTTGAAGCAGAGACTAATAACTCTCTCCCAACCATCATATTGTATTAAAAGCTTTGAGAAGTGCAAGACCATTTATCAGATGCATGAAGTGGTTTACACTGAAACAAAACCAGCCACTGGAGCGTGTAACAATTATCGCACATAACGCATAAGTGCAAGTGAAGCAAAATATCCATTTGTCGGTTGGTTGTTTTAATACAATTTAGAGTCCCCCTGACTCAAAAACAATTCTGGTTAGTTTATACTTTAAAAAGGTAAGAAGAATAAAAAATGAAGAACAGATTTTAGAACAGTGTTTTCTCAACCTTGGCAACTTTCAAACGTGCTGTCTTCAACTCCCAGAAGGCTGGCTCGAGAATTCTGGGAATTGAAGTCCACACCCTATAGAGCTCAACTCCAAGGCCTGGAAGGGCAGACGTTCTTCATTTAATTTGTGGCGTGGTATGATGACGTCACAATATACAGGACAACGATGCCATTATGGTTTCTTCCAGAGGCCTTTGCCCTCAAAGCTCACACCCAGATCCCGCCTAGGATATTTCTTTTTCCATCCCACAAAGGACAGCCAGGGAGGAAATATTTTTCATGGTCCCCTCAAAAGCCTCTGGCGCTTGATCTCGTTGCAGGTGCTCCCCCTGACTGCGTACCTGACCATCCCAGTACTTGAACTCGCTTGCGAAACGATTAATTTCAAAACCTGCCTCGTTAACCAAACCAGGTCTGAAGGGGCACTTCTGATGAACCGCAGTGGATGCAGAAGCTACTGGGCAGTTTTCTTGCGTAAGAGAAACGGTTGGACCGGTTTTCCTCGTACTGATGCAGACGGAGTTCCTTACAGGGAGAACCTTCTCTTAAATTCCACATCATTATTATTTTTGTTTGGTTTTTTTTGCAAATTCTGAAATAAGAGCTGGTCTAGAATCAGAATCGAAGAAATTATCTGCATTTTGATACAGAGAATTTTTAGGAGTTTGGGTTATTTTTAGATAGATGATAGATAGATAAATAGATAATAGATAGATAGAAACATGGATGGATGATAGATAGATAGATAGATAGATAGATAGATAGATAGATAGATAGATAGATGATAGATAGATAGATAGATAGATAGATAGATAGATAGATAGATAATAAGGTAAAGGTTCCCCTCACACGTATGTGCTAGTCGTTCCCGACTCTAGGGGGCGGTGCTCATCTCCGTTTCAAACCTGAAGAGCCAGCATTGTCCGAAGACGTCTCCATGGTCATGTTGCCAGCATGACTAAATGCCAAAGGTGCACTGAACCCTGTTACCTTCCCACCAAAGGTGGTCTCCATTTTTCTACTTGCATTTTTTATGTGCTTTTGAACTACTAGGTTGGCAGAAGCTGGGGCAAGTAACGGGAGCTCACCCCATTACACGGCACTAGGGATTTGAACTGCTGAACTGCCGACCTTTCGATCGACAAGCTCAGCGTCTTAGCCACTGAGCCACCGCATCCCTTAGATAGATGATAGATATAGATAGAGAGGTAGAGAGATAAATTGATTGATAGAGAGAGAGAGAGAGAGGGAGATAGAGAGAGCTACATGATAGAGATGATAGAGAGATATAAATAGAGATAGCTTATAGTTGTAGATGATATAGATACAGATAGAATAAATCTGTAATGTAAATTCAGTGACAGCCAGCTTGGTGTAATTGTTAAAAACATTGGGATAGAAATCAGAAGCCTGTGAGTTCTAGTCCTGCTTTAGTCATAAAGCCAACTGGGTGAGTTGGAACCAAGTCTCAGTCCTAGAAAGAAGGAAAATGCTTCCAACACTGTTGCTAAAGACTGCAGGGCTTTGTAGATGTAGTTTTCAGGAGTCAAGGCTGACTCAGAGGCTCTTAAAAAAATAAGAAGATCATCAGCAATTTCCACTGAGATTTGAGCTAGTTTGGAGAAGTGGTGAAGATGCTGGCCTAGATGCCAGGAGGTGGTGAATTCTAGTCCTACTTTAGGCATGAAGCCAGCTGGGTGACTTTGGGCTAATCATCAGGAGGCTGGGAGTTCTAGTTCCGCTTTAGGCACAAAAGTCATTTGGATAACCTTGGGCTTTCTTGCAAGCTCAGTTCAATCCACCTCACAGGGTTGTTGTTGGGAAAATAGGAGAAACAAGAAAGAGTATTAGATATGTTTGCTTCCCTAAATTACTTATAAATTAATAAAGGCAGATTAAAAAAAACCCCACAAATCAATAAATATCCTTAGCAGCAGCCAAGGATTAGTCGAGGATGATAGATTATCTTTCTTTTAAGAATATCTGTTGAAACGTGAACCAGCACTTCTTAATTTCATTTTAAAGCGGAAGATGAAAGACATAAGGATCCTGAAGTGTTTTCCATCTCTCCAATTAGCGGCATCCTTGAGGCCCGCAAAGGTAGCACAGCTACCAAAACCCAACTGGTGGTCCGTTTCACCCCAAGGTAAGGTCAGGAGAAGCCCCTCGTTGTTCTTCTGCACGTCCCAAGCCCCAGACAAGATCTGCCTGATCTGGCCGAGGGATGGTAACTGCGTTATCCTTGTTAATTGCACAATAGGGAACACAATTGTACCACACCCATGGGAATTTGGTGGCGAGAATGATTTTGGCACAGCATGGGCTAACTCCACCTCATGAAAATAAGGTGGGAAGGACACTTTCCCCCACTTTTGAAATTTCCCAAGATCCAAAATGGCATCACTTGGGGAATTTGCATGGAGGAATAGAATTTTTTTTTGCTTTCCAAAGCCATAGCGCTCCCATTCCCATTTAAAAACTCTTGGGCCGGGTGGGGGAAATGATGTATTTCAGTCTTACCACTTCTGAAATGGGATAGGGCTTCCTGCCTGAGCAGGGGGTTGGACTAGAAGACCTCCAAGATCCCTTCCAACCCTCCTCTCCTCTCCTCCGCTGAGCTTTGCTGCTGTTCTGTTGACACTGAATTGCCATTGAAGATAGTGGGGATCTCTCATTCAGCAGGTGTTCAACACTGACAAAGTCATCTGCTTGGACTTTACACCAAGTTAGACTTGATGGTCTCAGACATTCCCCTTGACTCTAGAACCGTGAGTGAGTTGAGTCCCCAAACCAGGCAGGTTGCCCAGGAACTGTTCTAGAACATTTGGGGCAGCATGCCTTCATGTCTTCTTCTGCAGCATGCCACATAGTTCATGAAGATGGCAGTTTTTTCACTGTCAGAATACAGGTGGTCCTCGACTTAACGACGATTCATTTAGTTACCATTCAAAGACACTACAACATTGTAAAAAAGTGACATATGACCATTTTTCACACAACTGTTGCAGCATCCCCAGGGTCAGAGGTGGGATTCAGCCAGTTCAGGCAAACCAGTAGTTCCGACAACCATCTGGCCCCGCCCACCTGCTCCCGCCCTATCCTGTCCTTTATTTCCTTTCTGGCTCAGCTGATTCGCACGGCACAGCTGATTTCCGCATCTCCACTGTCCTACTTACCAGGGCTGCCTTAGAAGATAAGCAGCTGAGCTTCAAATTTCTGTATTTTGAACGCCGCACGCAAGCGCGTTAGTTGTGTGCACGCGCAAAGCGCACGCTAACCAAACCGGTTGTTAAACTGGTTGCATCCCGCCACTGCCCATGGTCATGTGATCAAAATTCAGGCCGTTGTCAACTGGCTCATATTTATGCAGTGTCCTGGGGTCATGTGATCCCATTTTGCAACCTCCTGACAAGTCAGTGGGGAAGAAGCCAGATTCACTTAAGGACTGTGTTATGAAAGGCCATGAAATGGGGCAAAACTCACTTATCCAACGTCTTACTTAGCAACAGAAATGCTGGGCTCAGTTGTGATCATAATTCAAGGACTACCTGGATCTTCAGGCTCTTAACCTGGCTTGGACTGAGAAGAGTAGATGAAGGAGCAGCAGCAGGCCAACTGAACCAGAACAGGACAACTTCCCTCAGCCAATTCGCCATGGCCAACTCGCCACGAGACAACTTGTTGGAAGACAGTTCAATTTAATTACTTAAAATAATTTAAAAAAAAAAATATTTTGATGTTTTGGTCATTCACATTTTATTTCGTCCCTCCTTTGGCATCCTTTCTTTATTGGTTCTATCTGACAACGTCTTTGCTATTAGTGTAACTCTTGTCCTGCAGCGAGTTGTTCCGCAGCAAGTTGCCAATGGTAGAGTCGTCCTGTGGGGACTTTCCAGTTGCATGGTAGGAGGGGCCCTTCCATGGTGTTTCTGTCGAAGGGGAGACTCACTTCTTAGCCCTTCTCTCATTTCAGAGACAACGTGGACTATGAAACCATAGTGACAGTTGTCGGCATGCTGGGAGAGAAGCCGTGCCTGCTGTTTGTGCAAGGAAAGGGCTCCTACGACGAGAGGTATGAAGACCTCCTCATGGGCACCTGAAGAACAAGCCACGGGGGCCGCCTTGCAAGCAGCTTAACGGCAGCTGGATTTTTTTTTTTTTTTGTAATGCTAGAGAAAAATAAAATATTTCTATACCCTTGGCAAGCTTGTCTTTTCATGTTTTAGCCTCCAGTCCCCTAATGGTCTTTATGCACTTCTCTGCACTCTTTCTAGAGCAGGCATGTCAAACACACGGCTCACGCGCTGGATACGGCCCACGCAGGCCACGTCCACCCCAGCCCTGCGATGACAAAAATGTCACGATACAGCCCACAATGCGATCAGATTTGACACCCGTTCTAGAGTGGCAACATGTTATGGCAACCAAAACTGCAATATTCTAAGTTTGATTTTACTAAATCTTTGTAAAGCGGTATTAACACTTCATGTGATCTTGATTCTATCCCTCTGTTAACGCAGCCTAGGATTGTCTTGGCTTTTTTGGTGGCTGCAGCACACGGCTGGCTCATATTTAAGCGACTGTCCATTAAGACTCCAAGATCCCTCTCACAGTCACTACTATTGAGCCAGGTATCACCTATTTAAATGTTGGCAAACCTTTTTGGCACCGAGTGTCGAAACAGGAGCGTGCGTGGGCACGCAGGGGAGCACTTGAAACTGGAAGAGCAGCTCCCCGGCACACATGCGCACGCCAGGAAGCTGAGCTTCTGGTTTCCAATATGCACATGCGTGCCAGGGAGCTGCTCCTCCAGTTTCTGGCGCTCCCATGTGCTCAAAGACCACCATGCATGCTGGAACCTGGGAGAGCAATGGACGACAGCTGGCATGCTCGGAGAGATGGCTCTGCATGCCACTTCTGGCACGCGTGCCATAGGTCCACTATCACTGACCTATTCTATATCTGCGCATTTGGTTTTTCTTGCCTAAATGTAAAACCTTACTTTCCTCCACAAAAAATGGGGAAAAACTCACTTAACTAATGTCTCACTTAGCAACATAAACTTTTGAGTTCAATGGTGGTTGTAAGCTGAGGACTACCTTTAGCATCTAACTTGGTGCCAACCATCGTTCTATGCTAGGAAAATTGGCTTTCCAGGAATTAAATGACTCAGAACCATTCAAAGGCTTTATTAAAGTAATTTAATCCATTAACAGAAATTTAATTAGTTGATTAAAACATCTTTTAAGAATTGGTTTAGCTCCTTAGAACACCAGCAAAGCAATTACCAGCTATTTCTTGCTAGGACCAGCCGCTGAATCGTGTGATTTCTTAACCTGCTTATTTTGCTGCTTTTCCTTTTAAGGATTTAAAAATAATTTTTCATGGTAACAGTAATATTTTCTTTTTTTAAAAAACCATACCTGGTCCCAGTTCATCTTCAAAAATAATGTGTGATAAACTAAAATTACCTTAAGGTAATTTTAAGGAGAGAGAGAGAAAAAAGAAGAAACCAAATCAGCAATAACAGCTTATGAGTTTCTAGAAAACTTTGAAAATGGGAGCCCAGCAGCAATAAATGCTGTGCTATGTTTTTTTTTTTAATTGTTCCCAAGTGGACTGGCGCCCCATTTTCTAGCTGATTCTAATAATCATTATTCTCCCCTCCACACAAAAGCAGGATATTGGCTACGTTAGGGAATTTACTCATTGGAGTAAGGATTCTTGAGGGGGGGGGGAGAGAGAGAGAAAAGCACCCTGTTCCAATTGCACATTAATCCCGGCACTGCAGATAAATCTATCTATTTCAGACTGCTGATCAGTCAAGTTCCTCAGGTATCCCTATCTCCCTCCGCCAACCCCAAGCCACCTCCACCGGACAGGTAGATCCCTCACACCCTAGTGATTAATTCATACAAAAAGGACCTATTTTTAATAGGTTTCCTTAAAGACCAGAAGCCAAAGATCCTTGCTACACCCCGTTTCCCAAATTCACTCCCGTGGCAACGGACTTCAAAAGCTCTGCCCGCCGAGGAGGGTTCCCATCGAACGAACAGTCATGAAGCCGGATTGCACATCAGGACGGATAGCGGGTTATTTTCCAGGCCTTGAGGGCAGGTTGTGTGATGAGCCTGAAGTTCTGCTCACTTCCCTGGATATTCAAATACCGCAGCTGCTCCCATCCCGGTGCCAATGCACATTGAAACCACGCCATAGCCTCTGGAACAAGAAGGCACGTGAGGGCTAAGCTCCCTAGGCAGAGGGTCTTCTTGGGGAGTTTGGAAGACACGAAGGTACAGGGGGGGAGAGAAGACCTTATGACACAGAATGACTGGCTAAAAAAGAGTGCCATTTTGGCCTAATTCTGAAGGTGCAGGTCTAGAAATCAGGACATGGGGCATTCTAGTCCCACCTTAGGCATGAAAGCCAGCTGGTCGACTTTGGACCAATCACCAGGAGACGGTGAGTTCTAGTCCCACTTTAAGCATGAAAGTCGGCTGGGTAACTTTGGGCCAATCACCAGGAGATGGTGAGTTCCAGTCCCGCCTTAGGCATGAAAGCCGGCTGGGTGACTTTGGGCCAATCACTGTCTCTCAGCTCAATCCACCCCATAGGGTCGTTATTGTGGGGAAAATAAGAGGACGAAAGAGTACGCAATATGTTTGCTGCCTCAAACTATTTATAAATATAATAAAGGTGGGACATAAATAAAATAAGCACAAACAAAAAGCCAAACCTTAGCCTCAAGAGCAATAAAATTTAAAGCAGAGCTACCGCAAGGCGTCTTTCTCACTTTCGTTTACGTGAATTAGAACTTGCGGGAGATCCGGTTTTACATGTCCGACCTCCCGAGCAGGTTGAGAAATTCCTTGGTGGCGCCCTTTAAAAGCCAAGCAGCGTTAAGCCACGTACTCGGGGGGATAGTTCACGCCTTCCGCACTCACCTCTTTCCTCTGCGCTTCAGTTCGTTGAGCAAAGTGACAACTTGCCGAGCCCCGGTGCACCCCAGAGGATGTCCCAAAGCAATGGCGCCCCCCAGGGGGTTCACCTTCTCCATGGGGATGCCAAGTTTCTCCACGCAGTAGACAGCCTGGAGAAACAAGACAATCAAAGGCTTTTTCAGGAACCAATTTCACTCAGTTGGGACAAAACATCTGGAATAAGTGACCTCATGGTTAACTCTTTCCGGTTTTTCTTTTGAGATGCCACGTTTGGTAACAACTCTCTTGTTACCATACATTTACTGAGACCAAAAGTACAGGTAATCCTCGACTTACAACAGTTTGTTTGGTGACCACTCGGTTACAATAGCACGACCATTTTTCATTTAGTTAGGACCTTTGCAGCATCCCCACCATCACATGATCAAAATTCGGACACTTAGCAACTGACTCGTCTTTATGACGGTTTCAGTGTCCTGGGGTCCCGTGATCCCTTTTTGCGACCTTCTGACAAGCAAAGTCAATGTGGAAGCCTGATTCATTTAACAACCGGGTTGCTAACTTATCAGTTGCAGTGATTCACTTAACAACTGCGGCAAGGAAGCAGAATGGAGCAAAACCCGCTTAACAAATGTCTCACTTAACAACAGAAATTTTGGGCTCAACTGTGGTCGTTAAGTCAAGAACTACTTATCCTGAATTTCCCATTTGTTGAAAGTGTTTGAAATATGCCTGGTTATATCTGGCAGACTGCAATGTAAGCGAGGGAGATTAGAAAAAAAAATGAACAGCCTGGTATTAAAATGCAGAAGAGAAAAGAAAGAATGGAACGGAAGAGCAGCTGGAGGTGTGTTTGGGTTCACAGGCAGAACCAAGTAGAGGTAGTTCTTGACTTACAACCATGTGTAACTGTGGGAGTCCAGAATTTCCATTGTATGTCACAACAGTTATTAAGTTGAGTTGCCCACATTCCCAATCTGAGTTTATGACATATTTGGAGTTGTTACGTGAAATTGTTAAACGGACACTGCAGTTATCAAAGTGAACCCATTGCTGCGATGGGCGTCTTATTTGCAGAAACTGGAAGTAGTTTCCAGCAAAAGAAAAAAAAATGCCATTAATGCAGTCATGTGATTATGGGATGTTGCAAATGCCTCTAAATGTGTCCTGGTTGTTGAGCATCTAAAGTGTGGTCACATGATAATAGGGGGTGGGGAAAAGTCGTTGGAACTTCGAATCCGGTTTCTTAGTATCTTTGGGAGCGGGCAATCTGTCATAACTTTGAACAGTCGCTAAGCAATCCGGTCGTAAGTTGAAGACTACCTATAATACCATTTTGGGTAGGAGGGACACATATAGTTAGTCCTCGATTTATGACAACTGAACCCAACATTTATGTTGCTCACTTAACATTTGTTAGGTTTTGCCCCATTTTACGACTTTTCTTGCCACAGTTGTTAAAGCGAATTATCGTAGTTGTTAAGTTAGTAATTCGATTGTTAAAGTGAATCTGGCTTCCCCCGATTTTGCGTGTGAGGTCGCAAAAGGGGATCATGTGACTCCAGGATCCTACAACTGTCCCAAATGCGAATCACGTGACCACGGGGATGCTGCAATGGTTGTAAGCTGGAAAAACGGTCATAAGTTCCTTTTTTACAGTGCCGTTGTAAACTTTGAACAGTCACTAAACGAACTGTTTGTAAGTCGAGGACTACCTGTACTGCATTTGGAGACTTCAGAGGCCACACTCCCCCCAAATGTGGGCAGGACCAGGACAAACCTGGCTTGATGAAATGTGGAATTTATAGAGCTGGTCAATGACCTCGGAGCCTCCGTCCCAAAGGCCGCCTGCCTGCCTGCCATGGATGATGAAAGAGGGCAGAGAGTCAGGGCGGCTTAAATCTCTTGTTAACCCTCCCAATTCGGAACGTATTTTCTTTACGGTGTCTTCATTCCAACTCCCCCTTCAAAAACCTTACCTGACTTGCAAAGGCCTCGTTGATTTCAAACACATCGATATCATTCACTGTCAAACCTGCAGGTGAGAGATGGGCACAATTGAATAGTGTAAAACCTACCTTTTTAAAGGATATTACTATTACTATTATTACTATTATTATTATTATTATTATTGGTGAGGCACCAAGAGGTTTCGGTGCCCTTCTGCCCCAAAGACGCAGTCCTAAAAATCACTCCAGGAAGACCTCCCACCTAAAGGTCACTGAGCAAATACTGGCTTGCAAAGGATTGCGGGGGAAACAATCCCCTCCCAGCTCCTCGATTAGCTGTGTAGATTTCTGCCTGGCCCTCTCCCTCTCAGATTATACAAGAGCCTTGGTAGTACAGTGGTCTAAAGCACCCTGTTATTAAGACCAGCTGCCTGCAATTACTGCAGGTTCGAATCTCACCAGGCTCAAGGTTGACTCAGCCTTCCATCCTTTCTAAGGTAGGTAAAATGAGGACCCAGTTTGTGGGGGCAATAAGCTGACTTTGTATAAATATACAAAAGAATGAAGGCTATTGCTTAACGCATTGTAAGCCGCCCTGAGTCTCCGGAGAAGGGCGGCATATAAATCAAATTAAAAAAAAAAAATTATGCTGCTCACCGGCTTTTTTCAATGCCGCTGGGATAGCATAGGCTGGCCCTATGCCCATAACATCTGGTGGGACTCCAACCACAGCGTACGATTTCAGCACCCCAAGGACAGGAAGCCCCAGCCGTGCAGCTGAGGAGCGTCTGGCCAGCAGCACCGCAGCAGCACCGTCACTGACTTGGCTGGAGTTACCTGAGGGAAGCCATTTCATGAAGACTTAAGTTATGAGATGCCGGCAAAGTGATAGAACAGCACAACTGAGTTAATTACATCACCATCCTCCAGGACCAACGATAGGAAAGATTCCTACAATGAAAATCACTTTCACACATAAAGAGGATTGCCAATTTTTTATTTATTTTATTTTAAATCTAATGCAGTGTAAAAATTGTGTACTCTGGAAATAACTTCTTCTTTTTTTCATAATAATGCAATTTTGTAAACCTTGGGAAATGTATTTAAGGGGTTTTGTGTATTCTTGGGGGGAGGGGCTGTGTTCTAGGTGGCCAACATGGCATAAAATGAGCAACAAGGCACTCCACTCTGTGAGATAATCTGAGCGGCCAAAACATGGCCTGAAGTCACTATGCGAACTTTGTCGCTAAATAGGAACCTGAACCCAGATCCTCTAATCTCCATCTATTATACCTATTAGTGAAAGCAAGCTGGCACATATTTTACTGACTTATTTTTTAATTTATTTTTATCTTTGAGAGGGACTGGCCCAAAGTTTCACCCACCAAGTTTCATGCCTAAAGCAGGACTAGAATTCACTGTCTCCCAGTGATTGGGCCAAAGTCACCCAGCTGGCTTTCATGCCTAAAGTGGCACTAGAACTCACCATTTCCTGGTTTCTTAACCAAACTGGCTCTATGGCACAAAGTCAACCCCCTCCACTTTGTCTCTTGCTTCCGAGCCTTACCAGCTGTGGTAGTCCCATTCTCCTGGAAGGCCGGCTTCAGCCTGGCCAATCCCTCCAGCGAGGTGTTGGGCCTGATCCCTTCATCCTGCAGCACAGTGATCGTTTTCTCAGTGCCCTGGTCATCGGTGCAGGTGGTCTTCACGGGGACAATCTCATTTTTAAACCACCCCAACTTCTGAGCTCGAGTTGCTCTGGAAACACACCACACCCAAATAATTACCTTTATGGTATATGTTTGAAAATATATATATATATCCCCAGATGTATTTTACAACTTTCATGAGAAACATATTCAGCCAAGGGCATTGTTGTTATTATTCCTGGAAATAATCTAAACTATTCTCTTGAAAAATGGCCCTTAAGCAGCACCAACCTTGATCAAACTGTAATTTATCTTGCACGATACAAGCAGTCCTCAACTTATGACAGGGTCGCTAATAACCATTCAAAGTTATGACGGACTTTCCCAGGGCTACATATTCAGATTCAGTTCCGAAGTTCTGATGCCCTCCAGTCACATGACTTGTACAATGACGTTGGCAACTCGCTCGCATTTTTGGCCGTCTGCAGCATCCTGCGGTTAAGGGACCCCCCTTTTACATCTTTGCTGTCAAGCCCACATTCTGCTCTGCTCGCCATACTCACTGGAGAGAGAGGCAGTTCGATGGAGCCTCACTTCTGATTTTTTCCCCCCAAAATTTGATCTATAGCAAACAATCAGTTCGGCATGGGCCACGATGTTTGCTTCAACTTCTGCAAAAAAGATTGTTAACATTGGATTGGCCAAACATGGTGACCTACTTTATAACCATCATGATTTAGTACTGTAATGGACATGCTCCGTTACTATCATAAGTTGAGGACTACCTGTATCTTATAATAGCAATGAAGAGGATTCCTACAGCTCTAATGCTTAGCAGAATAACAGAGTTGGAGGGGGCCTTGTCCAAGACAGTTTATAACATGAAACACAGATTCCCTATTTCTGTAAATACAAATGAGACTGTATTCTCAAGTTAATAGTGATACAATGCTAATTTTTTTTTAAAAAAAAAAACATGTTTGTGTTTGACAAAGCTTGACGGGTGTGGGTGTGGGTGTGTTTAAAAGCCGGTGAGTAATCTAGGACAGGGGTCTCCGAACTTGGCAACTTTTAAGACTTGTGAACTTCAACTTCCAGAATTTCTCAGCTAGCATGGCTGGATAAGGAATTCTGGGAGCTGAAGTCTACACGCCTTTAAAGTTGCCAAGTTTGGAGACCCCTGGTCTAGGAGAACAAGAACCTCCTCTTCCTAGACTTGCTACCTTGCAAGTCCAGTGCTTGTAGTTTTGTTGGGCCTTGACTCTGGGGGTGAGAATCAGAAGTGAAAACAGTTTCAGCTTTCCCACCACAGGTCCTATTTGCTTTCAAATGACCCTTGGCCCCAGTCTGTGATAAGCAACTGAGTCAACTCTTAGCTTCAGCAAATCTTGTAACCTTAACCTAGGTTACTTGCCCCAGATAGATTGTGATTGTGCACAATTCTTCTCCAATATGCATAGAGGCAACAGGGCTGGGTACTCCACCACAATTAGGAGTTAATATCTGAACAGAACTCTGGCTGCAAATCCACCTGCACCCTCTGGATCACAGCAGGCTACATTGGGGAAAGGGTACAGTACATCCAAGGGTCTTTGAGACCCCTTGCCTTTATCAGGCCAATTAAGCTGTGCAAAATTGTTAGCCGGCCTGGAGGATAATGGGAATTGCAACTGGCGCTTACTTCTATTTTTGGCAAAACCACAATCATAGCGAATCCTAGGTTTGCTTAATAATTTCAATATATATATTTAAAAAAAACGTACAGGAACAAAATGGATGCTCTAAGTATGTAGCTCTAGTAAATGAAGTCAAACAGTGGCCAGAACTTTTTAAAAACCTAAGGCCTGGTCCATCTTTATGATTCTGGTGTTTGCTCTGAAAAATGAGAACTGCAAGCAACATAAATGTGGGGAAAAGCACACACAACAGCAAAAAGCCAGTCCTTTCTGCTTACTTTTGTTGAGAAGCAAGGGCAAAAGCATCTTGCTTTTCTCTGGAGATACCAAATCTTTCTGCCACATTCTCGGAAGTTATTCTGAAAAACAATATTAAAAGCACGCGGATCAGTTCATTGGTCCTAAAGCATCTTTATCTCTTTATGAAGAAGGAAAAAAAAGAAAGGACAAATGGGAATAATGTGCTTCCCGAATATTCTAACTCACAAGTCACCATAAACTAATTCAATGACTGCAACCGCCACATCCATCTCAAAAGTAACTTTTCAGCAGCTAAGAAAGACGGTGAAAGTGGAAGTACTACTAAGCTCATCTTCTAATTATCAAAGCATCTTATCCTGTTTTGTTTTGTTTTTCAAATATGCAAAATCGGGTGAATTTGTTCCACTTCACAATGACTGCAACTTTTGCTTTTATAATGCAGGATGTTTTATAACAATGCTGGGCGTGACAGGATGATATTCCAAAATTAATGAACCGGGAGGTATTGCATCCACCCACTCATTACTCACTTTCCCAGAATCTTTAACAAGGAACAACTGGTATTGTGCGTTTAATCTAGCAGTGGCTAGATTTAGGGCTGTTGCTGAATCAACGACGTTCGTTTGTGTTTGTGTAGCACAAAACCAAACAGTCGACATCGTGTCCCAGGACAACATGGGAGCCCAGACTGTACCAAGCTTTTACTGTCAGGAACAGAGAAATTAAAGCCGCAGCCTCTTACCCCATTGGGATCAGGCAGTCCCTTGCTTTGCTGAAGTCCATGATGCGAGAGCTGATGTCCCCGGGATTGGAAGCGCTGCGGAGAGACATGCTCTCCACTCTGGGGGGAGGGCAAAAAAGGGGGCTGTGAGTATCTCTCATTTAAAGGTAGTCCTTGACTTAAAACCACCCATTTAACGACAGTTTGAAGTCCCAACAGTGACTTATGACCGTTTTTAACACTTACAACCGTTGTAGCATTCCCATGGCCACGTGATCAAAATTTGGATGCTTGGCAACTGGTCCCTATTTATGACGGTTGCACAGTCCTGGGGTGGGGGTGTGGAGGGGTGACGTGATTCCCCTTTTGTGACCTTCTAACAAGCAGTCAACGAGGAAGCAGATTTGACAGCTGTTTTCCTAACTTAACAGCTGCAGGGATTCACTTAAAAGCAAGAAAGGTTGTAAAATTGGGGCAAAACTCACTTAACAACTGCCTCACTTAACAATAGAAATTTTGGGCTCTATTGTTCGGGTGTTCAATTTCACCCTATTGTTTCAATTTCCAAACATTAGGGGGCTGCTCAAAAGTGGTGACATGCCTTGGGGATTTTTTAGATATTTTGGTTACTTTAATATAATTTAGATGTGCTTGGTAAGTATAAATATTGTAATTTTTTAAACATTTTTTTTTTTGGGTTTCATTTGTCGTTGAGGGCTATTTGTGTACAAGCCATGCATGGATTCCTCAAAAACCAAATGGGTAAGTAAGCATTTTTATAGAACTAAATACATGGACGTTATTGTACAACAAAAATGTAAATCAATGTGAACCATGGATGGCTGGAAAATATTTAATTAAGACCCCAAAACTTCTGTACCCTAGAAGAAAGTTCATTTGGACTTGTTTCTTGGGAAACTCATAAAAAAGTTCACTGTCAGCACCATTTCAAGGAATTTGCAGGTTCCATATTTGGCTCACCACCACCAGATCCAGATTCAGGAGGATTCTGTGCTTCAGGAGGCAATCCCTACTTTCACTTCAAAATGACCCAATGAATTGTATTTCTTCAAGACTGACCTATCCTAGCCCTTGAAGGAAGAGCCAACTGTTCAAGATCTTCCAAAGGCTATGACAATAGGGGCCAGGCCAGCTGAATCTCAGGGGAAGGGTACTCCAAAGGGCAGGGGTTGCAGTGGGGAAGGATCTCCCCACTAGATCTCAGATGTTTTCAAGCAGTTGTACAAATTTGAAGTCAGTAGTGATACAGCAGTGATGCTTTGGAATTTTAAAAGTAGAGCCTGCTGTATGACACAGGATATAGATCTATTTGTGAATGTACTTGAAATGGCCTCTCTTATTAAAATTTAATATATTTATTATTAAAGAAGCAATTGCAAATCCCAAAGGTGCTTTTTCAAGAAACAAAACAACTTCAGAAATGCATGGCACAACATATGAGAATGAGCCAATCAGGACAAGATTCAGAAGTCCACCTGCATTCGAAAGACAAAGTCCACTCTTTTGAAGATAACAAAGTCCACATTTTGAATAGAGAGGACTGCTGGTTTTAAAGAGGGGTCAAAGAGGGCATCTGTGTCAAAAGTGAGCAGCCCTCTCTCAGCAGAGGGGGGGGATATGACATCACCTCTCTCCAATCGACAACACAAGTCCTTTCAGCAGCTCCAATAAGGCTCCACACTCAGGTGATCCTGAGGACACGGGTAAACCTCCAAGTGGCCTCAACAATTATCTAAAAGGATGCAAATGTCCAGCTATCTGCGAGGAGTATAAATCCTTCCATTCCCCACCATCCAGTCAGAGCTGAAGAAGCTTCTTGGATGAAGAAGTGAAACATCTTTAAAAAACAAAAACCAAAGAAAGTCCAGTGGCCTCTTGAAAAAACACCTTTGAGACAACCATGACCTGGATGATTGAGAATCTCCATTATGCAAGGACATTATGCAATTGCAAATATTCCTGTTGCTCAGCTTTCACAGAGCCACCAATCTCAGACATTATAGAGATGAATGGAAACCCTGTGACTTAACGGCTGTTTGCCAAAATGTTCTTCTCAAAATGTTCCTTACTAGGTGCCTCCTAGTGAGGCACCAGCTAAAGCCACAAGTTCACGAGAACTGGTTGAGATATCTCTGGAGACATCCAAGAGAACAAAACAACTGGGGATTTGTCATCTTCAAAGTCTATCCTGAGTAATGTTAAATTTTAAATGTTTATGCATCTAAAGAAGCAGGGTGCTACCAACTGAGCTCCACCGGTGAAACTGATCATTTTTTGAGGTTGGACCTTTCTGATGTGTGTGAAACAAACCATCCAGAAATCAGAACATTTCAGCCACAAGTTTATACACCTCTAGATTCTGGCCTATGATGAACACTTTGTAGCAGCAGTTATGAAGAGCTAGCAGAAGTTTGTGGAGAGGAGAATATTAAGTTTTTGAGCTTTTTTGAGGTCAATGTTTCTCCACATCAGTTATCGTACAACTGCAGGAATGTGGCAAGGCAAACTTAGCGTTGCACAACGTTCAGCCTTCACAAGAGTATTCAACTTTGTTCTTGGATTATTCCAGGAGTTAATTTAGCAACCAAGCTTTGCGGTGCCCACAGGCACAATTGCACAATTTAAACCAGGCTACGGAGGTGTAAGGCAACATGTGCAGGCATATATTTCACTACAGCATGGATGGGTTCCGTTACAGCATGGGAATATTGAAGGAGGCCTATAGCTCATTTTCACAAGGCCCGTGAAGCAACTTTTTCGTTTGGAGGGATCAAGAGGCAACACCAAACAACACAGCCATTTGACTAACCCAACCTAGTTTCTAAGTGGATTACTTAAATCGCTTGCTTTTGCATTTATGCAACGTGCCGCACTTCAAGAGATCATTGCGAAGAGAATGAACAGCATTGATGATGTTTTTGCAAGCACAGGTACCTCTGTCATACTGAGACACCTGTTCCTTTCAATTCAGTTTTACAGAGGTGGAATTGGGGATGGAATGCTAACTTGCCAAGGCGCTGGCTGAAGATTTTGAACCAAAGCACATACCAAACTTCGCACTGTAATCTTATGTCCAGCACCAGCTGCTGTGGAAAGGGCTAGTCTGCAACAGAGGATAAAATCTTTTTTTTTTGTCTGAGAAGTTCTTTACCCAACTTCAATGAGAAAACCGGCCACTCTCATAGCTGCACAGGGAATATCACAGCTGAGGAAAGTCTATGGAGGTTCCCAGTTCACTGAAGAACTGAGAACTAAAGAAGCTTCTTGGATGAGAAGCGAAACGTCTTCAAGGAAAGACAAAGAAAGTCCAGTTGCCTCTTGAAAAAGCACTTTTGGCACAGCTGAGGAGTTTAAGCTGGCCTGTGTTTTGATATTTGCATGTGAAAATACAGAAAGGGGCTTTTGACAGTGACCTGATGCCACAGACATTTCAGCCTTTGGTAACTTCTGACAATATCTGCTCTTGACTTTCAGAAATCTATTGCGCTTGTTGCTTATCCCATTTTATACAGATAGTCAGTCCTTGCTTAATCATTTGGTTATGATGGACCTGCTCAAATGCTATTTATGACCCAGTTCCAGAGTTTCAAAGGGTGCGCACACACACACAAAGTGTGTCACATGACTGCATTTCAGGCAGGCCTGGGAACTGGCTCACCTTTATGGCGAGTTATAGTGCTCTCAAGTCATGTGACTGAGATTTTTTTTGGGGGGGGGGGCAATTTCTGATCTTTCGGATCCATTTCTGGCAAAAAAACAAACGGAAAAAAAAAACACCCAACCTCCACCCATAGGAATACATTCATTTGCTTAATGACAACGGCAAAAAAGTCATTAAAAAAAGTCCGGAGGTGTGGATGACTCGACACAACAGAAATTCTGAGCTCCCGCCATTACGGTTATATATTGAGGACTACCTGTATATCCAGGGATGTAGGTTAGACAGGGAAATCAAAATCCCAGAAAAAAAGCAGCAGAAATCTACTCCATGTTGCCACCAAGGCAACTGTGTGGATGTAGCAGTAGTGGGGATCTGTGTTACGAAGTAACAGGTGCACAGAATTGGTAAAGAAGTTATCTTTTTTAACCCAAAGTATCAATTAACAGCTGTGTGCCAGAAAAAGCAGGGGACCTTAATTCTAATAATGGTATTGATGAATGCATAGGGTTTGCATTTTACAATGCCTTCATTTGCTTTAGTTAAGCACACAGCACAAAATGGATACCTATCATAAACAAGATCTAAACTATCACTCACAGCAAATCATCTTCACTATTTATCTCAACATAGTCACCCTAACTTTACTAATAATCCCAACATAATCATCTTTATTTATCACAGCACATATATTTATATTTTTAAGATACATTCATCTAAACAAAAAGAAAAGATAATGAAATTATATTGAGTTAGGATTTAAAGATTTAAGTAACGAGTTTTTGGATAATGGTATTATAAAATAGATAGAATTTAGGAAAACAATTGTGTAAAACATTAAGTTGTGGTATTTGGAAATTAAGATCTGAGGTGAAATAATAGAAAGGTAATTGTTTTGTGTGAGTTATTCTGAGTTGGTCTTTTTTTCTCTGTTTTATTTATTATTTTTTATAAGATGATAATTAGTGGAGATGAGTTGTTGTTAAAGACGAATTAGTGATTGTACCAATTTATGACCGGATCAATGATTCGTTCTAAAAAAAGATGTATTTTATGTTTATGTTTTAAAAAATATAAAAAAATTAAAAACAAAATGGATACCTACAAGGTGATTCAAATATTAACTTCAACACCTCAGTTGCTTTTTTAAAAAAATCTGCAAGGCTGTTACACAAACAAACCCACCACTGGAGGGCTTGAGGCTGGTATCGTGCTTGCTCTCTCACACTCCTGCAAAACGCTAGTCCCCCAGAAATCTTCAAAATATAGATTTTCATAATCTGCTTAAAAATGTCACACAGTGGGGTAATCAACAGACAAAAGGGCTGCTATTGGTAAGCAGTGAACAATTATGAGGGGAGAAAAAAAAAACAAGCTTACCCACAGGCCAAACCAATATCATAGGAGCCATTTCTAATGCCACCTGTAAGTAAAGCAAATCTGTCAGTGAACTTCACACGTATCCTTCTTGAAGGGCTGCTGGGGGAAGTTGGGTGGGAGGGGGAATCAGCACATTCACTCACTAAGATGGTGTTTTTTTCAGAAAGGAATAAAAAAAAAGTATATTACCTTTTTTTTTCTTAACTAGAAAAAAAAATATTCCTAGAACTCTATAGAATGTACTGGTACCAGGATTGTAACTTCCTCTAATACAGTGTTTCTCAACCTTGGTAGCTTGAAGATGGGTGGACTTCAACTCCCAGAATCCCCCAGCCAGCGCTGCTGGCTGGGGGACTCTGGGAGTTGAAGTCCACCCATCTTCAAGCTTCCAAGGTTGAGAAACACTGCTCTAATAGAAAGTATTACCAGGCAATCTACAATGTTAACCAGGCAATCTACAATGTTTAACTTCTAGCAGTTAAAATCTCCTAGTATTTCAGGTCTTTGAAAATGCCTGTGGTTCAATGATTGACATTCTACATTTACTCCATGCATGGAATTTGACCATCACAAGAGAGAGACCCAACCTTCTTACCTGCAATATTAATCAGGGCTTGCAATCCAGATGAACACTGCCTGTTAACGCATGATAATGGGACAGTCTCCGGGATACCACTGAAATAGAAAAGACAAAATACTTCATCGGTATAAAAGGGGGAATTGGAAAAAACCCTTAGACCTCAGTGGACTGATTTTAAGGTTTTGTTATGCCTCAATGGCCTTGGTTTGTGCAACTAGGACCTGATCGTACAGCACTCTGCAATCCTCAAGCAAGCTTAGGTAGGGCAGTACTCCATAACTCACTGAAAAACCGCCAGAGAAACCTGTGAGATGCAAAGGATCAAACAGCAAACATATTGCTATGTCACTCTTTCCAAAACTATGCGGTAAATATCAAGACGGAGAATCCTAAATACAGCCGGAGTGACTTGGGACTGGATCTGAAAGTGGATTCCCTCATGGCAATTCGGCCTGCACAGCAATCCTTTGGATCCCCACAGAAGGCACAAAGTCCAAGTGTTTTTCTCAAACAAGTGATAAGCACAGGAAGCTCTAGGGTCATAACAAAATGTAGAAGGCAACCTCCAAGGTCTCAAAAACTGTCCAGAGTTGTTTGGAGCTGGTCCAGCACATACATTTAATAAATTGTCACTATTAAAAATGTTATTTTTTTATCCGACAGTGGTGGCCAGCAGCAAACCACAATGATACTGTATAAACAGTGTGGAGAGAAAAGAGGAATATAAATAAAAGCAACGAATAAAAAAACCAAATAGAAAGCCCAGTTTGGTGCAGAGGTTAAGGTGCTGGCTGAAAAACCAGACTTGAATTTGAGACCCGCCTTAGGCATGGAAGTCAGCTGGTTGATTTTGGGCCAATCAAGTCTCACTCAGGCCAACATACCTCATAGGGCTGTTGTTGAGGGGAAACAGGAGGAGGAAGGAGTATTAGGCCTGTCTGCCATCTTGGAATTCTTATAAAGGCAGGATAAAAATGAATAACTGCTCTTCCTTCTGCAGAATCTCACCTCCACCTGCTACATTAGGGGTATCCAACCTTGTCCACTTTAAGACTCATGGACTTCAACTCCCCGAATTCCCAGCGTGGGAAATTCTGGGAGTTGAAGTGCACGAGTCTTAAAGAGGCCAAGGTTGGATACCCCTGAGCTATACAATGAAAACAGCAAATGAGAAACAGGAGTACAAGTGCCTAATATCAAATTGGACATGACTTTTCTTTGCACCCAGCCAGTATTAACCAAACCAGATCCCTGTTTCACCTCCGCCATGGTGTTTTGTGCCCATGATCTCACTTCTAGATGGTTCAGTCGCAAAGTTCACCTTATAAACTGCCCAACTCTTGCTATCATGGCTCCAGCACCAGGTTGAAGTACATTCCCTAAGTAGAAAGAGATGAATTTGCTTCAGTTATCAGGGTTTGGTTGCCCTTCCAGATATGCTGCAGCAGCCATTGCTTAAAAAGGGGAGGAAAGGGGTGTGTGTGTGTGACCACAGCCCGTTCCCCTCCCTGGTAGTTTGGCCACCCATCCATAGGAGAAGAAAGGAAACCAGGGGCTGCCACTCAAAAAGGCTCACCCACGCAGATATCGCCCAGTTGCTCAGGGTTTAGCTTTACATCATTCAGGACAGCAGTCATGACCACAGCCAGGAGTTCGTCTGGTGTAGTTTCCTGGAAAGGAGGGGGAGAGAAGAGAGAAAGAGAGAGGAAGGAAGGAAGGAAAAGGAAAAAAAAAAAGAGGAAGGAAGGAAAGAAAAGGAAAAGAAAAAAGAGGAAGGAAGGAAGGAAGGAAAAGAAAAAAGAGGAAAGAAGGAAGGAAGGAAAAGGAAAAGGAAAAGAAGAGGAAGGAAGGAAAAGGAAAAGGAAAAGAAAAAAGAGGAAAGAAGGAAGGAAGGAAAAGAAAAAGAAAAAAGAGGAAGGAAGGAAGGAAAAGGAAAAGAAAAAAGAGGAAGGAAGGAAGGAAGGAAAAGAAAAAAGAGGAAAGAAGGAAGGAAGGAAAAGGAAAAGGAAAAGAAAAAAGAGGAAGGAAGGAAGGAAGGAAAAGAAAAAAGAGGAAGGAAGGAAGGAAGGAAAAGGAAAAGGAAAAAGAGGAAGGAAGAAAGGAAAGAAGGAAGGAAGGCAAAGAAAAAAGAGGAAGGAAGGCAGGAATGAAAGGAAAAGAGAGAGAAAGAAAATTACTTTTACTTACTTTACTTACCTTACTTACCTACTTACTTACTTACCTGGATAATTTTGCACCCTCTTTCTGCTTCAGGTGCTGGTGTGGGGATGATGGGAACTGCAGTCCATAAGGCACTCCAGGACAGCTTCCTCTTTTACCCCCCCCTCCGCCCCTCCCCAAAACACCCAAACTCTTTTCGGTGGGACCAGGGCCCATAATCCCCTGGACTACAACTCCCATATCAAGAGAAGGACCTTCCCACCCCCCACTATCTATCCGCGCCCCTTCCAGAGGTGCTGGGCTGCCGCTCCCAGGGCGGGGCCGAGAGGCCGGGGACGATGGGTTTTGTAGTCTAAAGGCCTCTAAAGGAGCCCAGTTTGGGGGTTTTTACCTTGAAGCCGCCCCGTTTGCTTTTGGTGATGGCGGTCCGTCTTCCGTGCACCACCACCACATCGTCCGGGCCGGATAGCGAGGCCCGGCAAGGGGAAGGCGCCCAGAGCCGCTGTTGCCGGGAGCCGCTCAGATGCCCGAGAACCACTTTCATCCGCTCCATTTTCGCCTCCTCAGCAAAACCTCCGCCACCACCGAAGCACGCATGCGCAGGCGCACGGCATGCCGGGATGTCTCGTGCAGTGGCCCCGCCTCCCCCCCGCCCAGCCATCTTTTCATAGGCTGAAAGGCGGGCTCCGTAGACTTTGAAAAAAAGGAAGAGTAGCCTTCCCCCTCCTCCCAACTCCGCTTCGTTCTCAACGCCGCCTTTATCCTATCCAAAACAGTCGAAGGCTCTCATGGTTAGGAATCCTTCTTTCGAACTACACCCCCTGGAGTTCTCCAAGGCTTATTGTCAAAGGCCCAACGGGAACGGAGCTCCTCTTTCGCCCGAAGGAAAGCCAAGCTACAGAAACATCCCTCTTCACTTTCCTATCTCTACATTTTTTTTTAAAAAAAAATATTTAAATTTTGCACAATTTAATGTTTGTAAATAATGCACGAATTATCGTCACAGGAAAAACACCACAAATAGCTGTTGTTGAGGGAAATAATTTTTTTATGTTTTTAATGTAATAAAAGCTTAATAAAGTGTATTGGGGGAAAAAAAGAAATACCCCTCTTCGCTTTCCTATCTCTACAGACCTACGGCCGCCGACGTGGAGGAGTGGCCGCTTGCCATAGAGGGCGGGGCCTCGCTAGGCATCCTGGGACGTGTAGTTCTTTGTAGTTCTTCGTCTCTCTCTCTCTCCCAGGCATGTCCCTTACAGGGGATTCCAACAGTGAATGCTTCAAGCAGAGGAATTCCTGGGATGAGCTTTTGCCAAACTTGGAACTGCGGAGAAGTGTATTAACCTGCCAATCTGGGCGGTTTGGGTGCCATAGTTTGCAAAACTGCTCTAATCAACCCATTAAATACCATTACAGTGGTCCTCGACTTACAGCCATTCGTTTAGTGACCATTTGAAGTTACAATTGAAAAAAAAGGTGATTTATGATGCTTTTCCCACACTTAACATCATAATAACATCATAACTATGTAGTACGATGGACTGCAGGGCGGGTGCAATGTGTAACATGTTCACACTGGTGCTATAGGATTGGGTGTTTTGTTAATATGATTTATTGGGTTAGGGACAGAGGTGGGTTTCAGCAGGTTCTGACCAATTCTGGAGAGCCGGTAGCAGAAATTTTGAGTAGTTCAGAAGAACCGGTAGTAAAAATTCTGACTGCCCCCCCTCCCCCATCTATTCTCTGCCTCCCAAGTCCCAGCTGATTGGGAGGAAATTGGGATTTTGCAGTAATCTTCCCCTGCCACGCCCACCAAGCCACACCCACCAAGCCACACCCACAGAACCGGTAGTAAAAATTTTTGAAACTCACCATTGGTTAGGGATTTTCTGTTTTCACTGTGAGTTGTATTGTGTTGGGGGCGGGGGTGCACTGACAATAAAGATTTGAATTGAAGAACCGTTAGAGCACACAATCAAAATTCAGACACTTGGCAACTTGGCATTTATGACGGTTGCAGTGTCCCAGGTCATGTGATCACCTTTTGCGGCCAGTCGTAAGCCGAGGACTATCCGTAAACTAGTATTTTGCAACCTCAGCAGCTTTAAGTTGTTGAGACAATTCCCAGAACTGCTGACTAAGGAGTTCTGGGAGTTGAAGTCCACATAATTTAAAGCAGCTACAGGACACACATTTCTATCCCTTCTGCTGTAAATGCTCGACTGTTTCCTTATCAGGTTTATGGAATTGCACAGGCAGAGGTAATATTTAGGGGGGAAAAAATAAAACAGAAACATACCAACAGACAGTTTTAAGGATTCATTTCCCGTTTTTACATTTAGCCAGCAGCTGCCAAATATTTGAATACTATGCCAAACTCTATTCCTCTTCCGAAATGATCCAATTTATATAATACATCAACTAAACCCAGATCAGAATAAAACTTATTTTCTCTTTACCCTCCCCCCTTTAAAGATAAACTTTTTAGTTCTGGAATAACACAGCTTTGAGAAGCATTTTATTTTATCCAACTCCAACGGGGGTGGGGAATGGATGATGAAGCATTTATAGCACTTAATAAAAATATATTTAACTATGTCTCCCACATGCCATAAACAGCAATACAGGTAGTCCTCGACTTGTGACCATAGAATATCTGTTGTTAAGCAAGCAGTTAAGTGAGCTGTGCCCAATTTTACTAGTTAATTAATTTATTTATTTATTTGTTTGTTTGTTTGTTTCAATTTCTATACCGCCCTTCTCCAAATAGGACTCAGGGCGGTGAACAGCCAAAGTAAAAAACAGGACATACAAAATTTAAAAACAATTTAAAATAATTAGATATTTTGGCCGTAAATTAAAACAACCCAATTTAAAATCAATTTAAAATTTAACTCAAGCCAGCCCAGCTAGTTGAAATAAATAGGTTTTCAATTGCAGCTGTTAAATGAATCATGCAGTCATTAAATGAATCAGGCTTCCCGCATTGACCCAGCATGATGGATGCTGGCTGGGAAGATTGCAAATAGCGATTATAATGATCTCGGGATGCTACAATCCTTGTAAATATCTGTCAGTTACCGAACAACTGAATATGTGACTGTGGGAATCTTGGTTCATGTGGCTCTGGAGATATTAGTTGTAAGCGTGAGTACCAGTTGTATATCATGTCTTTTAATGCTGCTGTAATTTAAAATAGTTGCTAAATGAATTGTAAATTGAGGTCTACCTGTAAATTGCTTTTTTGAGGTCTACCTGTAAATTGCTTTTTTTTTTTAGATTGACTGATCAGGGCTGCATCCTAAATCCACTGTTGTTCACCCTGTTGACTCATGGCTGTTGTGCAAGGTTTGTCACCAACCATATTGTGAAGTATGCCAACGACAGAACAGTAGTGGGCCTTACTCAAGATGACAATGAGGGAGCTTACCGCAAGGAGATAGAGGGTGAACTGGTGTAATAAGAACATCCTTGTTTTAAACTAGAGAGATCATGGTCGATTTCAGAAGAGGCTGGCACAGCCACGTTCCTCTGTCTATAAACGATTCCCCTGTGGAGATGGTTAGCAGCATCAAACTTCTGGGTGTGCAGCTAACGAGTAGGCTGGCTTAGTTGCTCAACAGCGAGACACCGGTGAAGCGGGCATAGCAGTGCCTGCATTTTTTGCGTCGCATGATAAAAGTACATCTGGAGGAAGTACCCTGTCCTCACCACTTTCTATAGAGGGATGATTGAGAGCATCCTGTCATATTGCATCATGTCTGGTTTGGAAGCATCACTGCTTCAAACAGGAAGGTGTTGCAGAGTGGTGAGGATGGCAGAAAAGATCATTGGTAATTCACTTCTTCCTATCCAGGACGAGGCCTATGAGCGATGCTTGAGCAGGGTCCCCAGGATTATCTGGGACCCTACATGTCCTCCTCACCACTGCTTTCCTTGCTACCTTCCGGGAGGAGAGGGTCCGTGCAGTGGTGAAATCCAAATTTTTTTACTATCGGTTCTGTGGGCGTGGCTTGGTGGGCGTGGTGTGGCTTGGTGGGCGTGGCATGGGAAGGATACTGCAGAATCTCCATTCCCATCCCACTCTAGGGAAAGGATACTGCAAAATCCCCATTCCCTCTCCACTCTTGGGGAGAAGGATATTACAAAATCTCCATTCCTACTCCACTCTGGGGCCAGCCAGAGATGGCATTTTCTAGTTCTCCGAACCAGTCAAAATTTCCGCTACCGGTTCTTCAGAACTTGTCAGAACCTGCTGAATTTCACTCCTGGCTTTGTGGTATCCGAAGCAGAACATCCAGATTCGGCCACAGTTTTGTTCCATGCAGCATCAACCTTGTGAACTTGCAAGCTTCCTCTTCCCGCTATGTATTCGAGATGGACAGGGGTTAACATTAATATGTATTTATATGTAAGGGTGTAGGTATATACATACGTATGTAAGTCTTTGGTTATTCGGGTTTTCTCCCGCGTAAAATTGGAAGTGTCTTGGCGACGTTTCGACGAAGTCTCATTCGTCATCTTCAGGCTGGTGTTTTCAGCTCGAAGCCGAAAACACCAGCCTGAAGATGACGAATGAGAACTTCGTCGAAACGTCGCCAAGATACTTCCAATTTTACGCGGGAGAAAACCCGAATAACCAAAGACCTACATACAAATACCCACAAAAAACCTCAGAAAACAAATATATACGTATGTATATAGCATGTCTACCTGTGTGTTATATACACTTTTGAGCAACAGAATTTCATTTTTAATGTGTGCCAGCGTGACCATAGGGGGGGAAAAATGACTATAAAGGTCATACCTTATTCCTCTAAACTTGTAATAAGGCATGGACATTACCCCAAGAATTAACAGTGGCATTTGACAAGGGAATTGTAAAGACAGCGTTAGTCTAAAACTAGACTTTGGCATACCACCTATGCATCGTTCAACATTATAAACTAAAATCCAATTGTTAGTTGGCATGAACAGTCTATTTCAGGGGTCCTCAACCTGTGGTCCATGGACCGGCACTGGTCAGAAACTGAGCCACACAAACAAGCTAAGCCCCATCCGCGGGATGCAGGAAGCAAACGAAACCACGCCCCTCTGTCCGCGGAAAAACCTTTCTCCACAGAACTCGTCCCTGGTGCCCAAAAGATTGGGGATCCTTGGTCTGTTTAACATAATGCCTTCATGTAGTATTGTGTGAACAGGACATTGGTGTGTTGCATTCTGAAAACAAGTGAAACTCCTACATTTGAAGCCTCCTTCTACCTTCAAGCCGAGAAGCAAACACAACACACACAAATAAAGGAGAATATTTGTAGCTCAGGGTTGAAATGAGCTTGGTTATTTTCTTGCAGAGCGTTTAGTAATGAACTTATGATGTTACCTGCTTTGGGCAGTGGTAGGCTGCAACCGGTTTAATCATTTGTTTTGTGAGCGTGCACAGCGTTCAACATACAGCAATTTGAAGCTCAGCTGCTTACCTTCTAAGGCAGCCCCAGCAGTGATGGGTTTCAAATTTTTTACCATCAATTCTGTGGGCGTGGCTTGGTGGGCGTGGCAGGGGAAGGATACTGTAAAATCTCCATTCCCACCCCACTCCAGGGGAAAGATTACTGCAAAATCCCCATTTCCTCCCAATCAGCTGGGACCTGGGAGGCAGAGAATAGATGGGGGCGGGACCAGTCAGGCGGTATTTACCGGTTCTCCGAACTACTCAAAATTTCCGCTACCGGTTCTCCAGAACTGGTCAGAACCTGCTGAAACCTACCTCTGAGCCTGGGTAAGTAGAACAAGTGGAGGTGTGGAAATCAGCTGTGCTGTGCGAATCAGCTGAGCCAGAAAGAAGCAAATATAGGACAGGATAAAGCGGGGCCAGCTGATAGTCAGAACTACCGGTTCGCTAGAACCGGTCCGAATCGGCAGCAGCCTACCACTGGCTTTGGGTAATGAAATGTCTGCAAGAAAACAACCAAGTTGAGAGAGCACCAAGGACCCCTCAGAAAAACACAAAATAAGAAGGATTCTTCTAACAGGGATAGAACTATTTCTGAGTGTATCTACAGAATTTATTTCAATCACTTCTGAGTTCGTTTTAATAGCCAATTGATGGAGTGTCTATTTAAGGCACTCTATGAATTAGTGGTCAGTGAGCAGCAAAGAACTCTTAACTTTTTCCAAACCTCTAGGTCAGTAATGGTGAACCTTTTAGGCACAGAGTGCCCAAACCAGAGCCTTGGTAGTACAGGGGTTTAAGGCACCCTGTTATTAAGCTTATTAAGACCAGCTGCCTGCAATTACTGCAGGGTTCGAATCTCGCCAAGGCTCAAGGTTGACTCAGCCTTCCATCCTTTCTAAGGTAGGTGAAATGAGGACCCAGTTTGTGGGGGCAATAAGCTGACTTTGTATAAATATACAAAAGGATGAAGGCTATTGCTTAGCGCATTGTAAGCCGCCCTGAGTCTTCGGAGAAGGGCGGCATATAAATCAAATTTAAAAAAAAAAAAAAAACAAAAAACAGAAGGTGCATCCACGCCAGAAACCCAACGACCAGCTGGCTGAGCTGGGGCAACAGCGCGTGTGCCCACAGAGAGGCTCTGTGTGCCACCTCTGGCATGTGTGCGATAGGTTCGCCGTCATGGTCTTAGGCTAATCCAGGTTTAGGCCAATTTAAATTAAAAGATAGTAAGTCGATGTAGTTGTAGATCCTGAGATCTGCTTGTGATCCTTAGACAATGTGCGATCTTAACCCTATTTTCCCTGGTAGGAAAAAAATTGAATTCATGTGCGTACAGATATGAATGAACTTGCTTTTTTTTTTTTAAAAAAAAAAGCAGAGTTCCTAGTACCAGTACTTCTTTCTTAATAGGCTATGTATTTTCTTTTGTCTTTTTAAACAAATTGTATAGAATACATAAATTAGTATGGAAACTTCCACTGTATTTGGAATAGGCACACCAAAAGCAACATATTCCAGTTAGCTAAGCCGCGTTTGATTTCCATAGATCTAAAGTCAACATATTCCTTTTCTTTTTCATGTTTTTGGTCTGTTTTATTCTCTTTTGTGCATATAAATCACAGCCAGAGAAATCAGCAAAAATGAAATCAAGGCACCTGAGGAATAATTCACATCTATTTACATATCAACATAGATGGAGAAAGAGCACAAGAGAACACAATAATATATTGATGGCAAAAGCTGTGCATAATTGTCACAAAGACTGCCAAGGTACAAACATCATTTCTGAAGGCATTCAAGAAACAATGGAAACTACAAGGCAGGAACTCCAGTTCAACTTAAGGAGAAGTACAAGAGAAAAACTGAGAAAGGAAATTCTCCAAAATGGGCTGAGATGAACAAGTAACAATTTACACCTTCAAATATTCTTTACACATATTACTGGAATGCAAGTAAACTTTGATCCAAATACAAAGTAGAAAAATGATTATTTAAAAAAAGTTGGGGACATTGAGGACTTCTCCTTATCATCTTTGGATAAACAATGTTCTTAAAACAATAACAGAGTTGTTCTTTCTTAGAGATTGTAATTCATAGCACCAGAATGTCCAGTAATTTGTAAGTTTGGCTCAGAAGAACCAACAGAAGGAATAAGATGGCGGTAGCCAAGACGTAAGATTATTGGCACACCCTGCTGAACACATAGGGAAGGACTTCAGTCACCACCATAAAACAAATTTTCAAACTTGCTTTCTAAAACTCTATTGCATTCCATAGTTCTGCCCATCAAAAGCATCAGTTTACTAAAATTTCTATCTTACAGCATTAATAGATAGAGAATTCAGTCTGGAAGGCAAGGGTTGGAACTAATTAATGACAATTGAGCCCAGAATTGCTGTTGTTAAGTAAGACATTTGTTAAGTGAATTTTGCCCCCCTTTTTACAACCATTCATGCCACCGTTGTTAAGTAAGTCACCGCAGTTGTTAAGCTAGTAATACGGTTGTTAAATGAATCTGGCTTCCCCATTGACTTTGCTTGTCAGAAGGTCGCAAAAAGGGATCATGTGACCCCAGGACATTGCACCCGTCATAAACATGAATTAATTGCCAATTATCTGAATTTTACCATGTGATCATGATTGTGTGAAAAAACTTTGCAAGTCATTTTTTTACATGCCATTGGTAACTCTGAAAAGTCACTAAATGAATGGTTGTAGGTCAAAGGCTACATGTACTACACAATCACCAAAAAAGGCATAAATTCTTCAAGCAATCTCTGCTTGTTTTACTTTTTAATCACTGTAAAAGTAGCCCATAAAATGTATTTTTTAAAATCTGTCTTAAGGATCTTGTGCTGGAAGCACTAGGGAGTGAAAAATTAAACGAAGCAAAACAAATCAAAAACAAAATCACCCTTATTTTCTGAGGATGAAATTTATAATTAGGTTTCTCATCAGCACAGAATGTAAATTAAGTGAAATATGTGCTAGATATACACATTTGTTTAAAGTACCCAAGGACTTCAATCTCAGGCATTTCAGCTCAAAAACTAGATCACTGGCAGAGGAAATATAAATTATACCACCACAGGAATTTTAACTTTCTGAGAAATATTCAAACCAACAATTTGCAGAATGAATGAAGAAAAAATGGCAGAGAATGATTTGGTTCTGGGTGCTTAGTAGCCTTGTACAGGAAGTCCTTGACTTATGACCATTTGTTTAACCAAAGTTATAATACCTTCGGGGGAAAAAAAATTATGACCTGCCTTTCCATTTACTACTTTGCAATTTCGTGATCACTATTCAGATGTTTGGCAAGATGGCTGAAGTCCTGCAATCATTAAGATTTGAGATCTATCCAGCTGGTTTCTGACAAAAATAAATAAAATCAATCTGGGAAGATAGATTTCTTTAATGACCATGGTAAAAATGACCCAGTCATGTAATGACTTGTTTTATGACCGCACCAACATACAATGGAAATTCCAGTCTCAAATATGGTTGTAAGTTGAAGATTACATATATATTGTTTCCTTTTAGCACTGACCCAAACCTACGTTCCTTGATGAATCTGATTCTCTTTTTGCCTTGAAAGCCTAATTGTCCACATGGAAAATTATCTCTTCCAAGGCTGAAAACATTTTAATCTTGTTTATTCCGTCCTTTCCACTGTTCTACAGTATTTATATGCTTGATTTGAATGGGATTTGGGGGGTATTTGGTAAACCTCTTTCACTAAATTAAACTGAGTCAGTTGTCATTATTAGATTGAACAGTTCTCATCAAGCTGAGATAAATTGACATTTTTTCCCCACATGATGCATTCGACTAACCTAGCAGAGAAAATTATTCTGCCCTGGAAAATGTTTTCTTTTGTTGTTGTTGTTTTTAATAAGTGTCTACTTTATTTAAAAATAAATAAATAAATAAGTTGATCACAAATTAATTTGCGGGAAAGAGCAACGTTTCATTCGATAACAGAATCCGTCTCTTCGCCCAGCCCATTGACAAAGTTAATGCCGATATCTTATAATTAAAATAATTGCTCAATGCTATTTGGTGGAAGAATTTTGTGTGATACCCACAGACCTCAAGCCTGAGGATATTTAATTTATCCTTTTGCAACAATGGTGGGTGAAACAAGGAACAGCTCTGCCATCTTTTAATAACTTTGTGATTTTAGAAGAAAACTAAATATAAGCCATGAAATTTAGCAATGGCAGACAACTGCCCTCTGCGGTTTTAACAAAATATTTAACATGTGATTGGGATATAACTTTTTTCCTTCCTTTTTTTTAGGGTCAAAGGTTTGGAGAAGCCCTCTATGCTCTTAAATTTCTCTAGTGTTTTTTTTTTTTTTTAATTCAAGGCGATTATTTTGTAAGCGCATGAATGAATCACAGCTTTTCCTTTTTCAAAGGTTTCTGGAAATGGGGTTCTTCTAAGGTCCCCTTTCAAAGCTACCTATTGGCAGACAACAACTAAGCTGGTCCTGAAAAGCAGTTTTACTCAAGTGTTCTAGTCAAGAATCTTATCAAATTCCTTCATCTTGTTCCTTAGTGGCGGATCCAACCCATTCAATTCTCATCGGAAAGCTACCTAAGCAGAGCATCTGCCAATATTCACAAGGCACACACAGCTCTATTAATGGCACCAACGGTTTGCCAAAACCTCATTTTCACTGATCATCCAGAACAAGGGGTCTTCAACCTTGGCAACTTTAAGACTTGTGGACTTCAACTCCCAGAGTTCTGGGAGTTGAAGTCCACAAGTCTTAAAGTTGCCAAGGTTGGAGACCCCTGATCCAGAAGGATCAAGACGGATGGAGGTTCAGCTTAAAGGCACGACAAGATCCAGACAAGGGAGGCCTGATAAGAAAAGTACACAGACCAGGGAGAAGCAACTCAAGTGAAGTTGAATGGAGCCTCACACAGGTCTCCGTTGTCATTCACACCTTTTCTTTAGGCATGAAGTCTTTGGTTTCTTCCTTCTCTTCCAACAGGAACTCCTGCTAGAGGCTGAAGGTCACAAACGCATGCCTCAAAAGATCTTCGGCGGTGGGCCTACGCTTTTCTTCGACGAAGATCAGCTTGAGAAAGTTGCGGCAGTACTCCGAAACCCCGTCGGGAAGCTGAGGCTTGGTTGGCTGAGTTGCAATCTTGAAGATGGCCGCCATGGCTTCATATTCTGCCCACGGTGGTTTTTCAGTCAGCATTTCTACCACAGTACAGCCCAAGCTCCTGAGAAAGATCACGGAGGGGGGGAAAAAACCCACCTCAAAATGTTTATTTCTGCAACGCTTTTTTGGAAGGCAAAGAGGACTCCGCCCTCCTCCTTGGTTTCCCATCGTATCAAACCTGTTGTCAGGTTTCGGCTATCTGTCAGGTTTCAATGTCATCTCAAATAAATTGCACTCCCAAACAATTAATCTTTGCTGAAATATTCCATTTATTGAGTACGACAGATCTGGCCCCGACTTCGTTGTAGCCGATACTAACCCTCTGACCTGCAAACCCTTCCCTTTCCGTTCCCCAATTCTCATCTTCCCATTGGCCATTTTCCAAGTCAGTCTCCCCAGCTTCTGACCTAAGCCCACAGGAATGTCCCCCTCCCATCCCATCTCCTAGGGGATATTATCTACAGAGAAAATAAGTAGGTGAAAAGTCAAGCCTCGTCTTTTTATGGCAGCATCAGAATGCTGACACCTGTAAATGAAGTTGGATTGGGAAAATGGTTCTTACCACACGTCAGCCTTCCTTCCGTAGCCTTCTCCGCTGATCACCTCTGGGCTCATCCAGTAGGGAGTTCCCGTGACAGATTTTATGCCCGTTCCAGACATGCAGATCGTCTGAATGCGTTTGCTGGCCCCGAAGTCTCCTAGTTTTATGTTCCCGACAGAATCTCTCAAAATGTTGGCACCTAGTTTGGGAAAAAGAAAACAACGAAGGGAAGGGAGACAAAGAAGGAGAAGAAAGATGAAGGAGAAGGTGACGAGGAGAATTAAAAAAGACAAAGAGGAGAAGGAAAAGACAGAAGAGGAGGAGGAGGAGGAGACGGAGAGGAGAATAAGACAGATAAAAAGAAAAAGGGAAAGATAAACGAGGAGGAGGAAAAGACAAGGAGGAGGAGAATAAGATAGACAAAGAGGAAAAGATACGCGAAGAGGAGGTGGAGGCGAGGGCAAATGAGGAGAAGACAATATAACAGAGAGTCAGCAGTAAATTGGCAAGATATTGCTGTAAATCTTGAATTCCATCTCCCTTAGTTAAGTGCCTAGAGCTTAGCATTTGATTGCATACAATGAAGATTGAGATAATCACAAGACAACATATTTGCTTATATTCAGGGCCATACTTTTACCTCTAGGGAGTCACATGAACATGCAATGCAGCCCTTGGAAAGCGAAGTCTTATCAGCCTCCAAAACAAATCTCACATATTTTCTCTAGCAGCTTCAATTTGTGTGTGTGTGTGTATTTGTCCACGATTATGCGGATAACTCCTGCTCCTCGACAATTGCAACCTTCCTCATATTGTAAGAATCTTTGTGTGCGTGCACCAATGTATTAAAAAATTTGTATTGTAATAAAATAGTATGTGTATGAGTCCATATTTTAAAAATGCACGATGTTAAATAATATAGAGTATGTGTGTGCCTATCTCTTTACCTTTATATCAATGTTGTACAATGTTGTACAATGCCCCAATGATGGTCCTACTTTTATTGGCAAGTCATGTTTTAATTAGCATATCCTTTCTGGTATAAAATTCCTGGCTTTTTTGGTTGCTAAAGTTCTTACATTAATCTGGAGCGGCATTCCCCCCTTTTTGTTCCAATTCAATTTGATAAAAGAGAAAAAAGAGAATTTGCTTTAAATACGACTTAAAGGAGGGGGTGATTTCAATGAGATTCTAATAAATAGGAACAGGTCAATGGTGAAATGTAAAATTTGTTACTACTGGTTCTGTGGGCGTGGCTTGGTGGGGGGGTGGGTGTAATATGACCGAGTGGGCATGGTCAACTTTTTTTCTTTTTAAACCATTTTTTCTACAACCTCTTTGGCTGAAGAGGTTGTAAAAAAAATGCTTTTAAAAGCCTCTGATGATCCCAGCTGAGCCGCGCGATCATCAGAGGCTTTTGTTTTTACATTTAAAAGCATTTTTTTCGGCCAAAGAGGTTGCAGAAAAAATGCTTTTAAAATTTTTTTAAAAAGTCTCTGATGATTGAGCGGCTCAGCTGGGCAATGGGGGGGGGGTGCAGGAATTTTTGCTACCGGTTCTCCGAACCACCTGCCTCCATCACTACCAGATCGGGTGATCCGGTCCAAACTGGGAGCATTTCACCCCTGATACAGGTAGTCCTTGACTTACAACAGTTCGCTTAGTGACCATTCAAAGTTACAATGATCAAGAGCCTTGGTGGCGCAGCAGACTAAAGCACTGTTAAGTAACACCAGCTGCCTGCAATTACTGCAAGTTCAAATCTCACCAAGGCTCAAGGTTGACTCAGCCTTCCATCCTTTCGAGGTAGGTAAAATGAGGACCCGGTTTGTGGGGGCAATAAGATGATTTTGTATAAAAAAGAACACTGCTTGGGGGGGGGGGGCGCGAAAGCCCTACTAAGCAGGTATATACAAAAGTATGAAGGCTATTGCTTAACGCATTGTAAGCCACCCTGTGTCTCCGGAAAAGGGCAGCATATAAATCGAACCAATAAAATTTATCACACTTATGACCATTGCAGCATCCTCATGGTCACATGGTTTTATATTTGGATGCTTGACAACTGTCTCACATGTATGACGGTTGCAGTGTCCCAGAGTCAGATGATCACCTTTTTCGACCTTCTGACAAGCAAACTCGATGGGGAAGTCAGATTCACTTAACAACCGTGTGACTAATTTAACAACTGCAGCGATTCACTTAACAAATGTGGCAAGAAACGTCATAAAATGGGGCAAACCTCACTGAACTAATTTCTCACTTAGCTATATAAATCCTGGGCTCAATTATGGTCGTAAGTTGAGGACTACCTGTATTGAGATGGCCTTGCCTTAATTTAGTGACAAGGTGGGCGAAAGACGTACGGTATGTGAGAAGATTCTCTTAAATGCCTCTAGTTCCCCTTAAATGCCAAAGAAAGATGTTAAAAGGGTTTTTTCAACCTCAACAATTTTAAAATCAGTGGACTTCAACTCCCAGAATTCCCCAGCCAATGTGGGGGAAATCCACCATCTTGAAGTCGCTGAGGTTGATATTTTCTGCCTGTTGTTTTTTTCTTGCTTGTTCCTCAGATTGGGAAACTGGACCCCAAAGGACGATTCAGAAGTATATAATGCAGAATCCTCCCGAATCCTTTTCACTTCCAACAATACAATCAGCTCAGGGGATTAACAAGAACCTATCTTAGAAGAATTCTAAACGTCCTGCAAATAAAGTAGGAAAATAAAAGCCATTTTCATGGTGGGATTAAAACCTGTGAGAAACTGCACTGAAGATTTCATCACAACTTCGATTTTCATTCCAGGCTCCGTCAAGTTGGGAGAACTTTTTTTTTTTTTCATTTGGTCCTTGAAGCCTCTGGGCTGACTTAAAATGTCACCTGAGATGGCATGTTGTGCCTACCTTTAATGTCCCTGTGTACAATCATGTTGCTATGGAGGTAGGAAACTCCTTGTAGGATCTGCCTTGTGTATTTACGAGTCACATTCTCTGTCAAGGCGCCATAGGATTTTAGCTGATCTTTGATTGAACCCTAAAAACACACACACACAAGAGATGAATTACTGATTAGTTTTTGGCTTCCTGAAACTCTACACCTTCTGAAAAGTTTCTAAACTCCTGGGGTGCCAGCTGTAGTTTAAAGGCACAAATAATCATATTTGAGTCAGCCGCACCTCCACCAAGTGCTGACAGTACAGAAGGAAATTACAGATAGTTTTTGAGTTATAACCATGATGGGCAGTGTCCACTACAGTTCCCTGTAATGGAGCCTGTTCATCACTGCCATAATTCATGACTGTCATTAATCAAGACACCCTTGTGATGGATCCAATTTTACCTAGAACTAAGGAGAAATTTCCTGACAGTCAGTGGAACAGCTTGCCTCAAGAAATTGTGGGTGCTCCATCAGTGAAGGTTTTTAAGAAGAGATTGGACAACCATTTGTCTGAAATGGTCTAGAGCCGTGATGGCGAACCTATGGCACGCGTGCCACAGGTGGCATATGGAGTCATGTCGCCTGGCACACCAACTCAGCTAGGGCGCGCATGCATGCACCAGCCAGCTAATTTTTGGGCTTTCTGCGCCCATCAGAAGTAGGGAAACAGACTGTTTCCTGCCTCTGGAGGGCCTGGGGGTAAGGTGGGGAAGACTGTTTTCGCCCTCCCCAGATGCATAGAGAGGATCTGGAGCCAGGTGAGACAGAAAAACGGGCCTACCGGGATATCGCATGCCAGGAGCGGGGTGGAGGGGGGGGTCATGTACACATGCACGGGGGGGCGCATAGAATTATGGGTGTGTGGGCACACTCGCGCATGAACCTCCCCCACACACCCCGTTCCTGGCACGTGATGGCAAAAAGATTAGCTATCACTGGTCTAGAGTTTCCTGCCTGAGTAGGGGTTGGACTAGAAGACCTCCAAGGTCCCTTCTCGCTCTGTTATTCTTTTATCACTTCTTTTGTGGTCAATCAACACCGTCGCCAAGTGAACACCATGGTTGTTAAGTGAATCAAGAGTTTGTTATGGGCTGAAATACAAAGTAAATGCCAGTTGTTGGCAAAAAAGTTGTAAAATGCAGTCACCTGACCACAGAACATTGGAAATGACTAGCAACACAGACTTCTGACTACATGAAGTGCAGTCATGTGACTGTGTAGGGAAAAACCATCTGAATTTTGAATGCAGGTCGTAAGGGAGGCACTGAATGGCCATTAAACGAGGGTAAGTCGAGAACTACCTATACAGTATTAGCTATTAGAGCAGACGTTTTGTGTTGGCCACAATGGGAAAGAGAGAAAAAAATATTTCTTATCCATTCTGTTTGCAAGCTGCCAGAAAGTTCACAGAACAGCCAAATGGCACCAACGTGAATATTTTTTAGTGTTTTCCCTCATAAATACAGGTAGTCCTCAACTTACAACCATTCATTTAGTGACGGTTGCAACAGCACTGAAAAAAAGTGACTTTAGACCAATTTCCATACTTACGACGGTTACAGCATCCCCATGGTCAGGCGAGTAAAACTTGGGTATTTGGCAACCGGTTTATATTTATGACAGTGGCAGTGTTCTGGGATCGGTTGTGCGATCAGTTTTTGCGACCTTCTGGCAAGCAAAGTCCATGGGTACGTTTAACAACCGTGTTTCTAACTGAACAACTGCAGCGATTCACTTAACAACTGTGGCAAGGAATGGTAAAATGGGGCAAAACTCACTTTAAGCCTCGCTTAACAACAGAAATTTTGGGCTCAATAGTGGCCATAAGTCGAGGCCCATACCCAACTCCTCTGATTCACTGAATGGTGGGTTTAGGATATGGGGCCGACACGGTCCGCCCAGTTCTTTTGAAATTGCTTCCAAACAAAATGAGGTCTGGCCAAAGCGCTTGTATTTTGGGGTAAGAAACAAAGAAAAGCGAATATTAGCATCTGTGTTATTCGGAAACCTTTGTTCTCAGGCCCTCATGCTTCCTGGTTGGAAAAAGCCCTTTGTTTCCTTTTTCCTTTTTTCATTCTTTTGTGGTGACTCTCCATCCAGCCATTTCCAAACGAGGATTTCAGCTCTTCCTCTTCCCAGGTTTAGACTGAGTTGGTGCAAATTGTACAAGGGAACTCAGTTTAAAGCAGCTAGCTGGAATCGGCACTCAGACAGTCCTACGCAGATATTCCTTAATTCATAACTTACAATTTAGTGACTATTTAGACGGCACTGAAAAAAAATGGCCGTGCCCATTACAACCACGACAGCATCCGCATGGTCATGTGGTCAAAATTTGGGCACTTGGCATGTATTTAAGATAGTTTCACTGTCCTGAGGTCACATCATTGCCTTTTGTGACATCTAAGCCAGCTTCTGACAATCCAAGTTAATGAGAGAAGCAGGATTCATTTAAAAATGTGCGACTCACTTAATAACTGCAGTAACTTGGCGAACAATCAATTCAAACAGGTCACACAATCCGGTGCGACTCACCTCACAACTGTCTTATTTAGCCATGGAAATTCTTCTCCCAACTGTGGTCATAAGTCAAGGACTAACTGTATTGTTCCCCTGGAATAGTGTTTTTCCTCAACCTCAGAAAACTTTAAGATGTTTTAATTTCAACTCCTAGATTTCCCCAGCAACATGCTGGCTGATGAATTCTGGGAGTGAAATCCACTATGGCTCCCTTTATTAGCAATAGCACTTATACCGCTTCACAGTGATCTGCAGCCCTCTCTAAGCGGTTTACAGAGTCAGCTTATTGCCCCCAACAATCTGGGTCCTCATTTTACCCACCTCGGAAGAATGGAAGGCTGAGTCAACCTTGAGCCTGTCAGGATTGATCTCCTGGCTGTGGGCAGAGTTAGCAATACTGCAGTCTAACCACCACACCATCAGTTTAGACAGCAATAGCGCATAGACTTATATACTGCTTTACAGCCCTCTCTAAGCGGTTTACAGAGTCAGCCATTTGCCCCCAACAATCTGGGTCCTCATTTTACCCACCTCAGAAGACTGGAAGGCTGAGTCAACCTTGAGCCTGGTGAGATTTGAACTGCCAAATTGCAGTCAGCAGAAATAGCCTGCAGTACTGCACTCTAACCACTGCGCCACCATGACTCATTGTTAATTTATTAGTTTATTTTATTATTGTTAATTTATTTTTGAAAACTCCTGAAAAGTGAATTATTTCAGAGATGGGATGTTGCCATTTTATTTTCTAACTTTCATTCTTACGGTAATGCGGTGGGTTTTGTTTTTAATGTTGTAGAGGTAGTCCTCGACTTACAACCAAAATTTGACCCCGAAACAACTTTTGTTAAGTGAGACATTTGTTAAGTGAGTTTCGCCTCATTTTATAACCTTTCTTGCTACAATTGTTAAGTGAATCACTGCAGTTGTTAAGTCAGTAACACGGTTGTTAAGTGAATCTGGCTTCCCCATTGACTTTGCTTGTCAGAAGGTCGCAAAAGTTGACCACATGATCCCAGGACATTGCAACCTGTCATAAATATGAGTCAGCTCCGCAAACATCTCAATTTTGATCACATGACCATGGGGATGCTGCAACGGTCATAAGCGTGAAAAACGGTCATAAATCACTTTTTTTCAGTGCTGTTGTAACTTTCAATGGTCCCTAAGTGAACTGTTGTAAGTGGAGGACTACCAATGGATGGCTGTGGGGTTTTAGAATTATACCATGAATATTTTCCATATATTCTTTTTATCCATATGTAAGCTGTGAAGAATCTCTTCGATCACAATGGGATAGAAATATACTTTAAAAAAATCAATAAATAAAATGGCCTAATCAGGATGGCTTACCCCAGGCATATATTCCACGAAGATAGATAGTTTCCTCTCTTCTGGATCGCGGAGACAGCCGTAATATTGGACTATCCTCTCGTGACGGAGGGTTTTAAGCAGCTGGATCTCACATTCTAAGGCATTCACTTCCTGAAATAAATCCAAATTCATTACTGAGCAAAAAGAAGGTTGGTTGGATACAGCCAGATATCGGATACAATGAACGGTGCGAAAAAAAATATTGGAAATAAAATTTAGTTTCTTTTTTGTTTCCTAGTTCCAATCTTGCAAGGAATAAGCAATGAGTTTATTGAGCTGGATTTCGGGGATTTTTCCTGGCCTGCTTAAAAGAAGGCCAGAGCTGTGCAATTATTTTGTCCTAAGGATGCAAAATGATGATCCAGAAATGTGAAATCAACCAGTTTGTAGGAAAAGAACACTTAAATAAAGCCAACACCTTCCTGCTTTCAATGGTGGCCTCCAAGATGCATTAAAGAAGCTCAGAAGAAGCGTGAAGATAAGGATGGAAAGATTTGACAATAGAGGTAATCCTAGACTTACGGCCACAATGGAGCCCTACACTTCTGTTGCTAAGCAAGACGGTTGTTAAGTGAATTTTGCCCCCATTTTACGACCTGTCTTGTCACAGTTAAGTGAATCATTGCAGCTGTTGCCTTAGTCACACGGTTATTAAATGAATCACCATTGACTTCGTTTGTCAAAAGGTCCCAAAAGGGGATTAAATGACCCCGGGACGCTGCAACGGTCATAAATATGAGTCAGTTGCCAAGCAACTAGAATTTTGAGCATGTGGTCCTGGGGATGCTGCAACGGTCATAAGCGTGAAAAACGATCATAAGTAACTTTTTTCAGTGCCATTGTAACTTTGAACGGTCACTAAATGAATTGTCGTAAGTGGAGGACTACCTGCTCCCACAATGGTGGAATCTTGTTAAAGATGATGGGAGATAGTTAAATTGACTTTTTCGATTAGAGAAAAGATAATATCTGTTTATTGTTGATTGGAATCCCTTTATGGACTAAATAGAAAATAATGAACTTATGATTTATAGTTTTGCTGATGGATTATAGAAAGAAGAGAGTTATCTTTTAACTATAAAGAGGCAACTTCATAATTCTGGTTACAATTGCAACAAAGAAAACCAGAAAATACTACTTTATCTCGTTTTTCTTCCTTCTCTATTTTTCCCTCTTTCTTGCATTGTCAGCTTTCTCTTTCGTTTCTTCCCCTTAATTTTGCATTAGTTTTTAACTTCCTTTTTAAAAACACTTACTAAAAATTAAAGCGCATAAAGATACTGACCAACCTTACTGTTCATCCCCAGCATAGATAGACCTCGACTTACAACCACAATGGAGCCCCAAATTTCTGTTGTTAAGCGAGGCGGTTGTTAAGTGAGTACTGCCCCCGTTTTATGACCTTTGGGCCACACTGTGAATCACTGCAGTTAACAAGTGACTCATGCAGTCATTAAGTAAATAAAGGCAAATATACAGTACATGTTCCAGGATAATGTTGCAGGATCCAATCTGGGTGACCGACCCAGATTGGATCCTGCAGTCCTTAAGTGAATCTAACGTCTCCCATTGACTTTGCCTGTCGGAAGCTAAATGGGAAGATTATAAATGGTGATATGATCTGGAAGGCAGCAGACATGGTAAATACATGCCAGTTGCCAAGAGCCCAGATTTTGTTGATATGACCACAGGGTCATATCTGTCATATCTAACTGTATCGAGCGTTTGCTCTTAGCAAGATCGAATGTGTGAAAAGCAGACATAAGTCACTTTTTTCAGTGCCGTTGTAACTTCAAACCTTCACTAACTGAATGGCTGTAAATCAAGGATTATCTGTAGTGAGAGCTACTCTGTTTCTAAAGCCAGCAAATTTGCATAGCCTAAAATTCCTTGATAAATCTCCTTTCACTATTCAGTGAATTCAAACTGGGAACCAATGCAAGCTTCCAAATTCCTTTTTTTCAAAAAATTGCCAGTGAAACGTGGAAGAAGAATCAGCAAGATGACTCGACTGAACATTTCCAACTACTGACTTACTAAATTACTTACTTACTGCCAATGGCCAAACAATTCCCAAAACATTTATTCGCTCCTGAGCTTGGGCATTAAGCAACCAAAATTGCTTTATAAGGTCATTTCTCATAAATGATATGGACTCCCACGGATTTCTGTCGGTTTTTAATTTCCTGAGAAATATTATATAAACATAGCACATGCATTTTTTAAATTCCCTTTTCAGGGTAATACAACCTGGATATTTAAAGGCACCCACATATTTAAAAGGATGGTGTTTCTTGCAACTACAGATAGTCCTTAACTTACAATCATTCATCTAGTAACCTTTCGAACTTAAAATGGCACTGGAAAAACTTTTGACTATTTTTCACTTACAACCCTTGCAGGATTCCCCATGGTGACGTCATCAAAATTTAGGTACTTGGCAACTGGCATGTACTTATGATGGTGTCCTGGGGTCATATGATCACCTTTTGAGACTTTCTGACAAGCAAAGTCAGATTCATTTAACAACTGTGTTACTAACTTTTAACAACTGCAATGATTCGCTTAACAACTGTGGCGAGAAAGGTCGTAAAATGGGGCCAAACTTACTTAACAAATCTCTCACTTAGCAACATAAATTTTGGGCTCAGTTGTGGTCGCAAGTCAAGGACTAACTGTATCGAGCGTTTGCTCTTAGCAAGATCTGGCATCCAAATTTAAAACTTCAAAGTGGACTGTTTCTTCCTTTGCAAACCGACAGCCCAAACAAGATGTTACTACAGCTTTAAGTTAGCATCATGCAGATCTGAAGGCTTTTCCAGGAAACTGACTCCACTTCTAAACAATATTTGGCCAGTAATGTTTCCTGTCTGAATCCCAAAAAACGACAGGAATTGAAACGGAAGAACTGTGTAGCTGTGGAATAGCCTAGAATTGTAACTGGAAATGTGGGGGTTTTCTAAAGCAGCACAACTGCAGGAAGCCCACTTAAGGGTGAGCAGAATGAGACCCCAATTTACTGGCCCGACTGGGGGGTGGGTGAGGGGGACCTGTGCCTCCCTCGAGTCCATAAAATGGCCCATTTGTGATGATTGCGATGCACGATGATACCACTGCGTGGCTTAAGGAAATTGAATCTATTTGGGTAAAAACATCCAAGGGATGGATGGTTAGATGGAGATATAGATAGATAGATAGATAAAGACAGACGGACAGACAGACAGAAATAGATGGATGGATAGATAGATAGATAGATAGATAGATAGATAGATAAGATAGATAATCAGACAGAGATAGAGAGATAGAGATAGAGATAGAAAGAATAAGAATCAGGTAGAATAAGAATCAGGTAGAATAAGAAAAGAAAGAAAGAAAGAAAGAAAGAAAGAAAGAAAGAAAGAAAGAGAAAGAAAGGAAAGATGGATGGATAGATAGATAGATAAGCAGATAGAGAGAGATAGAAACAATAAGAATCAGATAGAAAGAAAGGAAGGAAGGAAAGAAAGAAAGAAAGATAGATAGATAGAGATAGAGATAGAAAGAATAAGAATCAGGTAGAATACGAATCAGGTAGAAATAGAAAGGAAGGAAGGAAGGAAGGAAGAAAGAAAAGATAGATAGATGGATAGATAGAGATAGAGAAATAGAGATAGAAAGAATAAGAATCAGATAGGAAGGAAGGAAGGAAGGAAGGAAGGAAGGAAGGAAGGAAAGATATAGATAGATAGATAAATAAATAGATAAACAGATAGTAGAGATAGAGAGATAGAGATAGAAAGAATAAGAATCAGATAGAAAGAAAGGAAGGAAGGAAGGAAGGAAGGAAGGAAAGATATAGATAGATAGATAAATAAATAGATAAACAGATAGTAGAGATAGAGAGATAGAGATAGAAAGAATAAGAATCAGGTAGAATAAGAATCAGGTAGAAAAAGAAAGAAAGAAAGAAAGGAAGGAAGGAAGAAAAGATGGATAGATAGATAGATAGATAGATAGATAGATAGATATAAAGACAGAGGGGGAGATACACAGATGAATAGGGAGAGAGAAAAACAAAAGTGGTCTTAATTTATCACCGAGCGTTGTATTTCAAGATTTACAATGATTGTATTTTATGATTATGATTTAATCACTTGCTGTTTACATGCACCATAAGACCTTATGCACCCTAGACAAACTCCTTGTGTGTGGCCAATCTCACTTGGTCAATAAAATCATGTTCTATTCCAGTGTTTCTCAACCTTGGAAGCTTGAAGATGGGTGAATTTGCTGGCTGGGGAATCCTGGGAGTTGAAGTCCACCCATCTTCAAGCTACCAAGGTTGAGAAACACTGTTCTATTCTATTCCATTCTATCTGACTGAACACTCACTTTGCTGGTCTCTTTACTGTCGGGGTCAAAGGGCACCTGCTTCACAGAGAGCTCTCGTCCGATGTCAACATCATAGCAGAGGTAGACTTCCCCAAAAGCTCCTCGGCCCAGCAGCTTCCCAAGCCTCCAATTCACCGGGGCCTGCAGTGCTAAAAGAGGGCAGAAGCAAGAAAATTCAGGTGAACAAACTCCCCACAACTCCAGCTCCTCAGACGTTCACATCTCCAACTATGCATGGATCATGTACAATGCTGAGAAAACCCATTCCCCCCCCCCCAGGTGGAATCTACAGGTAGTCCTCGATTTACGACTATAATGGAGCCCAAAATCTCTGTTGTTAAGCGAGGCAGTTGCTAGGTGAGCTTTGTCCCATTTTATGACCTTTCTCGCCACAGTTGTTAAGTGAACCACTGCAGCTGATATATTAGGTAATCTGGCTGTTAAGTGAATCCTCATTGGTTTCCTCATTGGTTTTATTCGTCAGAAGGTCGCAAAAGGGGATCACATGACCTTGGGAGACAACAACGGTCATAAATGCGAACCTGTTTCCAGGCGTCTGAATTTTGATCACATGACCCTGGGAATGCTACAAAAGTCGTAACTGTGAAAAACAGTCATAAGTCACTTTTTCAGCCCCGTTGTAATTTTGATTGGTTATACTAAATGAAGTGTTGTAAGTCAAGGACAACCTGTAGTGATTTCATCTAAATCTGAATGCCACCTAGTACTTCTGGTTTCTACCCTTAGTTGCTAAGACGTCTAAAATACAGGTTGGCATTTGAAGCTAGGAAGCCCCTACCAATCTACAATTAACTTGATTTCTTTTCTTGTGGGTCCCCTGGAGAAGCTTAGAGAGCACCAAGAACTCCCCAGTAGTTCAACCCTGAGCTACAAATATTCTCTTCTATTGGTACCCTGGTTCCATACGTGTCCAAAACCACGGAGGAACATATGAAGAACGGTTGCAGGAACTGGGTATGTCTAATTTAATGAAGAGAAGGACTAGGGGAGACATGATGGCAGTCTTCCAATATCTCAGGGGCAGCCCCAAAGAAGAGGGAGTCAAGCTATTCTCCAAAGCACCTGAAGTCCAGAAGAAGGAATAATGGAGGGAAACTAATCAAGGAGAGAAGCATTTTAGAACTAAGGAGAAATTTCCTGAAAGTTAGAACAATTAATCAGTGGAACAACTGGCCTCCAGAAGTTGTGAATGCTCCAATACTGGGAATTTTTAAGAAGATGTTGGATAACCATTTGTCTGAAGTGGTGTAGGGTTTCCTGCCTGGGCAGGGGGTTGGACTAGAAGACCTCCAAGGTCCCTTCCAACTCTGTTTATTCCATTCCATTCCTATTTTCTATTCTATTCTATTCTATTCTATTCTATTCTATTCTATTCTATTCTATTCTATTCTATTCCATTCCTATTTCTATTCTTAGTCAATTCCATTCCATTCCATTCCATTCCATTCCATTCCATTCCATTCCATTCCATTCCTATTTTCTATTCTATTCTATTCTATTCTATTCTATTCTATTCTATTCTATTCTATTCCATTCCATTCCTATTTCTATTCTTAGTCAATTCCATTCCATTCCATTCCATTCCATTCCATTCCATTCCATTCCATTCCATTCCAATTTTCTATTCTATTCTATTCTATTCTATTCTATTCTATTCTATTCTATTCCATTCCATTCCTATTTCTATTCTTAGTCAATTCCATTCCATTCCATTCCATTCCTATTTTCTATTCTATTCTATTCTATTCTATTCTATTCTATTCTATTCTATTCTATTCCATTCCTATTTCTATTCTTAGTCAATTCCATTCCATTCCATTCCTATTTTCTATTCTATTCTATTCTATTCTATTCTATTCTATTCTATTCTATTCTTATTCTATTCCATTCCATTCCCATTCCTATTTCTATTCTTAGTCAATTCCATTCCATTCCATTCCATTCCATTCCATTCCATTCCATTCCATTCCTATTTTCTATTCTATTCTATTCTATTCTATTCTATTCTATTCTATTCTATTCTATTCTATTCTATTCTATTCTATTCTTATTCTATTGAGGTAGTTATAAGGAAGTCTTGCAATGGAAATCGGGGAGACGGTGCAGTTGTGAGCCATTTGGTTTTTGTTTTAACTCTGCACCATCAACTATGGAAGATGTCCAAATGTCCAAATTTCCTCAAGGCTTTTTAAGTCAAAATAGAAGCCTTGTTTTGCTAGACCTGCTCTCGTCCTGTCCTTGGAACTATCACCTTATCTCTGAAAACGGAAAACAATGGATGGTTTGTCCGCCATTCAAGGGTGTCCTCCCCCTCCCACTCAACGCAAATAGCACCCTCTAAAGTCACCCATCCCACACAACTTCTATGTTATCAGCCAACCTTGAAGTTCTTCCTCCGAGTGAAGACCCAAGGGGTGCAAGATAGCATTGAACATGACCAATGAATTCCCAACTACGAATTCCACATAACCCACCAGACATTCACTCTGAAACGACTTACTGTTCCTGGCCTTGGGAGAAGGAGAACTAAAGCCTTCAAAGATCTTGTCGCAATTGTGCCACCACTTGTTGTTCCCCCGTTCCTCGTACCGCATGGTGATCAGCTTGCTGTCTCCGTTGAAGCTCTTGGTTCGGCTGGAAGGCAGAAGCTGGAATAGGTTCTCGGGAGGAGCGTAACTTCTGGGGAACGTTCTGCGGCCTTGGAAAGCAATAAAGACAGAACAAGAAAAAAATAAAATAAAAATTGAGACCACGAGGCTTTCATTGAAGTGGTCCTCAACTTATGGCCACAATGGAGCCCAGGAGTTCTGTTGTTATGGGAGACATTTGTTAAGTGATTTTTGCCCCGTTGTACGACCTTTCTTGCCTCAGCTGTTAAGTGAATCACTGCAGTTGATAAGTTAGTAACCAGGTTGTTAAATGAATCTGGTTTCCCCATTCTGACTTTGCTTGTCAGAAGGTCGCAAAACGGGATCACCTTACCCTGGGACACAGCCACCGTCATAAATATGAACCAATGGCTGAGCATCTGGATTTTGATCACATGACCATGGGGGAATGATACAAAGGAAAAATAGTCATAAGTCACTTTTTTCAGTGACTTTGTAACTTTGAATGGTCACTAATCGTTGTTAGTCAAGGCCTACCTGTACATTAACCGAGCTTGTCCTAAAAGTTTCTTACATTTATGTGCAGTGTCCCTCCATGTGTGTGTTGACTGAACAGGAATATAGCTTATTTTTTAAAGATGGGTGTCCTTCAAACTGTTCAAGTCTTCAAGTGTTTTGCTTGAGCAAAATCATCTTGTCCAATTTTTGAATCATCTTGATGTATCCTTCTAACTTAATTTCTTAAATCAAATAATCCCATGATTCACAGGACAGCTGAGATCCCAATGAAAGTGGTATGGGAATCCCAATGAAAGTAATTCCCCCCCAAATTTATTTAACCTCTCCTGAAATGAAGGCTCTATGGAACTATCTCTTCTTCCATGTTCTCTTTTCTACTAGAAATTTTTTGTGATGTTCAACAAGGATCAAGAAATGGTCTGAAGTTAGTGGAAGATACCACTTTCCAATCATTTGAGAACACTATTCCATGTCCTGAATTCTGAGGTAATACCGTGTTTCCCCGAAAATAAGACCCTGTCTTATATATTTTTTTGAACCCTGAAATAAGCGCTTGGCCTTATTGCCATGCGCTCAAAAGCCTGATTGAGCTTATTATCAGGGGATGTTTTATTTTGGGGGAAACAGGGTATCTATCTATCTATCTATCTATCTATCTATCTATCTATCTATCAATCATCTATCTATCTATCATCTATTGCTTAACGCATTGTAAGCCGCCCTGAATCTCCGGAGAAGGGCGGCATATAAATCAATTTTTTTTAAAAAAAAAATCTATCTATCTATCTATCTACCATGTTTCCCCAAAATTAAGACCCTGTCTTATATTTGTTTGAACCCTGAAATAAGCGCTTGGCCTTATGCACTCAAAAACCCAATTGGTCTTATTATCAGGGGATGTCTTATTTTGGGGGAAACAGGGTATCTATCTATCATCTATCTATCTATCTATCTATCTATCTATCTATCTATCTATCTATCATCTATCTATCTATCTATCATCTATTGCTTAACGCATTGTAAGCCGCCCTGAATCTCCGGAGAAGGGCGGCATATAAATCAATTTTTTTTTTAAAAAAATCTATCTATCTATCTATCTACCATGTTTCCCCAAAATTAAGACCCTGTCTTATATTTGTTTGAACCCTGAAATAAGCGCTTGGCCTTATGCACTCAAAAACCCAATTGGTCTTATTATCAGGGGATGTCTTATTTTGGGGGAAACAGGGTATCTATCTATCATCTATCTATCTATCTATCTATCTATCTATCATCTATCTATCTATCATCTATTGCTTAACGCATTGTAAGCCGCCCTGAATCTCCGGAGAAGGGCGGCATATAAATCAATTTTTTTTTTTAAAAAAAATCTATCTATCTATCTATCTATCTATCCCGGGGGGATTTGGACTCTGACTGGGTAGATCAGGGCAGGGTGACGAGGAATAGTCTTGAGAATGTTATCTGGGAGGAGTTTGATGCTGTGACTCCTGATGATGTGGACAGGATTTTGGGGAGACTTAGTGCGGCCACATGTTTACTGGACCCGTGTCCCTCCTGGTTGGTACTGGCTTCCCGGGAGGTTACACGAGGCTGGCTCCAGGGTGTTATCAACGCTTCGTTGAGTGAGGGTTACTTCCCCACCGCCTTGAAAGAGGCGGTGGTGAGGCCTCTCCTCAAGAAGCCGTCCCTGGATCCGGCAATATTGGCCAACTATCGTCCTGTCTCCAACCTTCGCTTTATGGCGAAGGTTGTTGAGAGTGTGGTCGCACGACAGTTTCCGCAATTCCTGGAGGAAACATCTTATCTAGATCCGTTCCAGTCGGGTTTCAGGTCTGGGCACAGCACAGAAACGGCATTGGTCGCGTTGGTTGATGATCTCTGGAGGGCTCGGGACAGGGGTTGTTCCTCTGTTCTGGTCCTGTTAGACCTCTCAGCGGCTTTTGATACCATCGACCATGGTATCATGCTGCACCGGCTGGAAGAGTTGGGGGTGGGAGGCACCGTGTTGCGGTGGTTCTCCTCCTTTCTCTCCGACCGGTCGCAGTTTGTGTTGGCAGGGGGGCAGAGGTCGACCTCGAGGCCTCTCATTTGTGGAGTGCCGCAGGGATCGGTCCTCTCGCCCCTTCTGTTCAACATTTATGTGAAGCCGCTGGGTGAGATCATCCGTGGCTTTGGGGTGAGATACCACCAGTACGCTGATGACACCCAGCTGTACATCTCCACCCCAGGCCACCCCAACGATGCCCTTGAAGTGATGTCCCAGCGCCTGGAGGCTGTACGGGTCTGGATGGGGAGGAACAGGCTCAAGCTCAACCCTTCCAAGACTGAGTGGCTGTGGCTCCCGGCATCCCGATATAGTCAGTTGACTCCATCACTGACTATTGGGGGCGAGTCATTGGCCCCCACAGAGAGGGCTCGCAATCTGGGAGTCCTCCTGGATATGCAGCTGTCCTTGGAGGAACATCTGACGGCTGTAACCAGGGGGACCTTTTGTCAGGTTCGCCTGATTCGCCAGTTGCGGCCCTTTCTTGATCGGGATTCCCTGTGCACAGTCACTCACGCCCTCGTCACCTCTCGCCTTGACTATTGCAACGCTCTCTACATGGGGCTCCCCTTGAGGAGCACCCGGAGGCTCCAGCTGGTCCAGAACGCAGCAGCGCGGGTAGTGACGGGAGCAGCATGGCGCTCCCATGTAACACCGCTCCTGCGCGAGCTGCACTGGCTCCCAGTTGTCTTCCGGGTGCGCTTCAAGGTGTTGGTTATCACCTTTAAAGCGCTCCATGGCATAGGGCCTAGCTATCTTCGAGACCGCCTGCTGCTACCAACGACCTCCCATCGACCCGTGCGCTCCCACAGAGAGGGCCTCCTTGGGGTGCCATCAGCCAGACAATGTAGGCTGGTGACCCCCAGGGGGAGAGCCTTCTCTGTGGGGGCACCTACCCTCTGGAATCAGCTCCCCCCAGAGATAAGGAGAATCCAAGACCTCAGTGCCTTCCGTCGCGCCCTTAAAACCCATTTATTTAAACAAGCCGGGCTGGCTTAAGATGAAATTTTTAACTGTTTTTAAATGTTTTAAACGTTTTTAATTGGTAAATGAGTTTTAATTGGGCCAAATTTATATATCTTTTAATTGTTTTTAATATTTGTTCTGCATGTTTTTTTTAATTTGGCTGTACACCGCCCTGAGTCCTTAGGGAGAAGGGCGGTATAGAAATCCAATATAAAATAAAAATAAAATAAATATCTATCTACCATGTTTTCCCAAAATTAAGACCCTGTCTTATATTTGTTTGAACCCTGAAATAAGCGCTTGGCCTTATGCACTCAAAAACCCAATTGGTCTTATTATCAGGGGATGTCTTATTTTGGGGGAAACAGGGTATCTATCTATCTATCTATCTATCTATCTATCTATCTATCTATCTATCAATCATCTATCTATCTATCATCTATTGCTTAACGCATTGTAAGCCGCCCTGAATCTCCGGAGAAGGGCGGCATATAAATCAATTTTTTTTAAAAAAAATCTATCTATCTATCTATCTATCTATCTATCTATCTATCTATCTATCTACCATGTTTCCCCAAAATTAAGACCCTGTCTTATATTTGTTTGAACCCTGAAATAAGCGCTTGGCCTTATGCACTCAAAAACCCAATTGGTCTTATTATCAGGGGATGTCTTATTTTGGGGGAAACAGGGTATCTATCTATCATCTATCTATCTATCTATCAATCATCTATCTATCTATCTATCTATCTATCTATCTATCTATCTATCATCTATCTATCTATCTATCATCTATTGCTTAACGCATTGTAAGCCGCCCTGAATCTCCGGAGAAGGGCGGCATATAAATCATTTTTTTTTTAAAAAAAATCTATCTATCTATCTATCTACCATGTTTCCCCAAAATTAAGACCCTGTCTTATATTTGTTTGAACCCTGAAATAAGCGCTTGGCCTTATGCACTCAAAAACCCAATTGGTCTTATTATCAGGGGATGTCTTATTTTGGGGGAAACAGGGTATCTATCTATCATCTATCTATCTATCTATCTATCTATCTATCTATCTATCTATCTATCAATCATCTATCTATCTATCATCTATTGCTTAACGCATTGTAAGCCGCCCTGAATCTCGGAGAAGGGCGGCATATAAATCAATTTTTTTTTTAAAAAAAAATCTATCTATCTATCTATCTATCTACCATGTTTTCCCAAAATTAAGACCCTGTCTTATATTTGTTTGAACCCTGAAATAAGCGCTTGGCCTTATGCACTCAAAAACCCAATTGGTCTTATTATCAGGGGATGTCTTATTTTGGGGGAAACAGGGTATCTATCTATCTATCTATCTATCTATCTATCTATCTATCTATCAATCATCTATCTATCTATCATCTATTGCTTAACGCATTGTAAGCCGCCCTGAATCTCCGGAGAAGGGCGGCATATAAATCAATTTTTTTTTAAAAAAAATCTATCTATCTATCTATCTATCTATCTATCTATCTATCTATCTACCATGTTTCCCCAAAATTAAGACCCTGTCTTATATTTGTTTGAACCCTGAAATAAGCGCTTGGCCTTATGCACTCAAAAACCCAATTGGTCTTATTATCAGGGGATGTCTTATTTTGGGGAAACAGGGTATCTATCTATCATCTATCTATCTATCTATCTATCTATCTATCTATCTATCTATCAATCATCTATCTATCTATCATCTATTGCTTAACGCATTGTAAGCCGCCCTGAATCTCCGGAGAAGGGCGGCATATAAATCAATTTTTTTTTTTTAAAAAAAATCTATCTATCTATCTATCTATCTATCTACCATGTTTTCCCAAAATTAAGACCCTGTCTTATATTTGTTTGAACCCTGAAATAAGCGCTTGGCCTTATGCACTCAAAAACCCAATTGGTCTTATTATCAGGGGATGTCTTATTTTGGGGGAAACAGGGTATCTATCTATCTATCTATCTATCTATCTATCTATCTATCTATCTATCAATCATCTATCTATCTATCATCTATTGCTTAACGCATTGTAAGCCGCCCTGAATCTCCGGAGAAGGGCGGCATATAAATCAATTTTTTTTAAAAAAAATCTATCTATCTATCTATCTATCTATCTATCTATCTATCTATCTATCTATCTATCTACCATGTTTCCCCAAAATTAAGACCCTGTCTTATATTTGTTTGAACCCTGAAATAAGCGCTTGGCCTTATGCACTCAAAAACCCAATTGGTCTTATTATCAGGGGATGTCTTATTTTGGGGGAAACAGGGTATCTATCTATCATCTATCTATCTATCTATCAATCATCTATCTATCTATCATCTATTGCTTAACGCATTGTAAGCCGCCCTGAATCTCCGGAGAAGGGCGGCATATAAATCAATTTTTTTAAAAAAAAAATCTATCTATCTATCTATCTACCATGTTTCCGCAAAATTAAGACCCTGTCTTATATTTGTTTGAACCCTGAAATAAGCGCTTGGCCTTATGCACTCAAAAACCCAATTGGTCTTATTATCAGGGGATGTCTTATTTTGGGGGAAACAGGGTATCTATCTATCATCTATCTATCTATCTATCAATCATCTATCTATCTATCATCTATTGCTTAACGCATTGTAAGCCGCCCTGAATCTCCGGAGAAGGGCGGCATATAAATCAATTTTTTTTAAAAAAAAATCTATCTATCTATCTATCTATCTATCTATCTATCTATCTATCTATCTACCATGTTTCCCCAAAATTAAGACCCTGTCTTATATTTGTTTGAACCCTGAAATAAGCGCTTGGCCTTATGCACTCAAAAACCCAATTGGTCTTATTATCAGGGGATGTCTTATTTTGGGGGAAACAGGGTATCTATCTATCTATCTATCTATCTATCTATCTATCTATCTATCTATCTATCAATCATCTATCTATCTATCATCTATTGCTTAACGCATTGTAAGCCGCCCTGAATCTCCGGAGAAGGGCGGCATATAAATCAATTTTTTTTAAAAAAAAATCTATCTATCTATCTACCATGTTTCCCCAAAATTAAGACCCTGTCTTATATTTGTTTGAACCCTGAAATAAGCGCTTGGCCTTATTGCCATGCGCTCAAAAACCCAATTGGGCTTATTATCAGGGGATGTCTTATTTTGGGGGGGAACAGGGTAGAAAATAGATGCTGGATTTCTTCTGCCTTTTTTTCTTCTTCCTTTGTTTCCCACTTCATCATTTTTTGCAAATAAGGCTGTGAACATATCCCAACATCTTCTATTTATCCACCCAATAACATCTCTGAGGTGGGATGGGCTATCAGAAGAGGAAACAGGCCGAAGATCACCCAGCTGTCTTTACCGGCTAAGGCAGGATTTGAATTCAAGGTCCCTGGCTTTCTAGCTGGGTGGCTTAACCTCTAGACCAAAAAGGCTTTGTTTCTATTTCTATCTCTCTCTATCTCGTTTACATATTTGATACTCCAAAATGTGTCCTTCACATATGTTGGAATTCTGTTTTATAATGTTCAGCTACCACAGCTGTAAATGTGGAAACTGCTCTTCCAAGAAACACATGTTTAATTTGTTCTTTAACAAGGCTGATTTTAGGCTGGCTATAAAAAAATAATCTTTAAAGGAAGACGGACACAGGAAGCTGTTGCTTTCTTCAGTGTCTTTATTTTAACAGAATAACAGAGTTGAAAGGGAACCTTGGAGGTCTTCCAGTCCAACCCCCTACTCAGGCAGGAGACGCTACACCATTTTAGACAAATGGTTGTCCAGCCTCCTCTTAAAAACTTGGGACACCCACAACTTCCAGAGGCACAACTTTCATTTCCTTCCTTGCTTCCTTCTTCCTCTTTTCTTTCTTCCTTCTTTTCTTTCGGTCTCTCCCTCTCCTTTCTCCCTCCCTCCCTCTCTTTCTTTTTTTCTGATTCTTATATTTTTTCTTTCTTTCTTTCTCTATCTCCTTTTTTCTTTCATTTCCTTCCTTGCTTCCTTCTTCCTCTTTTCTTTTTCCTTCTTTTCTTTCGGTCTCTCCTTCTCCTTTCTCCCTCCCTCCCTCTCTTCTTTTTTTCTGATTCTTATATTTTTTTCTTTCTTTCTTTCTCTATCTCCTCTTTTTTCTTTCATTTTCTTCCCTGCTTCCTTCTTCCTCTTTTCTTTTTTCTTTCTTTCCATCTTTTTTCTTTCGTTCCTTTTCTTTCTCTCTTTTTCTCCTTCCCTCCTTTCTTTCTCCCTCCCTCCCTCCCCTCTTCACTTTCTCTTTTTCTCCATCCCTCTCTCCTTTCTATCTCTCTTTTTTTCTTTCTCCCTCCCTCCCTCCCCCTCCTCTCTCTTTCTTCCTCTTTTTCTCCCTCCTTCTCTCCCTCCCTCCTTTCTCTCTCTCTCTCTCTTTTCTTTCATGCCGGCCATCTCCCCTTCAAGGCGACTGTTCTCATCATACCTTCACATCCGCCATGCTGCCTTTTTTGAGACTGCTGTGCAGGCACCTCCCTTGCTTTCATACGTTCTTGTTCGAAAGCAATAAAGACTCTTGTTTGAGCTTACCATCATTGTAATCCTTGCGACTCTGAGAGAGATGATACTGCCTTGGAAAAGTGCCGCCTTTTCCTCGGTCACAAAACGGGATATTGAAATCTGTCCAAGAAAGAAGAACAAGGTAAAAAGATGGAAAATGCTGGCCTGCTTCACTCCCTCCTGCCAATGAAATCCAAGAGGAGCCCTTCCAGAGTCTAACCCCAGTTAAAAGTTGACTTAAGAGAGAGAATTAAATAATAGAGTGTTCTTTAGTTTAGTTTAGTTTAGTTTAGTTTAGTTTAGTTTAGTTTAGTTTAGTTTAGTTTAGTTTAGTTTAGTTTAGTTTAGTTTATTTGATTTGTATACCGCCCTACTCCCGAAGGACTCAGGACGGTGAACAGCCAAACAATAAAATACATAAATACAAAAAATTTAAAAACCAGATAAAATCAAATTAAATCATTTTGGCCCAGACAAATTAAAACACCCCAATAATTTAAAAACAGATTAAAATTTACATATTAAAAGAAGGAGGAGATTAGGCCAAGCCCGCTTGATGGAATAAAAAAGACTTCATAGCGCGGCGGAAGGTGCGCAGATCTGGGATCCTCCGTATCTCTGGGGGGAGCTCATTCCAGACGGTAGGTGCCCCCACAGAGAAGGCTCTCCCCCTAGGGGTCGCCAGCCGACACTGTTTGGCTGACGGCACCCGGAGGAATCCCTCTCTATGAGAGCGTACTGGCCGGTGGGAGGCTATTGGTGGTAGTAGGTGGTCCCGTAGATAACCAGGTCCTAAGCCATGGAGCGCTCTAAAGGTGGTAACCAAAACCTTGAAGCGCACCCGGAAGACCACCGGGAGCCAGTGCAGCTCACGCAGGAGAGGTGTCACATGGGAGCGCCATGACGCTCCCATTACCACCCGCGCGGCCGCACTCTGCGCCAGTTGGAGCCTCCGGGTGCTCCTCAAGGGAAGCCCCATGTAGAGAGTCCCTCCCATTACTTTTACCCATGAAGAAAAGCATGAAAAGATTTTTTTTTTAATCACTCCAGCATGCTCATTTCATCCCTGCGGCCTAGGTTTATTCGAAAAACGTCACACGCATAATTTTTGTCTGTAATATTTACACGACAGCCCAAAATTTCCGTGGCACAGCAAGGAAGTTGCTAAGTGAGTTTTCCTCGTTTTACAACTCTTTCTGCCGCAGTCGTTAAATGAATCAGTGCAGTTCTTCTATGAATCATGCAGCCGTTAAGCAAATCTGGCCTTCCCCCATCAACTTTGCCTGTTGGAAGCCAGCTGCGGAGATTATAAAATGGGATTGCACGACTCTGCAACCGCCATAAACACCATAAAAGTCAGTTGCCAAGCGCCTGAATTTTGATCACATGACCATGGGAATGCTGCAATGGTCATAAGTGTGAAAAACAGTTGTCGCTCACTTTTTTCATTGCCGTAACTTCATTATAAACGTACAGTTGTAAGTTGAGCGCTACTTATATACTTGCAAAATGAATGGTAGAACCTGCTATTTCATCCTGAATGCAGTTTTTATTCGATTTTTAACCTGCTTTTAATATTTTTATAAATAACTCCAGGCACGAAACATACCCATTCTCCCAACCATCCTGTGAACTAGGTTTGGCTGAGAGAAAGCGATGGGCCCAATCCCCCAACTGGCTTCCATGAGGCTGGACTAGAACTCACAGGCTCCTGGTGATTGGCCCAAAGTTCCCCTGCTGGCTTTTGTGTCTGAATGGGAACTAGAATTCACAGGCTCCTGATTTCTAGCTTGGGGCCTTAACTATTACATCAAAATGGCTCTTGTTTTTCTTATTGCCAATATCTGGACATGGAAGCTCTTAGCAGCTTCTCCAAGATAAGGCACGTGACTAAGATAAATGAGAAATGGCCCACTTGTTGAAAACAATATATATTTTTTTACAAAACAAAAAGAAGATAAAGGAATCTGTTACGGAAAGCAAATGTCGCAGCCAGGAGAATAGTTACAAAAGGCTAAAATTTCATTTTGTTTCCTTATGCTGCCTTAAACAGCCCCGTTTAAGCCCAGTTATTATAAATCTTTCTCATTCTCCACATCGCTTAACCACTGGTTGACCATCCTCTCCTAAGACAATTCAGCTGTTTCTCCCTTAATGCAATGTTCTTGAAGCGAAAGATGTCGACGCAGCCCGTAATGAATATGAAAGAAACGGGGGGGCGGGGGGGGGGTAGTCGAGTGAGCAGGACACTTGGGGATCAGGCGAATGAAAGCTTAATTAAAAACTAGAACTCTACACCCTGGAGGCATATTAAAAATTCCCAAAGTCCCACAACCTAACTCTGAAATCTGCTTCCAACATTTGGTGCAACGCAATATGACCTCAAGCCAAACACTTACTTTCCTTCCTTCCTTCCTTCCTTCCTTCCTTCCTTCCTTCCTTCCCTTTTCCTTTCTTTCTTTCTCTCTCCTCCCTCCCCTCCTTCCTTTTTCTCTTTCTCTTTCTTTTTCTTCCTTCCTTCATCTATCTATCTATCTATCTATCTATCTATCTATCTCTATCTATCTATCTATCTATCTATCTTTTTTCTCTTTCTTTCTTTCTTTCTTCTCCCTCCCCTCCTTCCTTCTTCTCTCTTTCCTTTTTCTTCCTTCCTTCCTTCATCTATCTATCTATCTATCTATCTATCTATCTATCTATCTATCTATCTATCTATCTATCTATCTATCTTTTTTCTCTTTCTTTCTTTCTTTCTTCTCCCTCCCCTCCTTCCTTCTTCTCTTTCCTTTTTCTTCCTTCCTTCCTTCATCTATCTATCTATCTATCTATCTATCTGTCTGTCTGTCTGTCTGTCTGTCTATCTATTTATCTATCTTCTATCTATTTTCTCTCTTTCTTTCTTTCTTTCTTTCTTTCTTTCTTTCTTTCTTTCTTCTCCCCTCCTTCCTTCCTTTTTCTCTTTCCTTTTTCTTCCTTCCTTCATCTATCTATCTATCTATCTATCTATCTATCTATCTATCTATCTATTTTCTCTCTTTCTCTTTCTTTCTTTTCTTTCTTTCTTTCTCTCTTCCTCTCTCTCCCTCCCTCTTTCTCCTTTTTTAAATCATGCCTGGGCCCTTTGCCATATATTCATTTTTTTAATAGGAGAGGTCATGATAACATTAACACTGAACAAATGTTCCACTGATTTCACCAGCTAGACAAGGGACCTTGAAGTCGAGCTGATTATCCAGAATCAACTCTGCAAGGAAAATATCAGATAATGAACACTTCGGTTCATGGAAGATCCCCGTTTTCTGGGACTGTCCGACAGAAGCGTGGGAGAGGCCTGCCATAATTCTCTTCCTCTGGCCAGATATCCTTCTAAATGTTTAGTTATGACTTCTTCTTTTTTTTACATTCTTGCATTACGGCAATTCCCACTCGTTTTTAGCCTTCTAAGATTTTGGTGAGACTTTGGGTACAGGTAATCCTCAATTTACAACCATTCATTTAGTGACTGTTCAAAGTTACTAGGGCACTGAAAAAAGTGACTTACGACCACTCCTCACACTTAAGACTGTGGCCAGCATCCCCGTGGTCACGTGATCAGGTTGCAACATCCTGGAGTCACGTGATTCCCCGTCTTGAGACCTTCCCAGCTGGCTTCCGCTAAGCAAAGTCAATAGGGGGAAGCCGGATTCACTTAGCAACTTAACGACTGCAGTGATTCGCTTAACAACTGTGGCAAAAAAGTTCAGCAGTTGCCTTGCTTAGCAATGGAAATTCTGGACCCAATTGCCGTCCTAAGCCAAGGATTATCTAAATATCCTTCTTGGTTGAAGTCAACCATGCTGTCTTATACAATAAGTATTATACAATACTTCTTATTGTGTAATAATACAATAATATTATACAATATTCACACAATACAATAACTCAGCATTCTTACCCAGGCATTCCAAGCTGTCTTTGCTTTCTCTTTTTCTTCTTGAAACTGGAGTTTTGCTGAAAGAAGGGCTACACAAAAAATAAAATAAAATTAGCTGTAGAGTGATATGCTCAGCTGCCAACATTGCTTATTCTTTATCTGCAAACTCCATTACTCAGGCTAAAAATCTTAACAATGCATAACATTTTAAAGTCCTGCATGAAATTTAAAATCAGCAATGCCTCTCTCTCCATATAAAAATGTTAGGCATCTTGCCCTAATAAACACAACCAGGGGCATGATGTGTAACAGATGATTTAAATCACGGAAGTGCTTTTTCCAACAGGCAAATGGAATTTCTTGGATTTTTTTTTCCCTCCCCTTGAAAACATTTTGCTTCTCATCCAGGAAGCTTCTTCCGTTCTAACCGAAGAATTTTAGAACTGGAGAGCTGAGGTTAGAACTGAAGAAGTTTCCTGGATGAGAAGCAAAACGTCTTCAAGGAAAAACCAAGGAAGTCCAATTGCCTTTTTGCAAATGCACTTTTGGAACAGCCATGATCTGGACTCCGTAGACCCGTGATGGCGAACCTATGGAATGGATGCCACAGGTGGCACATGGAGCCATATTTGTGGGCACGCGAGTGTTGCCTTAGCTCAGCTCCAGCGCGCAGCACCCAACTGATTTTCAGGCCTTCCGGTCCCACCGGAAGTCGGGAAACTGTCTGTTTCCGGCCTCCGGAAGACTTCCGGGGGGGATGGAGAAGGCTGTTTTTGCCCTCCCCAGGCTCCTAGAAAGACTCTGGAGTCTGGAGAGGGGGAAAAACGGGCCTACCAGGCCCACTGTGCCAAAAGCAGGGGGAAGTGTGTGTGGGGGGGGAGGTCACGTGCGCATGCGCGGGAGGGCGGGGCGCATTGAATTATGGATGTGGGCACCCGCACCCGCGACACCCCCCGCACTTGGCACACGATGGCAAAAAGGTTAGCCATCAGTACCATAGACTGATGACCTATAACTACCCACAGAGTAAACAGAGCCCTTTAAAAATCAGCAGCTCCATCTTAATAGAGGTAGTCATCAACCTACGACGTTTCATTTAGTGACTGCTCGAAGTTCCAACAGCACTGAAAAAAGTGACTTATGACCGCTTTTCACACTTACAACCATTAACAGCATCCCCCATGGACATGTGTCCAAAATTCAGACGATTGAGAACTGGCTCATTTTTAATGACGGTTGCAGGGGTCATGTGATCCGACTCATATGTATGACGGTTGCAGTGTCCCGGAGTCATGCGATCCCCCTTTTGCGACCTTTGGACAAAGTCAATTGGGGGGGGGGGGAGGAGGAAGCCAGATTTGCTTAACAACCGTGTTATTAATTTAATCACTGCAGTGATTCATGTTCAGTGGCAAGAACGGTCGTAGGTCACAGCAAAACTCACTTAACAAATGTCTCACTTAGCAACAGTCACGGTCGTAAGTCGGGGACTAACTGTTGTTCTTCATTCTTTATACTTAATAATTATTCATTTAATAAAAAGAGCTTTCTTTGAGAAATCGAATAGACAGGAAAAGCACCAGGCGAATTACTCCAGCGGAAGGGGGGGATATTTTTGAAGCCAAAACACCACCCCTGAGACAGACCCCCCCCAAAAAATCTCTTGTGACTACCCACAATAACTTGTTCTGAAGATGCCCTCAAGGAATAAGAAAGAAGATATGGAAACGGTTAAACTTTCTGGTTCTTACCTGTCTACCGATCGCTCCAGGGACTGACAACTGTTAGAAAGCGAGCTGTTTGGGCTGATAAATGGGTCCATCAACTTTTGAGAGAAAACAGAAGAAGAGAAATAAGAGTGAGGGTTTCAGAAAACATTTGAAACATTTGAAAATTTTAAAGTATATTGAGCAGGGAATTCTGGGAGTTGAAATCCACCCATTTTAAATCCGATTCACTTTCGGAGCTTTCCCAGGAAACTTACATTTTGGTCCATCGTTTCGGGAATAAATTCTCCCTCGCTGTTGATGCTGGTGTACGATCCCTGGCGGGCAATCTGCTGTTGCTCTTCGGGAACACTCCCGGGAGGCGGAGAACTCCTGCCGGTGTGCAGGGATCCTGCAAAACAGGCAGAGGTTATCATGGAGAGACCGAGATGGTGCATCCCAACCACGGGGAAGAGAGATTGGCCTTAAAAAGGAACAAATCCGGCAAACGAGTCACTAAGCGAGGGATGTCGGGCACCAAGGAAAATAAAAGAATTATGAGAAAGCAGAACACAGAATAACAGAGTTGGAAGGAGTCTTGGAGGTCTTCTAATCCAACTCCCTGCTTAGGCAGGAAACCCTACATCACTTCAGACAAATGGTTCTCCAACATCTTTTTAAAAACTTCCAGTGTTGGAGCATTCACAACTTCTGGAGGCAAGTCGTTCCACTGATTCATTGTTCTAACTGCCAGGAAATTTCTCCTTAGTTCTAGGTTGCTTCTCTCCTTTATTAGTTTCCATCCGTTGCTTCTTGTCCTGCCTTCAGGGGCTTTGGAGAATAGCTTGACTCCCTCTTCTTTTCTCAGACCCTCAAATATTAGAAGACTGCTATCATGTCATCCTTAATTCTTTTTTGCACGCCTAGTACAGCAATTTGCACGCACCATGCCAAACTGTGATGTTGGATGGATGTAAGAATCTGCCCTCAATGGGAGCAGAATAGAGACTCTGTCCTGCTAAGATTGGCTTCAGTTGGTACTCCTGCATTATGTTTTGGGCTACAACTTCCTGAAGCCTTCATACAGCATGACCAAACCCTATGGAAGGTACCAGTTTCAGATGGAAGACCTAGTTCAGAGATCTTCCATGCCAAGGAGAACATCTGGAACCTTTAACAAGTATATAAAACTTACCAAGGGATGAACTCACTACTAATAACAGAACAGAATAACCGAGTTGGAACGGAGCTTGGAAGTCTTCTAGTCTAACTCCCTACTCAAACAGAAGACTCTATACCATTCTGGACAAAAGGTTGTCCAATTTCTTCTTGAAAATCTCCAGTGATGGAGCACCCATAACTTCTGAATGCAAGTTTAATTGTTCCCACTGTCAGGAAATTTCTCCTTAGTTCTAGGTTGTTTCCCTCCTTGTTCCATCATCTACAGGATCTGCTCAACTGACTCCAGGCTCATCCTCCTGCCCAGAACAAGCGTGACTGTCCTGAAAACCCAGAGATATTTTTGAACAGGCTGAAAGTGACAGAAACTGAACTCCAGCATTAGATAGAACTTGTCACCCCCTCAGAGTTATACCTTATAGAGGAGACGGACGGCATGAAAATGTAATAAATGAATAAATAAACATCAAAGGCTGAACTCATAGTGTGAAAGGTTGGGCCACCTCAGCCCCTCTTCGTTTTGGAAATCCTCTGGGTTTTACATACCCCAGTCTACCTCCTCTGTCTTGGGAAAGCTGCTTCCTAACTCCTTTCTATCTCTTCTCTTCTTGAAGTGTTCTTCTGTTTAGAAATACAGATTCCCACACCCAGCACCAGGGTGGATAAAAATCAATAATTTTTTTTTAAAAATAAAAAAAAAATCAGATTTTTTTTATTTAAATCAGATATTTTGATTTAAATAGGATTTTTTTAAATTTTTATTCAATTTATTTTAATAAAAAACTTTTGGGGTAAAAATCTATTGTAAGATAGTTTTCTATTTAAGATACATAAATAATTTAGTTTATTCAGCATGAAATGGAGCTTAGTTATGTAGCAGGAGGCTGTATATTCTGCAACACTGGGACTATCGGTGAGTCAACAGTGGGTCAAAGGAGTAGCAGAGATGACAGTTGCTCTTTAAAAATTATGATTTACATCGAGTTGATTTAAATCAAGCCTTTTTACTAGTGATTTAAATCATGATTTAAATTGTGATTTAAATCAACTCGATTTAAATCAAACCTACCCTGCCCAGCACTGATTGTGACACACAATTATTGGAACTAGAATCATCCTTAACATCTCCCTTTAGCTTTGGCTCCTACATTCAGCCCACAATACATACTAGATCCAGCATCTGCTATCCTTTGATGGACAGGTCCTCGGAAGCATTAGATACTCCATCGGTAGTATTGTATTTCTCTTCCCTCCTTTCCTCAACTATACACGTTAGTCCTTGACTTGCAACCATTGGAATGAGAATTTTCATTGCTAAGCCAGGTGGTTGTTATGTGAGCAGGCATCCAAGTTTATAACCACGGTTGTTAAGCGACTGAAATTGTTCAGTGAATCCCATGGTGGTGAAGCAAATCTGGTTTCCTCTGTGGGCTTTGCTTGTCAGAGGAAGGTCACAAACAGCAGACGCCTAACCTTGCGGTGCTACAACTCTTGTAAATACGTTCCAGTTGCCAAGTGCCCGAATTTCGACCATGAGGATGCCACAATAGTTGCTAAGTGCAAGATTTGTTCATAAGTTATAAGTTTTTTCCCCCTCCCCTAAATGTCATTGTAACTTCACACGGTTTACTAAATGAATCATTTAAAGTCAAGGACCCACCTATATCAGCCTTCAAAACTGGAATAAACTGAGCACCTATCCACATTCCTCACTGCCTCTAGATTAATTTCCTCCCACAGAAAATGCCAGCCAAACTTTGTGATTCTTTCTTCCTCTACGATCCCAAAAGCTAAAAACCCTGATTTATTGGGAGAGAGAGGGGAGAAAAGCAAAGTTACCTCTTTTAGTCATTCTCAACCATGGTGGGAAGGAAGAGTTGCTGTCCTCCATCACTGTAAGTTTGACACCCTGCTCCCTTTCACATATTCCTCCCCGTCTGCTCATTTGACGGAGACCTCCTGCCAAGTCCTGCCTCTCCTTCTCCAAAAGAAGAGTCTTTTGGGTGTTCTGCCAGCAGCCAATATATATATATTATCTCCAAATGTCATTGGTCGGCTAATCAGCCCGGCCGGCAAGCCGAAGGACAGGACCAAAACATACACATGGTGTTCGAGCACACGATGACATCTACAGAGGCTCCATGGAACAACAGACCAAGCACATTATGTTTCTCAGACAGCTTCACCAAATACCTCCTAATATCCTGGGCAAAAGTTCAATGGCAACGTAAAGAAGAAGAAAAAAAAAACCCACCACAACAACAACGTAATTTGTTTTTAAAAAATAAAAAAAAAAACTATCTCTGCTTTGGCCTTCTAGCAATCTCACAGCGAAAGGACTAAGGCCACTCTAGTAACAGGGGTGAAAAAAATTCATTAAACTCTATTTAAGTATTAATTTAATTTAAATATTATATCTATCTATTTTGCTACCTACCTACATCTATGTATCTACCTATTTACCTACCTACTTACCTTCCTCCATCCATCCATCCATCCATCCAAATCTAATCTATCTATCCATCCATCCATCCATCCATCTAAATCTAATCTATCTATCCATCCATCCATCCATCCATCCATCCATCCATCCATCCATCCAAATGTAATCTAATCTAATCGAATCCTATCTATCTATCCATCCATCCATATAAATCTAATCTATCTATCCATCCATCCATCCAAATGTAATCTAATCGAATCAAATCGAATCCTATCTATCCATCCATCCATCCATCCATCCATCCATCCATCCATCTAAATCTAATCTATCTATCTAACCATCCATCCATCCATATCTAATCTATCTATCTAACCATCCATCCATCCATTCATCCATCCATCTAAATCTAATCTAAATCTAATCCAATCCAATCCAATCCTATCCACCCATCTAATCTAATCTAATCTAATCTAATTTAATCTAATCTAATCTAATCCAATCCATCCATCTAAATCTAATCTATCTATCTAACCATGCATCCATCCATCCATCTAGATCTAATCTAATGTAATCTAATGTAATCTAATGTAATCTAATGTAATGTAATGTAATGTAATGTAATGTAATCTAATCTAACCTAACCTAACCTAACCTAACCTAACCTAACCTAACCTAACCTAATCTAATCTAATCCAATCCAATCCATCCATCCATCTAAATCTAATCTATCTATCTAACCATCCATCCATCCATCCATTTAAATATTTGTTTAACATTCATTTGGCTGGTGTAGAGAAAAGAAGGACTACGGGAGACATGATAGCAATCTTCCAAAATTTGAGGGACTGCCACAAAGAAGAGGGAGTCAAGCTATTCTCCAAAGCACCTGAAGGCAGGACAAGAAGCAACAGATGGAAACTAATCAAGGAGAGAAGCAACCTAGAACTAAGGAGAAATTTCTGTGAGATTTGTGATTAACAGTGAGAACAATTAAGCAGTGGAACATCTTTGCCTCCAGAAGTTATGGGTGCTACAACACTGGAAGATTTTAAGAAAAGACTGTACAGCCATTTGTCTGAAATGGGGGTCCCCTGCTTGAGCAGAAGACCACCAAGGTCCCTTCCACCTTAATTCTAATTCTAATTCTGCAATAATTCTAATTCCACGCTTAGACCATTTCTGGGTATTTTATGGCCTTTTAGCTGTCCCTACCCAGCCACATGGATTGTTTTTATTTTGATAAAAGATAAAGGTTAGTGATATCCAAAGACACTTCCGTGGTCATGTGGCCAGCATGGCTATACGCCAAAGGTGCACGGGATGCTATTACTTTCCCACTGAAGTGGTACCTATTTATCTACTCACACTTGCATGGTTTTGAACTGCTAGGTGGGTAGGAGTTGGGTTAAATAACGGGAGCTCACCCTGTCGTGCGGCGCTCAGGCCTCAAACCTGGGCTGCGACCACTGCATCTGACAAGCGCGGTGTCTTTAACTGCTAAGCTGTCGCGACTCCTTTCTATCTTAAAATGACTTATTTTTTTCCCGATTTACATATGTACCTACGTGCATACCTATGCACTTTATTGGTTCAGCCCTCCACAAGAGTTTCTCATGTGGCTCCTTGAGAAAATTAATTGCCCACCCTTATTGCAGGGAAATTTGCAGGTCTTAGACAAATTTCCCTGCAAATTGGCCAGCTACAGAAGATGAGATTTCAACTCCTATCAGTGTCACTAGAACAAGGGTTTCAAACTCAAGGCCCATGGGCTGCATCTGGCCCACGATGTGGTCGGATCCGGTCCTTGGGGCCATCCTGGTTTACTCAATGCGAAGAGGAAAGTTTAGGCCAGCATAGCTTCGGCCCGGTCTACCCAGTGTGAAGAGGAAACATGCCAGCAGTTTGGGGAGTGGTGTCAAGCTGGCCACGCCCACCGAGTTGGCCACACCCACCCAGCCTCCTGAGGTCAACCAAAGTCCTCAATGAAATTGAGTTGGGCACTCCTGCACTAGAACATACCAAGGAACTGTGGAAGTATCAGCTATGGATCTACACTGGCCTATCTTTGGCTGGGTCTGCATTGCATCCTGCAGCAGTGAGATGTGCAATCACAAAACATGTGGAAAACAGCAGCGGAGGTCAAGCTGCCTTGCTGATGGAGCACAATGGCTGACAGAAACAAGGGACATAGAATAATAGAGTTGGAAGGGACCTTGGAGGTCTTCTAGTCCAGCCTCCCTGCTCGAGTAGGAGACCCTAAATCTGTGATGGCGAACCTATGGCACACATGCCAGAGGTGGCACGCAGAGCAGTGGTGGGTTGCTACCGGTCTGCCCCGGTTCGGGGGAACCGGTAGCAGTGGCGGCGGGAGGCTCCGCCCACCTGTCTGGTTCGCTTGCGCATGCGAGCTAACCAGTAGCAAAGGGAAGTGAAACCCACCACTGACACAGAGCCTCTCTGTGGGCAGGTGCACCATCACCAGCTGCTCTTCTGGTTTCCAGCGTGCACATGCGTGCCGGCCAGCTGGTCTTCGCGAGTGCAGAGCCCCAAAAACGGGCCAAAAAAACAGGCCATTTTTCAGGCCGTTTTGGGGCCATTTTTTGGGCTGTTTTCAGGCCGTTTTCTGGGCTGGTTTTGAGCCATTTGTTGGGCTGTTTTCAGGCTGTTTTTTGGGCCATTTTCTGGGCTGTTTTGGGGGCTGTTTTCAGGCCATGTTTTGGGGGCTGTTTTCAGGCCATTTTTCGGGCCGTTTTGGGGGCATTTTTGGGCTGTTTTCAGGCCGTTTTGGGGGCATTTTCTGGGCTGTTTTGGGGGCTGTTTTCAGGCCATTTTTCGGGCCGACAAACAGCCCTCAACAACAGCTCGAAAAACGGCACAAAAAATGGCCTGAAAGCAGGCCCAAAAAAAACAGGCACGTGCACGCCGACCAGCTGGGTTTTGGGTTTCCAGTGCTCCAGCGTGCACACATGCATGTGCAGAGTTCCGGTTTGCCATCCCTGCCCTAAATCATTTCAGACGAATGGTTGTCCAGTCTCTTTTTTAAAAGTCTTGAGGAATGGAGCACATACAACTTATTTATTGGTTCAATTTATATGCCGCCCTTCTCTGGAGACTCAGGGCGGCTTACAATGTGTTAAGCAACAGCCTTCATACTTTTGTATATACCTGCTTAGTAGGGCTTCTTCATATGTTTAGTCTCTAGCCCCCCTCATTGTTTTAGGGGTTCGAGGGGTTAACTTCAAAGAAGAGATTTTATTGGTGGGAGCTTTACCTTAGATAAAAGTTTCAACTCTAGGTAGCAGGGGCTTAAATTTGCTCTACTAGCTTCTGACAACAATCCTAGGCATGGAACACTCTTGGTTGTCTATGTTATTCTTCATGGAAGGTAACATTATTAGACAGGATATTACTTATAGAAAAGAGTATTTGTACCTCAAGGTTGTGGCACATGATGTTCCCTAGTTTAGTAATTAAACATCTGCAAAAAAAAAAAAAAAAAAAAAGGCCACCAAGCTCACAGAGTACCAAGGACCCCACAGATAGGGAATTTCAAGGGGTAAAGATTTTCCACGGGTCTGGGAGTTGAGTTTATGGGTCGCCAGTAGACCTGTGTTTCTTTAGACCGGTGTTTCTCAACCTTAGAGTCTTTGAGAGGACTTCAACTCCCAGAATTCATAGCTGGCTGGGGAACTCTGGAAGTTGAAGTCCACTCGGCTTAAAGTTGCCAAGTCGAGAAACACTGAAAGTTTAGGCTGAAGAGCAGCAGTGTGTATTCAGATACAAGAATGGGATTTATTGGACTTCCTCAGTGGAACGTGGTCTACTGCACAACTTCATCTCACTAACCTGTTGAATGCTTCCGTGTCCTCTCGGTGTCTTTATACAGAGATCCCAATATATCTCCCATGGATTTAGATATCCTCATTTCATGCTGCTTGGTGTTGTTGGGTTGCAGAAGCTAGAAACAGAACAAAAGTTGTTGGTAGTTCCCACCGAACAACTCAACAACTCAACTGTCTTGGTTGTTGCAAGGAATACCACATCTCAGGGGGCTTCCAGCGCTCAATTAGTGAGGGAATCAAGTGGAATCTAGGGATCTATTAAGGCAGAGGTCTTCAAACTTAGCAGCTTTAAGACTTGTGGACTTCAACTTCCAGAATTCTCCAATCAGCATAGCTGGCTGGAGAATTCTGGAAGTTGAAGTCCACAAGTCTTAAAGCTGCCAAGTTTGAAGACCTTTGATTTAAGGTGACATCACTGGACAGTGAGGGAAAAGCTGTGTAGCCCCTGCCTCACGTCCGCTTTGTACAGGTAGCCTGAGGGAGAGAAGTGGGATAGGATAGCGGAGGCTTCTGTGGGGCAAGCCTGAGGGAGAGAAGTGGGATAGGATAAGAAAGGCTTCTGTGGGGCAAGCCTGAGGGAGAGAAGTGGAATAGGATAGCGGAGGCTTCTGTGGGGCAAGCCTGAGGGAGAGAAGGGAATAGTAGAGGATCAATGGGGCAAGCCTGAGGGAGAGAAGGGGACAGAAGAGTATTCTGTGGGGCAAGCAGAGGAATCCACGAAGGTGGATCTAGAGGTGGTGGAAGGAGAGAGAGAGAGAGAGAGAAAGGAAGAAGGGCTGACCAGCCACCTGAATATCATCTCATCATGTGACCCACCGGCTGGAAAAAGAATGATCATCACCCCACCAAGTGACCTGCCTGCTGAGAGGAGACTGACCACCACTCCAGTACGTGGCTCAGGTGTATGAGCAAGGTACCAGTGGTATGGGCGGCGACCATACCAAGAGGGCCAGGAGAACCCGGACTCCAGCGGCCCTTTTGGGGGGTAGTGCTACAGTTGCAATAGGGGATCACATAATCTCAGGACACTGCCGCCGTTGCCAAACATTTGAATTTTGATCACATGACCACCAGGATACTGCAACTGGTCATAAATGTGAAAAACGGTCGTACGTCACTTTTTTCAGTGCCGCTGTAACTAAACGGTCACTCAACGAGTGTTTGCAAGTTGAGGGCTACCTGCAAAAAAAAATAAAATAAAAAAAACAAATTTCCCGTACAAATAAAAGTTTGGAAAAGTGAGATTGCCAAATACCGATTCCCAGAGGGGGTTTGCTTCTAACTTCGCAATCATCAAAATATAGAAGGGTTTCCGCTCTTTTGGATAGCCTTTGTACACAAATAAAATCGGACGAATTAAAAAAAAAAGGAACAGGTCTCACATTTGTTTCCTTTGGAGTTTTCACAAACACCCTCAAGCTTTTCAGAGAAGGGCTAAGATCCAAATGTTCCACCGCTCGATCCAAATCTTCCTGTGATTTCAGAGGAATCAGGAGCTGGAAAAAGATTTGAACAAACACGGCAGCTGAGTCGCAAACAAGAGAAAAGACAGGAAGTGGCTGAAGGCCGGTGTGGTGGGGGTGGGGGGGGGAGCTTGGGAACGGCAGGGGTTTGGGGCCGCGGAACCCAGAACGGTGCAAAGCCATTGGAGCATTCTACTGGAAAACAGAAACAAACACCAGAACCTATAACCTTTTATTCCATCATAACATTCCCTCAAGGAAGAACTGAATAAAAGTTATCTAAACAATTACTTAGGAAAGGATGGCCACCAAGTGGTCTCTCATTCTGCTGGAAAGAAAAAACCTGGATTAAATAAATCCAGGTAAACCCTTGACCTATCACCCCAAAATTTCCGTTCCTAAGTGAGACAGTTGTTCGGGGAGGTTCGCCCCGTTTTACGAACTTTCTTCCACAGTTGCTGAGTGAATCGCTGAAGCGGCTAAGTTAGTCGCACGGTTATGGTTAAAGCGCGAATCCGGCTTCCACGTTGACTCTGCTTGTCGGAAGGTCGCAAAAGGGTCGTGCGACCCCCCCCTCTTACAACCGTCATAAATATGAGTCGGTTGCCAAGCCTCCGATTTTTTTTGATCATGTGACTGCGGGGATGCTGCAATAGTACGTTAAGTGCAAACATCAGTCATAAGTCACTTTTTTCCGATGCCGTTGTAACTTTGAGTGGTCACTAAATGAAGGGTTGCAAGTCAAGGACTGTCAGTACTCCCAATACAATGCAATTCTCTACAATTGTCGGCTGATCCAGAGGCCTTTTTTATTTAGCCTGGTTTAGAAACACGCGGGATCCTCGGGAAAAATACAGAAAGGGAACTGCAATGGCTTCACAGATAGTCCTCAACTTATGAACAGTTCAAAGTTTTGAGAGACCTCCCTTTACGATCCAGATTTGAAGTTTCTGATAGCTTCCCGCTCTCCCTTGCAGCCATAAAACTTCAGATGATTGGCAAGAGACTACATTTACAGCCGTTGGCAAGGTCCCACAGTTACGTGACTGTTTTATGATGGTTTTGCAGAAAACTGGCAGCCGTTTCCTGGTTTTGGCAAAGGTGTGCTCATAGAAAAACCCTCGGTTCCCAGCTGCAAAAAAAGGTCATAAAATGGAGTTGAACTGTTTCGTGATCATTGCAACTGTGATGGGCAGGTTCCGTGTCAGTTGTAGTCAAGGAATGTCTGAATTTGATTTGGTTATATCATTATGGCTGTTTCATCTGGCTGCCTGGAATTATTATTTTTTTTAAATGGATTTTTGAAATTATTATTATTTTTTAGCTGTATTCCAATATCTCAGGGGCTGCCACAAAGAAGAGGCAGTCAAGCTATTCTCCAAAGCACCTGAAGAAGCACTAGGAGAAGAAGCAATGGATGGAAACTAATCAAGGAGAGAAGCAACCTAGAACTAAGGAGAAATTTCCTGACAGTTAGAACAATTTATCAGTGGAACAACTTGCCTCCAGAAGTTGTGGGTGCTTCATTACCGGACTTGTCTGGAACGGTGTAGGGTCTCCTGTTTGAGCAGGGGGTTGGACTAGAAGACCTCCAGGGTCCCTTCTGGCTCTATTCTGACACAAAGATTCTTCCTTTCAAATTGTGTCCAATTCTTGGGAGACTGCCTGGACAAATCATTGTTTGGCCAGTTTTCTTGGCCAGATTTTTCAGAAATGGTTTGCCGTTGCCTGTTTCCGAGGGCTGGGAGAAACTGACTGGCTCAACACCATCTAGCCAGCTTTGTGTGGCTAGAACTTAAAGTCTCCCATTTTCTTTGGATTATAATTTTGCAGAATAAATTTGAATTCTGAAAATTTGCACTTTCCTCCATAAGATCAAGATGTGATAAGAGCTAAGTTGCCCATAAGTCTCCATGTTTTCATTGGACCAGGGAATCTTACTGTTTACCTTTTAAAGGCTGTTGTAAGAATGATAGGAAGAAACAGGAGCAATGCAGGTAATGTTTTTAAGATTTCCTAACACTGGATGAAGTTATTAATCTGGTGGTGTTTTGGGGGTTTTTTTGCATTTTTTTTTTCTGGCGTGCATACAAATTGGCTCACTTATTGAGTCATCTAAAACTTAATAACCTGCCACCCGGTTGAAGCAGTGGCGGTAATTTTATTAGGGGTAATCTGTGAATGGTGCAGGAAAGTGTGAAACACAAAATATTAAGTCTGTGTGTGTGTATTTGTGTGTGTGCGTGTGCAGGTAGTCCTTGAACTACTACCATTCATTTAGTGACGGTTCAAAGTTACGACAACACTGAAAAAGTGACTTGCGACCATTTTTCACACTTAACACCACGGCGGCATCCCCATAGTCACATGACCAAAATCTGCCAAAGTTGCCAATGTTTGGCAACGACTCATACTTATGACGGTTGCAGTGTCCCGGGGTGACGTGATCCCCTTTTATGACCTTCTGACAAGTTATTGGGGGGTGGGGTGGAGAGCCAGATTCACTTAACAATTGTGGCAAACAAATCGGGCAAAACTCGCTTAACAATGGTCTTGCTTAGCATTGGAAATTTCAGGCTCCATTGGAGTTGTAAACCGAGGACTACCTGGATAGACCTGTAAACGTTGAAGCATGCTCGGGGGTGGTGGTGGGGCTTCTTCTGGTGGTGCAGAATGGAACAGAGCTGCCACAAATGGGGACCCCCGTTGTCTCTTTGATATCCTTCAACTTCTTCTCAAACTTCTCAAGTATCTGGCTGTACTGCTTAAGAGCCTGGTTGAAGATTTCCGTAGGAAATAGAAATTAAACTGAGAAGAATATCAGCTGTCCATTGATGGCCAGATTAGAATCAGTGGCAGAGTTCAGTTTAACCTGGCAAGGGAGCCCTATTCCAAAGAAGGACTTCTCCTTTTTTTTTCCAGCAAAGAGGAATCAAGAATTAAATTTACATTCTTAGACTGCCTTACAATTTATCTTCCCTCATATGCATTCCCTACTCGGAATTTGTTTTAACCACTTTCCTCTGGCAATCGCTTGCAAATCACTTCCAGGGCTGCTTCTCTCTCTCCAGTGCCTTCCCTTGGAATGCCCATTAATCTTTCAAAATCTGGAAATAAAAATATCCTACAGCTTTCCTTCTGTTTCTCAGGACTTCACGGACCCTTGCAGCCAGCCTCAAAAGACCTCGAGTTGAAACTGAGGTGCAGCCTTGACTTCTGCCTGTTGCCAAAACCTGAGAAAAGTTGGATTCTCCACGCCAATGAAACTTGAGTGTTGCACGGACAATCTCTACCAGATACTGGCCTAAATTTAGATGCATGCAAACCGGGAGTGTTTACTTGGCACGTTGCAAACTCAGGAAACAAGCACAGCTTTCCTGAATCTAAGACACTGAATAAGTACATTAATATAAGGCAGGAAGGCAACAAAAGTTGTCAAATGCTGACTCATGGCTTTGCTTCTCCCCGTTTAAACTAGGACACAAGTCCATGAAGCTAAAAGGGAGTGTATAAAGGGGCAGAAATCCAGAATAAGCTTACTCTCGCAAAAACACTCTTAGAATAAAAGGAATTTCAAAACTAAAAGCATTTGTTACTTATTTTTCATGGGTCATTCAGAACTTCTGTGCAGAACAGCTATTGGTCAAAGCAGGGGTATCCTACCACAGCAACTTTAAGAACTGTGGACTTTAAGTCCCCTGGTCAGCATGGGGAACTCTGGGAGTTGAAGTCCACCCATCTTAGAGCATGTTGACCAGGGAATTCTGGGAGTTGAAGTCCACCCATCTCAGAGCATGAATTCTGGGAGTTGAAGTCCATCCATCTTAAAGTATATTGACCAGGGAATTCTGGGAGTTGAAGTCCACCCATCTTAAAGTATGTTGATTGGGGAATTCTGGGAGTTGAAGTCCACCCATCTTAAAGTATGTTGATTGGGGAATTCTTGGAGTTGAAGTCCACCCATCTTAAAGCATGTTGACCAGGGAATTCTGGGAGTTGAGTCCACCCATCTTAAAGAATGTTGACCAGGGAATTCTGGGAATTGAGGTCCACCATCTTAAAGTATGTTGATTGGGGAATTCTGGGAGTTGAGGTCCACCCATCTTAAAGAATGTTGACCAGGGAATTCTGGGAGTTGAGGTCCACCCATCTTAAAGTATGTTGATTGGGGAATTCTGGGAGTTGAAGTCCACCCATCTTAAAGCATATTGATGGGGGAATTCTGGGAGTTGAAGTCCACCCATGTTAAAGCATATTGATTGGGGAATTCTGGGAGTTGAACTCCACAAGTCTCAAAGTTGCCTATGCTGGACATCTCTGGCTTTAGCAAGAGATATGATGCCTCTCTAAATTTTGGAAGTCCTTTTTGCAATGGCTTTTAAAACATGGGATACTGTGAGTGACAGGTGCCACCTGAAGAGCAAGAGAAGAGCAGAGACAGAGAAAGAAGCAACATAAAAAGTTACCTCGTTCTCGGCATAATGCAAATCCATCAACTGCCCAAAAGCATCCATGACTTTCTGTAAAACATCTTTGAACTTAACCGGCCTCTGGAACTGGATAATCCTGCAGGAGGAGGATGCGTTTTTGAAAACAGTTAACATCATCCTACCAATATTGTCAAGGCAGTCCTTGACTTACAACAATTCATTTAGTGATGGTTCGAAGTTACAAGGGTCACCAAAAAGTGACTTATGACCATTTTTCACGCTTACGACTGTTGCAGCATCCCCATGGACATGTGATCAAAATTCAGATGCCTGGCTGCTGATTCATATTTATGACGGTTGCTAAGGGGTCACGTGATCCCCTTTTGCGACCTTCTGACAAGCAAAGTCAATGGGAAAGCCAGATTCATTTAACAACCTGAGTTGTTAAATGAAAGAGCCCTGGTGGTGCAGCAGACTAAAGCACATCAGCTGCCTGCAATTACTGCAAGTTCAAATCTCGCCAGGCTCAAGGTTGACTCAGCCTTCCATCCTTTCAAAGGTGGGTAAAATGAGGACCCAGTTTGTGGGGGCAATAAGCTGACTTTGTATAAAATATACAAAAGTATGAAGGCTATTGCTTAATGCATTGTAAGCCGCCCTGAGTCTCCGGAGAAGGGCGGCATATAAATCAAATAAAAAAAAATAATAATGTGTTACTAACTCAACAACTGCAGCGTCTCACTTAACAAGAAAGGTTGTAAAATGGGGCAAAATTCACTTAACAACTGTCTTGCTTAGTAACAAAAACTTTGGGCACAATTGTGGTCATAAGACGAGGACTACCTATAGTAGTTGTGCCTTTTCATCCGAAGCTGAGAAATTCTGCCCTTCTGCTCAATTCTTAACAAACCAAATGCATTTAATAAATTGGCATAGCTGCATTTTAATCTTATCGCGGTTAGAATGAAGAATGTAAGCTGTTCTGAGACATCTGCTGAGTAATAATTTGGATTTTAACCGAAATGCTTTCTTTTGCTTTTGGTTCCATCTACTGTCCACCACCCAAAGTTACAAAATTGATTGGAAGGGCCACATTCAATGCTTTAAATTAAATGGAATTAATTTATTTTCAACGGGAGCGGCATGTAAGCATGAGAGAATAAATAAAAATATTACCTACATCTCAGTACTATATAATCATTTTGTACCGATACCTGAAGGAGGGCAACTTTCTGAGAAAACACCCCAATAAAGGAAAGAATGTTGGGCTTTATCTACTTAGGAGTTACGGTTTTTAAGGTTCAGCAAAAACAAGCAAAATATCTAAACTTGATAGTCTCAGGTCCCGAGTGACTTGTAAGGGGGAAATTTAATGAAATAAATAAATAAATAAATGTACCTTTTTTCTCCATCATGCTCAAACTTGATCCTAGCATTCCGCAACTACGGGAGAAAAAGAGACAGAAAACCATTAATCAGGATACCAATGGATGGATGGATACTGTATATAGACAGACAGACAGACAGATAGATACGGATGAATGGGATAGATAGATAGATAGATAGATAGATAGATAGATAGATATGGAAGGATGGATGGATACCTATGGATGGATGGATGATAGATAGATAGATAATGGATGGATGGATGGCATAGATAGATAGATAGATAGATAGATAGATAGATAGATAGATAGGGATGGATGGGGAGAGATGGATGGATGGATGGATGGCTAGACAGAGACAGATACAGATGGATGGATACCTATGGATGGATGGATGGATGGATGGATGGATAATAGATAGATAGATAGATAGATAGATAGATAGATAGATAGATATGGATGGATGGGGAGAGAGAGAGATGGATGGATGGATGAATAACCTATGGATGGATGGTGGATGGATGGATGGATAGACAGACAGATAGATACTGATGGATGGATACCTATGGATGGAAGGATGATAGATAGATAGAGATGGATGGATGGATGGATAACGGATGGATGGATAATAGATAGATAGATAGATAGATAGATATGGATGGATGGATGGATGGGGAGAGAGAGATGGATGGATGGATGAATAATAACCTATGGATGGATGGATGGATGGGATGGATGGATGGATAGACAGATACTGATGGATGGATACCTATGGATGGAAGGATGATAGATAGATAGATAGATAGATAGATAGATAGATAGATAGATAGATGGATGGATAGATAGATATGGATGGATGGATAACGGATGGATGGATGGATATCTGTGGATAGGTGGATGGATAGATAGATAGATAGATGGTAAGATGATAGAGTGAGAGATAATACATAGCTGATAAAGAGATCGATAAAAACAGGCAGTCCTTCTGGTCTTTTCATGGTACCTGCTGTTAGGTATTCAGTCTCAGCTCCAATTCATCCATTGCCCCCTCTCCTTACTTGGTGTGTGCAATATCGTGAAGCGCACCCTCCCAAATTGAATAAGGATAAATGTTTGGGCAGGACCATCTTATAATTTGCATTTCTGAAGGACCCAGTGAAGACCCCTCCCGTTGGTAACCCTTAAAAACAAAACACTTCTGGTGCTGAATCAGCTGGTTGAGTGCTCCCATAACATAATGCAACAAACCAGAGTGTGATTTAGCATGCTGTGTGAATTCGCTTTCTCTCCACGAGGCCTAGAACTGCAGTTCTGCAAACTAATGCACTAGTGCAAGTCTTAACATTTTGCTGTTCCCTACACAGTAAGTTTTGGAAACGTGTGTCCAGGGTGGATTTGATTTAAATCGAGTTGATTTAAATCACAATTTAAATCATGATTTAAATCACTAGTAAAAAGGCTTGATTTAAATCAACTCGATTTAAATCATAATTTTTAAAGAGCAACTGTCATCTCTGCTACTCCTTTGACCCACTGTTGACTCACCGATAGTCCCAGTGTTGCAGAATATACAGCCTCCTGCTACATAACTAAGCTCCATTTCATGCTGAATAAACTAAATTATTTATGTATCTTAAATAGAAAACTATCTTACGATAGATTTTTATCCCAAAAGTTTTTTATTAAAATAAATTCAATAAAAATCAAAAAAATCCTATTTAAATAAAAAAAATCCAATTTAAATAAAAAAAATCTGATTTTTTTGATTTTTTAAAAAAAATCATTGATTTTTATCCACCCTGCGTGTGTCCATTTCTTGCAAACCAGGAACGTAAAACTGCTCCGTAAAATCCACAACTGGTTGGAGAATTAGGTGGGGCCACTATTCTTAAAGTTCTTTTTTTATGCCGAAATAAATTACAACCTTATCTCTCTCTCTCTCTCTCTCCTTTTTCTCCCTCTGGTTTCTTTTCGGAATGGAAAAAGGGCATCCTATATTTGGGAGTGCGCATCCTTTGGAAAGATCAGCTACACACTGCTGGTATCTAAACAGGAGAATTCCTAGAGGGGCGAACAGATGACGCCTTTTCCTGAAAACTCTTCTTATCTCTCACTTGAGGTTTATCCAGAACGTGATTAGCAGTTTCCATGCTCCCATTCTATGCGCCCGAAAATATGTCGCGGCAGTGAGAAAGATTCAGTTCGACGGCTGTTTATGTGGAACTGTGTGTGTTAAAAAGATCACGTCCTAATGTGGCCTGCATCAAGAACTGACTGAAGTTGATTGATTTCAGAATAACAGAGTAGGAAGGGACCTCGGAGGTCTTCTAGTCCAACCCCCTGCTCAAGCAGGAGACCCTACACCATTTTTGATAAGTAGCTGTCCAGTCTTTTCTTAAAAATCTTCATGTTGGAGCACCCACAACTTGTGAAATCAAGCTGTTCCACTGCTTAATTGCTCTCACTGTCAGGAGATTTCTCTTTATTAATAGGTTGATTCTTTCCTTGATTAGTTTCCATCCGTTGCTTCTTGTCCTGCCTTCAGGGGTTTTGGAGAATAGCTTGACCCCCTCTTCTTTGTGGCAGCCTCTCAAATGTTAGAACACTGCTATCATGTCTCCCCTAGTCCTTCTTTTCATTGAATTACCCATGAACAGTTCTTGCAACCGTTCTTCATATTTTTAGCTTCCAGCTATTTATTTGCTGCTCTTCTCTGCACTCTTTCCAGAGTCTCATACATCTTTTTTTTTTTAATAATTTGTGACCAAAACTGGATGCAGTATTCCAAGTGTGGCCTTACTAAGACTTTGTAGGGCGCTACTAGTACCTCATGTGATCTTGATTCTATCCCTCTATTAATGTAACACGGACAAGAGAAGAAACAATGGTTGGAAACTAATCAAAGAGAGAAACAACCTGGAATTAAGGAGAAACTTCCTAACAGGGGGGACAATTAACAAGTGGAACAGCTTGCCTGCAGAAATCATGGGAGCTCCATCACTGGAGGTTTTTAAGAAGAGACTTGACAGTCACTTATCTGAGATGGTATAGGTTTTCCTGCTTGAGCAGAGGACTGGACTAGAAGATCTCTAAGGTCCCTTCTGGCTTATTCTATTCTATTCTATTCTATTCTATTCTATTCTATTCTATTCTATTCTATTCTATTCTATTCTATTCTATTCCATTCCATTCCATTCCATTCCATTCCATTCTTCTTCTCTTCTCTTCTCTTCTCTTCTCTTCTCTTCTCTCTTCCATTCCATTCCATTCCATTCCATTCCATTCCATTCCACTCCACTCCACTCCATACTCTACTCTACTCTTATACCTTGAAATAAAAGACCCCAAACTTTCCCCTTGCAAGTCATCTGCGATAGTCTTCACCTGTGGCCTTCCTCATCTTAATCTACTCCTAAGAGCTTTCCTGAAAAGACACTGAGAGTCTAAATCAGAGGAGGGTAACTAAGGCTCCTTTATGATTTGTGGACTTCAGCTCCCATAGCTGGCTCAGGAATTCTGCATGTTGAAGACCGCAGCTCATAAACAGGCCATAGTTCCCCATCTTTGGTCTAAATAAAGAGATGTTCTGGGCTGCATAAACAGAGGCATAGAATCAAGATCACATGAAGTGTTAATAACACTTTATAACGCCTTGGTAAGGCCACACTTGGAATATTGCATTCAGTTTTGGTCGCCACGATGTAAAAAAGATGTGGAGACTCTAGAAAGTGTGCAGAGAAGAGCAACAAAGATGATTAGGGGACTGGAGGCCAAAACATATGAAGAACAGTTGCAGGAATTTTGGTATGTCTAGTTTAATGAAAAGAAGGATTAGAGGAGACATGATAGCAGTCTTCCAATACCTCAAGGGTTGCCACCAAGAAGAGGGGGTCCACCTATTCTCCAAAGCACTTGAGGGTAGAACAAGAAGAAATGGGTAGAAACTAATCAAGGAGAGAAGCAACTTAGAACTAAGGAGAAATTTCCTGACAGGAAGAACAATTAATCAGTGGAACAACTTGCCTGCAGAAGTTGTCAATGCTCCAACACTGGAAGTTTTTAAGAAGATGTTGGATAACCATTTGTCTGAAGTGGTGTAGGGTTTCCTGCCTAAGCAAGGGGTTGGACTAGAAGACCTCCAAGGTCCCTTCCAACTCTGTTATCCTGCCGGTATTCTCCGCCCAGTTGGACAACCGAGGGAAGACAGTCCTTAAGAACCAATGCTATTTATTTGTTGAGCAGAACAACTCAACTGTTAGGAACAATTTGTTGATGGAAATGGACAAAGCACTTGTTTAAAGCAGACCCAGAAGAGAGGAAACATAAGAGCTGCATCCTCTTTCTTCACTGTGAAACAATAACAATGACCTCCTTTCGTTAAGGGCCAAGGGAAACACACCACACAACGCACACAACAGCAGTTGGCCGGGCGAGAAGAGAAATATGAGCGAGGCTTCAGGAAAACTGTGCTGGGTAAAACTTCCCCCACGACTTGCTAGGAAAACAAGCATGGGCAAAAGAGGCCTCAACGAGAAAGGGAAACAAAAATCATTTTGTATCCTGGTCCTTTTTGGACCAGCATTGAACAGAAGCCAGCTTCATTAGCAGAGTTAGCTTTGAATATTTCCTAGAATATAGTGCTAGAGATTCCGAGAGAGAAAATTACCACTGTGTCGGAGTGATATGGTTTTTCTCCTTAGTATTTCCTTGGTTAAGCTGAAATTCTGGTCTGTTTCTATTTTTTTAAAAACCCTTTTTATTGTTCTTTTGAACGGTGTGCAAATGTTGTTTTTCTTGATGTGCCCGATGATGGCTGTTTTGTCCGAGTGCCAGGCTTCAAGGCGTTCTCTAGTGTTTTTGGGACCTGGCTTGGTCTACGATACTGACAGTTTCCCTGCAGAAACTTTGGTTAATTAGACCTATGTGTCATGAAGTTCACCATGTGTTCCAAAAGCTAACCGGTATTCATGGATGTCCTCTGCCTGTTGTTTTTCTGTAATTTTATAACTTGATTGATTTTTTTAAAAAAAACAAAAGAATAAAAGATAAACAGACAAGAAAAAAAATTGAAGAAGAAAATCAAGATAGAGAGAGGAATGGAATGGAATGGAATAGAATAGAATAGAATAGAATATTAGGATGGAATGGAATGGAATGGAATGGAATGGAATGGAATGGAATAGAATAGAATAGAATAGAATAGAATAGAATAGAATAGAATATTAGAATAGAAAATTGGAATAGAAGAATAGAATAGAATAGAATAGAATAGAATAGAATAGAATAGAATAGAATAGAATATTAGGATATGATGGAATGGAATGGAATGGAATAAAATAGAATAGAATAGAATGATGGGATGGGATGGGATGGGATGGGATGGAGGAGAGGGGGAGGGGAGAAGAGGGGAGGGGATAAACAGACAAGAAAAAAATTGAAGAAGAAAATCAAGAAAGAGAGGGGAATGGAATGGAATGGAATGGAATGGAATAGAATAGAATATTAGAATAGAAAATTGGAATAGAAGAATAGAATAGAATAGAATAGAATAGAATAGAATAGAATAGAATAGAATAGAATAGAATAGAATATTAGGATGGAATGGAATGGAATGGAATGGAATGGATGGAATGGAATAGAATAGAATAGAATAGATAGAATAGAATAGAATAGAATAGAATAGAATAATGGGATGGGATGGGATGGAGGAGAGGGGAGGGGAGAAGAGGGGAGGGGATAAACAGACAAGAAAAAAAATTGAAGAAGAAAATCAAGAAAGAGAGGGGAATGGAATGGAATGGAACAGAATAGAATAGAATAGAATATTAGAATAGAAAATTGGAATAGAATAGAATAGAATAGAATAGAATAGAATAGAATAGAATAGAATAGAATAGAATAATGGGATGGGATGGGAGGGAAGGGAAGGGAGGGGAGGGGAGAAGAGAAGTGAAGAAGGATTGAATAGAGTTGAATAGAGTAGAACAGACTAGAAGAGAAGGGAGAAGAATAAGAAAATTAATCTGTACTCCCCAACTTTTCTCAAGTTATCCCAAGGTGGTGCTTGCCAAGTTCTGCCTGCTCCCCACCCCACTGGTGCATTGGTTTCCATAAAAAAATTAATTCAACTGTCAATCAAAGCCTTATTGGCTCATTGGACAGCACAACAGCTGCTAGCGACCTCGTGAATATCCTAAACATCTTGAATCATTTTTCAGCACAGGCTGCTATAGGGTTGAATTCAACTCAGAGCGCTGTTACACCCTGGAGCACAGCCACGTGTTTGTTTTCATCAACAAGCAGATGTTGTTATAGTGATGGGAAGAGAAGGATGGGGGTTTTGGTTTGGAATCTGCATTATTCAATCCCGAATCTATAATTCAGTGTTGTTGGTTTTTTAATGCGCCTTGGTCCTTGCTGACCATAGGGGTTAACAGCAGGATTTTATAGACCCAAGGGCATTCAGAAATGCAAATTAAAACCAACTGGATTTAATCCCCAAATCAAAGATTTTCCAGACTGGATTATTGGTTTGGGTCAAATTAAAGCAGTTGTCTCAAAATCAATGCGATAATCGACTTCCTTTTTGCACATGTCAGCAAGGGTTTTTCTGTAGGTAGCTGTCTAACACTAAAGTTGACCATATGTTCCTCTACTCAGCTATCTTTCCTTTTTAATCAACTTTATTATATTTCAAAGGAAGATAAAACACAAAATAACAGAAATGGAAAAATTGGGAGGGAGGGGATCCAAAAATTAAAAAGCAAAAGCTTTTATTCCCCTTGCCACTTTCCAAATAGAGTATCACCATTTCTATTATCTACAAAAGTCAACCTTGGTCATTTTAAGATGGGTGGAATTCAACTCCCAGAATTCTGGGTGTTTATTTATTTATTATTGCGATTTATATGCCGCCTTTCTCCCTGGGGACTCAAGGCGGCTTACAAAATGACAAATTCCAATACAAATCACAATGAAATAAAATGAAAATCAGCAACCCTATTAAAATAGTTTAAAATTATGACAGTGTTCCCCCAAACGGATCAGTTGAGTTGACGGAAGAGCCACATCTTCAGCTTGCGACGGAAGGAAAGGAGGTCGGGGGCTGTCCTGAGCTCGGTGGCAAATCCATTCCAAAGGGTCGGGGTTCCCACAGAAATCCACCCATCTTAAAATGGCCAACGCTCACCGAAATTGATCTACAAAACTGAAGTCCACCTATCTTAAAAGTGGCCGAAGTTCATCAAAATTTATCAAAGAAGAGGGGGTTAGCTTATTTTCCAAGGCACCAGAAGGCCAGAGAAGAAACTATGGATGGAAACGAATCAAGGAGAGAAGCAATCTGGAATTAAAGAAAAACTTCCTATCAGTCAGGATAATTAAACAGTGGAATGAATTTTCTCCAGAAATTGTGAGTAGTCCAAGACTGGATGTTTTTAAGAAGAAACTGGACAACCATTTGTCTGAAATGGAATAAAGTTTCCTGCTTGAGTAGGGGGCTGGACCTCCAAGATCCCTTCCAGCTCTATTCTGATTCAAAACTGAAGTCCACCCCTCTTAAAATGCCCAACGTTGACCAAAACTGAAGCCTACCCCTCTTAAAGTGGACAAAAAGTTGAGCAAAATTCATTTACAACGAACTGTCCTGTGTATTTCATAGTCCACCCAGAATGGCTTTCAATAGTGAGATGCGAAGTATATAAATGTAATGAATAAATGAAATAAATATTCTGCTTTTTCGGCTGTAAGCCCCATGCTATCAACTTCCAACTCATTCTTTTTCAACCTTGGTATCAAGGCTGGCTGGAGAATTCTGGGAAATGACACATACACTCATTAAAGCCACCAAGGTTGGAAAACACCATTCTAATCCCTTTTATATTGAGAAGGAACAGTGAGAACTATAGAACAGAATCTGAAAGTCCAATTCTAACCTGTTTGTTCGAATGATTCTTATTCCTGTTGCTGTCTAAAAATCCACCGCATTTGCCAAGGGCGGCAAGATCCTTCATAATAGAATTAAGAACTTCTTCCTCATCTGTAAACAGAAAAAGAATTAGGTTAGACCTCTGAAACTTTGGGGCGTCTTCTCAAGGCCCATATAATATACTGCAAAGATATATACAGTAGTGGCAAAATTGTGGAAATCTTTTGGGGAAAGTGTATTTTTGAGGTTTGATGGCTAATAACACCATTTTTTGTGGGGGAGTTTCAAGATAATCCTATTCCACAGCTGGAATAGCCTGGGAATAGCCCAGAGCTTAACCTAATTGAAAATCTATGGAGCCGACTAAAGAAACTTGTTAGTCAGAAGCGACCCAGCAATAAAACCCAGTTAATTGAAGCCATCATTCAATCTTGATTTCACCTGATAACAGCTGCAGAACTAAAAGACTTGGTTCACTCCATGGGAAGACATTGTAAGGCCGTAATTCATTCTAAAGGTTACCCAACTAAGTATTAACTGACATGGGGATAATTTTTGTATATCTCATTTTTCTATGGTGATAATTTTTATATATCTTGTATGTGATTCACTTTTCTTCTTTTTACTGTAACTGCTATTCTAATAGCAAATCCGTCATAAAAGTTATTGCATTACATTATTGATTAAATAATCTTTCCATTGATATATAATTTTATGGGATTTCTCCAAAAAAAAAAAAAGTGGTGTTATTAGCTAGTTTTAGAAAATAAACTTTTTCCCAAAAGGTTTCCACAATTTTGGCCACCACTGTAGGTAGTCCTCAGCTTACAACAGTTCACTTAGTGACCATTCAAAGTTACGACACTGAAAAAAGGGACTTACGACCATCTTTAACACTTACAACCAATCCAGATCCTTGGCAACAGACTTGGATGTATGATTGTTGCAGTGTCCCATTTGACCCCTTTTTGTGACCTTGAAGCCCGATTCACTTAACAACGGTGTTACTAACTTAAAAACTATGGTGATTCAACAACTGTGTGCAAGAAAGGTCGTAAAATGGGGCAAAGCTCACTTAACTGTCTTGCTTAGCAAGAGAAATTTTGGGCTTAATTGTGGTTGTAAGTCGAGGACTACCTGTATTGCAGCTTTATCTTGGTGTCTCGGAGAGCTACCTATTCATCAGTGGGTTTAGCTACAGCAGTGTTTCTCAACCTTGGAAGCTTGAAAATGGGTGGACTTCAACTCCCAAAATCCTCCAGCCAGTGCTGCTGGCGGGGGGATTCTGGGAGTTGAAGTCCACCCATCTTCAAGCTACCAAGGCTGAGAAACACTGAGCTACAGGGAGAACTAAAATCAGGAAGAAAGAGGAAGACACAAAGACACGGAGAGCTAAAACAATCCCCTCCCTAAATTCGTTTCTAATATTCCTGGAGAGCAATCAATATTCCTTTCCTAAGGAAGGAACCCTATAATTTGGAACGAAGTTGCGACTGAATGAATAAAGTTGTACCGAAAAGTAAATGTATTCATTCAGAAGCTTCAGCTGCCGAAACACCCAAATTGGGGGGGGGTTATTTACTTCCCCCCCCCCACGAAGAAAATATGTATAGGTACTCCCTCTATTTACTACCATTCATTTAGTGACCATTTGACATTACAATGGCACTGAAAAAAGTAATTTATGGCCATTTTTCATCCTTTAGATCTTTGTAATGTCCCCATGGTCATAGAGTCATGGCCATAAATGTTGGCACCCCTGAAAATTTTTCCAGAAAATGAGGTATTTCTCACAGAAAAGTATTGCAGTAACACACGTTCTGCTATACACATTTATTCCCTTTGTGTGTGTTGGAACAAAACCAAAAAAGGGAGGGGAAAAAAGCAAATTAGACATAATGTCACACAAAACTCCAAAAATGGACTGGACAAAATCATTGGCACCCTTTCCAAATTGTGGATAAATAAGATTGTTTCAAGCATGTGATGCTCTTTTAAACTCACCTGGGGCAAGTAAACAGGTGTGGGCAATATAAAACTCACACCTGAAAGCAGATAAAAAGGAGAGAAGTTCACTTAGTCTTTGCATTGTGTGTCTGTGTGTGCCACACTAAGCATGGACAACAGAAAGAGGAGAAGAGAACTGTCTGAGGACTTGAGAACCAAAATTGTGGAAAAATATCACCAATCTCAAGGTTACAAGTCCATCTCCAGAGATCTAGATTTGCCTTTGTCCACAGTGCGCAATATTATCAAGAAGTTTGCAACCCATGGCACTGTAGCTAATCTCCCTGGGCGTGGACGGAAGAGAAAAATTGACGAAAGGTGCCAACGCATGATAGTCCAGATGATGGATAAGCAGCCCCAAACAAATTGCAAAGCAATTCAAACTGTCCTGCAGGCTCAGGGAGCATCAGTGTCAGCGCGAACTATCCGTCGACATTTAAATGAAATGAAACGCTATGGCAGGAGACCCAGGAGGACCCCACTGCTGACACAGAGACATAAAAAAGCAAGACTACAGTTTGCCAACATGTACTTGAGTAAGCCAAAATCTTTCTGGGCAAACGTCTTGTGGACAGATGAGACCAAGATAGAGCTTTTTGGTAAAGCACATCATTCTACTGTTGACCACGAACGGAATGAGGCCTAGAAAGAAAAGAACACAGTACCTACAGTGAAATATGGTGGAGGTTCGCTGATGTTTTGGGGTTGTTTTGCTGCCTCTGGCACTGGGTGCCTTGAATGTGTGCAAGGCATCATGAAATCTGAGGATTACCAATGTCAGACTTCGATGCTATCTCAAAATAAATGAATTTCCAAACTGCCAATCTTTAAGGAAATCTTTTCTTTATTTGAGCACAGCAACCGGATCATGACTCAATGCGGACAAGACTGACCTTTTGCCCCCCAATCCCTCCCTTTCCGATCCCCAATTCTCTGCTTCTCATTGGCTATCTTCTAAGTCGCTCTCCAGACTTTTTGTCTCGTCATTTCACAGGAATGTCTCCCCCCTCCTCATTTCCACGACGACCGGGCTTCAAAGGGATTTAGCAGGCAAAAGTTCAGAGCTTATCTCTCCTCTCTATGCCAGCGCTGAGGTGCTGACAACCAACAGATTTTGGGTTGCACTGTAGAGCCCAGTGTCAGAAAGCTGGGTTTGCGTCGGAGATCTTGGGTCTTCCAGCAGGACAATGGCCCCAAACATACGTCAAAAAGCACCCAGAAATGGATGGCAACAAAGCGCTGGAGAGTTCTGAAGTGGCCAGCAATGAGTCCAGATCTCAATCCCATTGAACACCTGTGGAAAGATCTTAAAATTGCTGTTGGGAAGAGGCGCCCTTCCAATAAGAGAGACCTGGAGCAGAGTTTGCAAAGGAAGAGTGGTCCAAAATTCCGGGTGAGAGGTGTAAGAAGCTTATTGATGGTTATTGGAAGTGACTGATTTCAGTTATTTATTCCAAAGGGTATGCAACCAAATATTAAGTAAAGGGTGCCAATGATTTTGTCCAGCCCATTTTTGGAGTTTTGTGTGACATTATGTCCAATTTGCTTTTTTTCCTCCCTTTTTATGGTTTTGTTCCAATACACACAAAGGGAATAAACATGTGTATAGCAAAACATGTGCTACTGCAATACTTTTCTGTGAGAAATACTTCATTTTCTGGAAAAAATTCAGGGGTGCCAACATTTACAGCCATGACTGTACGTTCAAAATTCAGATACTTGGCAACTGACTCATTATTTATGACAGTTGCAAGTGTCCCGGGATCACGTGATCCTCTTTTGTGACCTTCTAACAATTCACTTAACAACCATGTTACTAACGTAACAATTGCAGTGATTCACTTAACAACTGTGGCAAGGAAGGTAAGTAAGTGACTCTTGTAAGTCAAGGACTATCTGCATTGTGGATTTAATTTAGTCTGGTGGGTTTAATCTTGTTTGGGAAACTTTCAAGTGCCTTGTGGACTCTTCAGCCATTGCTCTGTGGATTACAATAGTGCTGCTTTTGGCTGGACTTAATTGGGAAATTAATTAATTAATTAATTAATTTAGTGGAAATAAAACCACTAAACACTATTACGCTACACAGCACACTAATGCATCCTTGATTCACTTAATAATGGTGGTGATGAATAATTATGGCAAAAAAGGGTCATAAAATCTGGCCCAACATACTTAACGACTACCTTAAGAAATAGAAATTTCTACCTTAGAAATTTTGATTTCTGCTTAGAAATAGAAATTCTGGTCCAAATTGTGGTCATAAGTCTTTGAATATTCCTATCCATTCACAAAAGTATCCTCATGCACTCAAAGAGCATTAATACGTAAGATCACAGGGAGCTAATCTTTTTCTCCATAATTTTATTAATTATACATTAATCAATAAAATTTAAGAACAAAACAAAATTTAAGAACAAAAATCATTAAAAATGAAAAAAGGAGGTATATCACGAAGTACAACAAAACAGGAAATCTGGGGGTAAGTAGATTCGTGGGCTTACTAAAAGACCATTTTTTCTCTTTATGGTAATAATATAAATATGTTATATTGCATTACTTCAATGCAGATTTGAACGTAATACAGTAAAGTTTATAAACCATGATCAAAAATAATCAGCACCAAAAATAAAAATATGAAAGTAAAAATTCTATCAGTACAAATTGCCATTTAGGATTCCTTCAGCTACCAGAATTTAAGACAGAATAGGAAAATTGAGGGCTTCACATACATTAATGAATGCAAAGGCATCAATTAAAGCATAATAGATATTCTTCTTTATTTTTCTTTCTCCATGCACTCAAATTCAAATTGCAACAGGTGTCTTTGCTCCTTGAAACTCTGCCCTTTAAGAGTAGTGATTTTAAAATATGTGGTTTTCAGCTCCCAGAATTCTAGAAGTAGTATGGCTGGGAATTCTGGGTGTTGAAGTCCACACAGGTTAGCTGTGGAATTCTGGGAGTTGAAGTCCATGCAAAGTTGCTGAGGTAGAGAAATATTGCTCTTCTTTCTAAGACTGAGGGACAGGGCCTGGCCAAAGCCTCACCTGTTGGTTTTGTGCCTAAGGCAGAACTACAACTTACTCTCCCCCAGTTTCTACATC